TTCAATTTCAAGGTCCGGTCAACTCTGTTAAATCAACTATTAATACACTAAGTATTTAGGATATAAAACACCTACTTCCCTTCCTTCCTTTAAACTAGACCATTTTTCAATAGGACTCAAGAAACAAAATATTTGTAGAAAATCTAATTTCAAAAATGATGGCAAATCAGTTTTACATTTTTAACTCCAAAAGGGCAACTATTTTTTCTTTACCGTTTCATGTAACAAATATTTCTAAACTTTACTGCTTTCAGTATAGAAATTTACGTAATATTTTGCTCACAAAATTACCACGATTTAAGGCAACCATAGTTGTAAGTCAACTTTGTGTTTTTTGTAAATCAGAGACAGAAACCATAACTCATATATTTTCAGAATGTCAAAATATTTGAGATTTACTGCAGAACTTGGAAATCCTCTTAGAAGCACTTCGGATTCCTTTCAATAGAAATAAAGAATCACAAATATTCGGTTTCTGGCAAATTAGAAACAAGTTTAGTAAAATTGATAATGAAACAACCATCATCATTAAACATTACATTTATTAATCTAGATGTCTTGGCATCACTTTAAACATTCTCTGTTCATGAACAGATCATCACAGTGTCAAATACATAACAACGGCTAAGAGTGATGTCTTCTTGAAAGTTTCAAGAGAGAGTGTGGAAATGGAAAAACATTTTTGTCCTGCTAAAGTATAAAATAAATGATCCATACCTCGAGCTCTGTTTGCTCTAAATGTCAAGAAAAGAAAGCTCAAAAGTTTTTTTAAAAATGTACAGTGGAAGTTATACTACTGTTGTCCGGTTAGGAGAGACTGATTTCACCATTTTAATCTTTTAACCCATTTAAGATTTTTAGCATTTATCTTTTACCTTTTGGTTTGTTTAATATTATTACTTTTTGGATCGCTGTGTGTTTTACCGTTTGATTGTCCTAATGACCTTTTATGTGTTGACGGGCCGTTAAGAATGTAATAATAATAATAATTCACGAAATTTCGAAAATTGTTTATATGATGTGATATGAAATATCGTATTTAAAATGTCGTTTTTTTCTTTTCAGTATGTATTTTGTCAAACTTTATGAGGAAAGGGCTTGATATAAGTTGGAGAACGTGCGCCTAATGCTTCGTTTTCGAAACTATTACGTTTTCGCACTAAATTTGAGAGGGGTTTCCCGAACCAAAGAAGTGGTAAATCTGGACACTGGAAATCGACTGCGAATATCGAGCATAGAAATGTTAATGTATCAAACAACTAGAATCAATATCATAATTAATAGTTTTTCCATATTGTCACATCAAACCCAGGATATATATATTACGTTAAAAAAACAACACACACAGCTAAATCAAGGCAAAATATATTAAATATATTAAATTTAATCTGTTAGAATTAAATAGTAAATCAAAGTAAGTAAAATACACTGGTTAAAACAGACACAATACCATTCAAAGATTGTACATGGACAGACAAGTGAATAGTGTACCCTTCAATACTCAGTCTGTAGTGATTGTAACTTGTCAGAAAGTCAATACTTATTGAGATCGTATGTACATGGGTTCAAAATGTGTTTAAGAAATCAAACGAAAATAAAATGATTGTGAATGCAAGTAAGACCAAATGCATGTTAATTACTTCAAAACAAAAAATATCACGAAATGATTATTCTTTAAACTTATATATGGAGGATGTTCTTTTAGAACAGGTTTGCCAAGAAAAACTTTTGGGTGTAAATATAGACGAGTGTTTGTCCTTCCATGGGCATATTTCATCCATTGTTGCCAAAATTAGACAGCGCTTAGGATTGCTGCGTATAATTCGTTAATATCTCCCAATTAGTGGGAGACTAAAGTTTTATAACTCATGCGTATTTCCAAATTTCATTTATTGTATCACAGTTTGGTCAGGGTGCACAGCTAAGTTGATCAATCAGTTATCAATGGCTCAAAAGCAAGCGGCCAGAACTATTCTGGAGGCTCCATATGACACCACTTCTAAGGATATGTTTTTAACTTTAAATTGGATGCCTATTGAGACATATCTAAAATTCAGAACGTTATGTATGATTTTTAAATGTCTACATGGAGCTATACCAAATTACCTATCAGAGAATTTTTGTTTAGTAAGAAATGTCCATTCCAGAAATACTAGGTTCTCAGATGCAAATAACATTAATATTCCGAAACACAGAACAACATTATATTCCAAACAGTTTTTTATCGCCGGCATCCAACTTTGGAATGGTCTTTCCGATGAGTTGAAGACCGTAAATACATTTCACAGTTTTAAGCAAAAGCTTGTCAAATATCTTCATAGCTTTTAAACAACTCAGTCTCTTAATTAAGTTACATTTTTTAGTTTATGCTATATTAGCATATATTAGGTCAATTTTTATTGTTTTGCTATGTTAGCATGTATGTATATTAGGCAATAGCCATTTAACTTGACAAAATAATTTTACATGAAATTTATGCATTCTGTGATAATTTTTAACTAACAAATGCTGTGATATTAATTTGTAATCTTATAATTATCTTATAGTGCTGTATTACTATTTTTATCTTATTATCTGTGCTGTCTTAAGCTAATTTTTGTAACTAATTTTTGTATTTTACTAACAAGAGGACCATGTGGTAGATTAGTCTTTGGCTAAACATATTTTATCCTCAATAAAGAATGTTTATTATTATCATTATTATTATAAACTTCGTCGATTCTCTTGTAAAATACATTTTCTTGTTGACGGCTAATTTCCGGAACGGATACGGAAGTAATGGATAGTAATGTATTTATCTTTTTGGTGAAGTTATCAATAACCATCTCTGCTTAAGGTAATGGACGCAAATAAAGCATAGGCATCCTTCTCGAGAATAATGAAGAGCAAGTCCTATAACAAAGAGAATGAAAGCAATGAACTTCATAATTATTTAAAGCCAATTTTCTTATCATAATCCATACTTTAAAAACACTCAACGGCAAGACATTATATAATCTCTCAACTTAAGAAAAGATTATCAAATAGAGCGACGACGATCATACAAAAAAACGATCAAGTTTACAACACCTATTAATATATATTTTAAATTATATGTAGTTGCGTCAAAGAACATATTCAGCTGTATGATATAATTGTTTCATACGTATAGGCCTCGTCGGTGATGCTTTTGGCCTAACGTCTGACACTTCGAAGGCAAATGCAAAAAAGTATCTTAATATTACTTTAGCTTAACATGACGACATGATACACAACTAACTTTTATATCGATGTACTTTAAAATCATTAATTTTCGTGGGAGATTTATTTTCATTTATTTCATAAGTACTCTTTATCCTCAAATTAATATACCCATGAACTCATAAAGTAAATATAAATAGATTTATTGAGCTATATTTATTCACAAAATCAGGTGTCCAAGAAATGGGTTTTTTAAACATCGAAAATTGAGCCCAACGCAAATTCATGATTTTCAGTAGTTTACTTGAATACAGAAATATCAGGTTGGTCATCATTGCTAAAACAGGTGACTATTTTTATAAGAGTTCTAAAAAATTTCCAGTCAACCATTACAATCAGAGCCTAATACAGTCATTTAGAATCCTAAACGTCACAGTTGGTCATGACATTAAACAATAACAAATGTAATATATTTCCACCGGTTATCGATTGACCATACTCAAATCAAAGTTTGTCCTGAATATCAGTATGATACATGAACATATAGTTATATCGCTATATCTGTGCGAGACTAAATTACATGAAATTATAATGAAATGACAAACAAGGGTAATACTCTAGTCCCCGACAGGGAAATGATGAAGGCATAAACAACGAGGAATCAAGTTTCAATTTATTTACTCAAGTTATACATGTCCATGTGGAGAACGTTTTCAAAAAAAAATACATACATAATGGTATATAAAGGTGTATAAACTCGTATCCTAGATATACATAATTTATTTCTAAGAAAATAATAATGTTAATTTAAATAGGGAATTTGATTTATAATAGAATTTCTTTCCTGACTGTAAATGAAGTATTTTAGTTTAGTATAAAATGCCGCGGAAGTTTTAAACGGAAATGCTGCTTCAAGGATCTTTAACTCCAACATCTGAAAAATTCATTTATACAATTAAGTCCTAAACGCTTGATGGCAGCCTGATTACCTGAATGAACCGTACTTCAGTCTGGTAGAAATATAGATATATATCTATGTATATACATATCAGAAAATCTCACCTTTTTACATCTATTCAAAAAGATGGCATACACATCTTACTTTTAAAAGTTTGCAGTTTTCTGTGTTTATCGTTGCGTGGATAGCCAGGGTCTCTTTAACGTTCTCTTGTGGCAGCTGCTGGCTATATCACTGAACAAAATACGAAATGCCCCGCGTATGTCATCCAGAACATTTAGAATTTTAACCAATGACACAACCACGCCAGCACTGACCAGTCAGTTTCTCAACTACCTTAGAAACACGACCACGCCAGCACTGACCAGTCAGTTTCGCAGCTACCTTAGAAACACGACCACGCCAGCACTGACCAGTCAGTTTCGCAGCTACCTTAGAAACACGACCACGCCAGCACTGACCAGTCACTTTCTCAGTTACCTTAGAAACACGACCACGCCAGCACTGACCAGTCACTTTCTCAGCTACCTCAGAAACACAACCACGCCAGCACTGACCAGTCACTTTCTCAGCTACCTTAGAAACACAACCACGCCAGCACTGACCAGTCACTTTCTCAGCTACCTTAGAAACACGACCACGCCAGCACTGACCAGTCACTTTCTCAGCTACCTTAGAAACACAACCACGCCAGCACTGACCAGTCACTTTCACAGCTACCTTAGAAACACATGCCGCAAGCGATTCCAAAAAGTTAAAAAGTTATATATGGAATATAATTTCATGATCTCAACACAAATCTCATAATTCTCGACCTACTAGTCGAGAAGCAACAAACGTATTGCACGAAGAGTAAGAAGCATTATGAACGATTATGTAGGACTTCCCACCAGTTGGAATTGATTTCCGATTTATCTTGACATCGCCATTTCCAGCAGGTGTAGCCACAACAGCAGTCGTGGCTGTCAGCACAAACATCCCCTTCATGGAGCGGACCACAGTGTTTTGTCTTCTTCACCAGCGACACAATCAGTTTCTTCACCATACTATGAAAAAGTGTATTAAATTGAAATAGAAACGTTTCATAGAATAACAAGGTATTGAATGGATCAGATTATTATCAATGGAGGTCACTACTTTTCCTTCTATTCCCCGAACAAAATCCATTATGAGTAATTTGATCTTATGAAATATTTTACGAAAACATAAACTATCAACAAATTTAAACAAGATACGAAATGTTAAATATCTTTAACACAAGTGATTTTTACATTCAGTCAAAGTGTTAAATCTTAAAATTTTGCGAAATCTCATTTAAATAATATCTAAATGAATGGATATCGTATGGCAAAAACTAAAGTATTTTTTTATAATAAATGACGAAACATCACAAACCCATTGACAAAAACGGCGAAAGATTTTCTGTGTTATTCACATCATTATTTCTTCCTTAGAAACGCATTATTTACAAGCGTATAGCCGACGTCAACTACTGCGCCATATTTTTATATTCCTGTGTTTCGTTAGTATAGCGGGAATTATTTGTCTTTAGCGACATCGCATGCATATCGCTTCGCACGTTCCGCGTGCGCGAGAACGCGGGTATGCGGGTACGAACCCGGGTACGTGTTCTGTATGGTCACATTCTAGCTGGCATCTCAGCAGGGCGAACACAGTAATTTTTTTTTTTTTTACAAATTTATTATCGTTAGTTCAAGTCAGTTGTTAAAAAAATAGTCTGTTCCCTGACAGATTTTTAGGCTATACGTACTCAGTACGCATAGCTTATTGCGACGGCCTTCCAGACAAAATTTACCGATCCTGGCTTTCTCATTGGCTGAAATATCGAAAAGAATTAGAGCCCTCTAGTGGCAATTTTCTGCGTAAATAATGCCGCGAATTTTCAAATCGCTATTTTAAAAGCATCCAAAGTTAGAGAATTTTTATTAATATCAATACGATTACTATATATTTCAGAAGAGAAGCACAGTGTGGATGAACTATTGATAAATTTTGAACAATATATTTTACGGAATTCTCGACATGACGTAAGCGTACAGAACACTGTACGTGCGAGTTGGCGCCATGATAAGAAGCTAGTCTGATGGCTTGGGTTGAATTATCAACTAACAGCACTGATAAACAAACAAAACTTACAAACAGAACATCAATTTTGCTTTAATCCTTGTCGTTGTGGCAAGATCGTCTTAATATATAACATCACTTTACCTCATTAGACGTCACAAAATTGGACTGTTCGTCCTACGCGCACACCCGCCGATATGACATTTTTTTCAGGATTTTCACACCCACCGCCATGACACTTTTTCAAGTTTTTGAAAATAAAAAGTTTGTGTTTCATAGGCAAGGTACATTTGGTGCTCATGATTTATGAATGATATATTTTTAATACTGTACTGATCAAGATGTTGACTTTGTTATAACTTATATTTTTTGTCTTTTAGTTTTATTTGATGAAGGTTGATTGTGCTGATTTCTCAAGGTTTGTTAATGTCTATCAAAGTTCCTTGAAATGAAAATATTCCTTCAAACAAAGCGCGCATATAAAACCCCAAAATATTCATGTTTATAATTATCAATTAACTAAAACGAAATATTTCCATAACATGTTTATTCATTTAGCGTGTCGTGGTGACATTATCTAATGCATTGGAGATCGGAAAAAGTAGTAGCTATAGTGAAAATATTGTAAATTTTGTATATATCTGGAAGTCTGGTTTAATCTCATAGAACTATGCCTTTATAGGCATAATTACTGGAAGGAAAGTCTAACCATGATACTTCAAGGAAGATAGGCATGTAAATACATTTAATGTAATTACTTACACTTTTATCTATCTGAAATGCTGTGTATACTTTATCTACTTTCCTCAACTACAAATATAACTATAATAAGTAAGGACTATAACTCTGCAATTCATTCAAAATAAAGAAGTAGGTATAAAGTCCTTTCGATTTGTCTAGATCCTCATATTGATAGGATAGTAATTGCAACATCTTAACTTCATCATAGAGCTATTTATCATTTGGCTTGTTGGCGATAAATATATGGCTCTGTGTATTTTGTTAATTTTTTTTACCTATTTTGATTTATTCACATTATTATCGTCAAATTTGAAATAAGAATTAAAGAAGATATAAAATCGCTTAAAGTTAAGACAAATAGCTCCTGGTTCTCTTATTTTAGTAATTTTTGCATTCCAAAGTGTAGGAGTATGGGGAAAGTAATATAGCGTAGCGGTTATTTGTGAACATTTTTCAATACGTTTAGCCTCTCAGTACTTTCATTTCTTTTGTAGACATAGCTATATTTGTTAGTGGTAATAAAGAAAGTAATTTCGGGGTATCTCCGAAATAACGCAGGTCCAGCGTTACCCTTAGGCCCACCTGTCTGGATGTAATTGTTTTCCTACCTTTGGATACAGATTTCCGGGGGCTATCTCCGGTTTTTTCTGGGCGCCAGGTGCGAGCTGATGATGGGGATTAGCGTTTAAGTTTTACAAACTACATGTACATTTACAGATACCTATATACCATGGAGCGAGATGTAACAGATTGTATAGTACAATGTATTATGGTAGCATTAAACTCCTTCTAGAACTCTGGCACGCTGGTACGCCAAATTTATTTGCTCGTTGTGTTGTTTTTTCGGAAGTGGTGGAGCGAAAACAAATTTACATATGTGTCCAGTCATAAATTCACTTCACAACAATGTGTATACAAGACGCCCTTTGTCGGACAGCACGTTTGAGGACATTTTTTATTCTGCCCCGGGGACCAAAATACCTGTATAATACAGGTAATATCCCCAATCAGTAGGTGTCAATGACCGTGTTATCATAGCCAACGGTCCATGAAAAAATTTGATACTACGAAAAAAGTTTGATTTACTCATAAAACTGTATGTAAGTAGTGCTATATACAGGAATAAAATTCGGAAAAATTGACACATTGAGAAATTCGGATCATCAAAGTTTGATTAATAGAAGTAAGATTGTAGATGATTTTGAATACTTGGTATCACTGCGATATAAGACATAATTTACTAGTAGATAAAGTATGAAATAATGAAATAGGCACTGTAAAAGTGCTACTGGATGGTAACCAACACTATATAATGATAATTTGCTGTAACATTTCACAACAAACTTCAATACTGACAGCTTAATGTCTCATTTAATCACTTGGTAATGTTCAAGAGGGCTAGCTATGGTAGATCCTTTATGTGGACTGGATTGCTGACCGTAGTGTAACTTTTTGCTCCATTCCTCGTTTTTGTATTAATATGCATCATATATTTCCATGTTTAGTAGTATGTCCCACGTTTCAAAAGGAAATCATATGAACAGGAAATCAAATGCTCCCCCACCCCCACTTTTTTCATTATGGGTTTAAAATTATAATGTATGTTTACCAAGTTTTTTAAAAAAATTGTTAGTCTTTGAGTCAATTTGTATTACCAAATGAGTGTTTGAAGGGACATTCAGCAGGCAAGGATAACTTGATGTGCCGGAATATCTCAGCCCATGCAACACAAAGTTCTTAATTGACACCTGTCTAAAGCTGAACACAGATGCAGTTTCTTGGTTTTCTCTGTCATTTTCAACCACTTTGAATTTCCACACACAATACATAAAGATTAATGGATATTTCTACACGTATTTTCGCGAATATATTCGATAATTATTGTCTAAAACACTTCATAAAAATCCTAGAATGATCTATAGTAGTAAACAGAATATGAAATAGACCAGATTTATTGGTGAGGATTTTCAATGTGCTACAGTGTCACAATGTAAACCTAATAAATTCCGGGTTATGAGACTAGGGACCGGTACATAATATACGGTTTGATCAGAATACACTCTACTTCAAGAGAAGTGATTCCGAATATAATTCTTTATTTCAAAAATTGAGGACACTCACTTCATGTGTTCCAACTACTTTTCTGTAAAATGTTCATTTCACTCTTTTGTTACAAAGACAATGAAACGTTATGTTGCTATTAATTCAGTGACACTTCGATATCGATCATAAATTATTTTATAGATTAAAATTATTGATAATCAAAACATTGAAAAATGCAAGAAACAGTTACTTGGACAATTCATGGAAAACATGTTACTTTAGCATTAAAGAAATATTTGTTCCGATTAATGGTAAATCGGTACAAGTTAGCAGGCAAACTATCATAAAGTACTTTTTCGACTTGTCTACAATCCTGTTCCGACTCACAGGACCATAAATAGGAACAAATATATCTAATGCTAAATCAATGTGATATCTGTATTGACACATATGTCATTCCCGTGTTAAACAACTATTGAAGGTAATGTAATTTTTTTTCATTTTAACATCAAAATATTGTAAATTTTACATAAACATTCTTAACCATTTTACCTACAAATGCGAATAAAAGATGCTTTCTTTGGTTGACTTACTCTTTTGTCTCATCAGTCATTACAGAGCCTTGTTTTTCAGTGTCACCTCTTGATTGATCGATTTTTGTGTTCACCATATTCCGATCTGTAACATCTTTGCCGTTATCTCCTACCAGAATCCGGGCCAAATGATCTAACTGATCAGCTAGTGTGTCGTCTGCTTCCAACCTGAAAATCAGAGACTGCACAAATTGTATATCGATATTTGGCCCTGCTGCTAGTGGGGCTTTATAATATTATATTTGACCACTTTAAACCACGCCACCAATGTAGAGAGATTTTATGTTTTGTATTGTTTGTCGTTTATCAAACAAAATACACACAGCTTTGTCCTAGTCTTATCGATTTTTAGTTTGGAATAGTTGACATTTCAGTATTTTCGTATGTTTTATAATTAATAACAGCTGATGGCGGGTGTCATCGAGGAAGCAGAAGACGCGTACACTTTCGGAACACCTGGTCCTATTTTCCTTTTTCTTTTCAGGAGTCTCCGAGTAAATCTTACTTTTGTTTATGTTTTATTCTAATTTTATGGAATTAGAGATTGAATTATGCGTATATTGCCATATTGGTATTATCTTGATGGTCCATGAAAAGTGCTTTATGAGGAGACCAGATATCCAGGCAGGGTAAGCATTCGTCTTTACTTATGGCATCCGTGATGTAAATCTTGGTTACCTAAAGTAAATAATCTCACGTTCTCAAGTCATGCTTATATAAACAAAACCGCCATGCATATTTAAGAACAGAAAATAAAAATTATGAAAATGACCATAAATCTATATGATGGTTATCAGCCTGCGTAACTGAACACATACTCCCTGTTTGCATGCTGCTCCTCTAAGCGTTCCACATCTCTATCTAATGCACTGAGGATCCTTTTAAGGACATTGGTATGTATATTCTCGTCATCTGCTTTCGTCCATCCTTCCAACGAAATGAACATATCATTAGCAAATACCGTAAAATCATATAATTTCGCGGAGCTCAAGTTTTGTTGTTTTCTAAAATCATACATTTGCACAAACACTTGATCTCGTTGATAAATCTTGATCACTACATCCACTAGTATCATAATCCATGTCAAATTTTATCTATTTGTCATGTCGATTACAAATAAAGTCGTGAAGTATCCACAAATTAAACAAAAATAAAATTATTTAAAGTACTGTTCTGCAAACAAAGCAAAAAACAAGAAAACAACACACAAAAAAAACCTCATACGTTTCGTTAAACTAAAATGATTTCATAGTTAATGTAAGATGCATTAGAAAGGAAACTACATCATACAGTCGTTTCGTAGTGCTAAGACTCCTCAGTGGTGCTAAGGGCATAATTTTTCAAGCTAAGGTGAGGAAATAAAAAAGAAATCAAAAGAAAGTTTGAAACCTAATTGGGAGATTTACTAGCCCATGATTCAATTAATTTCGTAATTTCCATACATCTAATAATTTAAGGACAAAACCAAGTATATGTGTATATTCTGAATAAAAAACAATGATCTGAAATTTAAACATTGCAAATAGTGTTACCAAACTTTGCCAAAGAAAGGGTTTTAGTACTAAGCGAGATCATATTTTTTAGTTAGCAAGAATGACTTGTACCGATAAATTACACGCATGCTAATGTTTAAAAGTTTTAACCAGAAGTAGCTCTCACGTTATATTTACTAACCTGTCAAACAGAGCACTGTTATCAATAAATTAACCGTGCATATATACATATCAGTATGTTATTATATCACAATTTCCCGAAAAGATCAGTCACTGCATACTTCCAGTGAAATATTTCAGACTGTGTAGCTGGAAGTAGATTTGTAAGATATATACCACATTTTGATTGCTTTAGGTAACGGAATATATTTCACAAAATGAAGATAAAGGAAGGGCAGATATTTACTAATAATACATATATATATAGGTCTTTGGGGGACGCTAAAAAAAGGAGACTTGTGTAAACACAAGCAGCAATGTTATTAACAATTATGCTAATGAGTATTTCTGCATCTTGTCAAGTATATTTATATGCCCATTAGCACGGCGCGATTCTTCTTATCAGATGCACCTGTTTATTTTCAGTGCTGCTTTTTAATTTTGTCTTACAGTTCCATGTATAATTTAAAACCAGTGGAGAATGAGAAAATTAGATACGGATTGGTGCACTTGATTTCTCGTCAACAGTCGAAAAAATCCCTAGACACATGAAACATAAAACACATATTATGTTAATTTATATCGCTTTACTTTATTTGATTACAGCCTCCTGGTGTATGGAATTATTGAATAAACTAAACTCAAGTGAATAGCATATTTCAAACGAAATTACAATTAGATACAATAGAGATCAATAATGAATAGTGCACCATTCCACAGCTGTTTCCTCTACACAGGACCTGTCAGTGATGTTAATGTATCCATCCTACAGCTGTTTCCTCTACACGGGTCTTGTCAGTGATGTTAATGTATCCATCCTACAGCTGTTTCCTCTACACAGGTCTTGTCAGTGATGTTAATGTATCCATCCTACAGCTGTTTCCTCTACACAGGACCTGTCAGTGATGTTAATGTATCCATCCTACAGCTGTTTCCTCTACACAGGTCTTGTCAGTGATGTTAATGCATCCATCCTACAGCTGTTTCCTCTACACAGGACCTGTCAGTGATGTTAATGTATCCATCCTACAGCTGTTTCCTCTACACAGGACCTGTCAGTGATGTTAATGTATCCATCCTACAGCTGTTTCCTCTACACAGGACCTGTCAGTGATGTTAATGTATCCATCCTACAGCTGTTTCCTCTACACAGGACCTGTCAGTGATGTTAATGTATCCATCCTACAGCTGTTTCCTCTACACAGGACCTGTCAGTGATGTTAATGTATCCATCCTACAGCTGTTTCCTCTAAACAGGACCTGTCAGTGATGTTAATGTATCCATCCTACAGCTGTTTCCTCTACACAGGACCTGTCAGTGATGTTAATGTATCCATCCTACAGCTGTTTCCTCTACACAGGTCTTGTCAGTGATGTTAATGTATCCATCCTACAGCTGTTTCCTCTACACAGGACCTGTCAGTGATGTTAATGTATCCATCCTACAGCTGTTTCCTCTACACAGGACCTGTCAGTGATGTTAATGTATCCATCCTACAGCTGTTTCCTCTACACAGGACCTGTCAGTGATGTTAATGTATCCATCCTACAGCTGTTTCCTCTACACAGGACCTGTCAGTGATGTTAATGTATCCATCCTACAGCTGTTTCCTCTACACAGGACCTGTCAGTGATGTTAATGTATCCATCCTATAGCTGTTTCCTCTACACAGGACCTGTCAGTGATGTTAATGTATCCATCCTACAGCTGTTTCCTCTACACAGAACCTGTCAGTGATGTTAATGTATCCATCCTACAGCTGTTTCCTCTACACAGGTCCTGTCAGTGATGTTAATGTATCCATCCTACAGCTGTTTCCTCTACACAGGACCTGTCAGTGATGTTAAGGTATCCATCCTACAGCTGTTTCCTCTACACAGGACCTGTCAGTGATGTTAAAGTATCCATCCTACAGCTGTTTCCTCTACACAGGACCTGTCAGTGATGTTAATGTATCCATCCTACAGCTGTTTCCTCTACACAGGTCCTGTAAGTGATGTTAATGGATCCATCATGCAGCTGTTTCCTCTACACAGGACCTGTCAGTGATGTTAATGTATCCATCCTACAGCTGTTTCCTCTACACAGGACCTGTCAGTGATGTTAAGGTATCCATCCTACAGCTGTTTCCTCTACACAGGACCTGTCAGTGATGTTAATGTATCCATCCTACAGCTGTTTCCTCTACACAGGACCTGTCAGTGATGTTAATGTATCCATCCTACAGCTGTTTCCTCTACACAGGTCTTGTCAGTGATGTTAAGGATCCATCATGCAGCTGTTTCCTCTACACAGGACCTGTCAGTGATGTTAATGTATCCATCCTACAGCTGTTTCCTCTACACAGGACCTGTCAGTGATGTTAATGTATCCATCCTACAGCTGTTTCCTCTACACAGGTCTTGTCAGTGATGTTAATGTATCCATCCTATAGCTGTTTCCTCTACACAGGACCTGTCAGTGATGTTAAGGATCCATCTTACAGCTGTTTCCTCTACACAGGACCTGTCAGTGAAGTTAATGTATCCATCCTACAGCTGTTTCCTCTACACAGGTCTTGTCAGTGATGTTAATGTATCCATCCTACAGCTGTTTCCTCTACACAGGTCTTGTCAGTGATGTTAATGTATCCATCCTACAGCTGTTTCCTCTACACAGGTCTTGTCAGTGATGTTAAGGATCTATCATGCAGCTGTTTCCTCTACACAGAACCTGTCAGTAATGTTAATGGATAAATCATGCAGCTGTTTCCTCTACATAGGTCATGTCAGTGATTTTAATGGATCCATCATGCAGCTGTTTCCTCTACACAGGTCCAGTCAGTGATGCTAATGGATCCATCATGCAGTTGTTTCCTCTACACAGGTCCAGTCAGTGAGGATAATATTTCCATCCTGCAGCTGTTTCCTCTACATAGGTCATGTCAGTGATTTTAATGGATCCATCATGCAGCTGTTTCCTCTACACAGGTCCAGTCAGTGAGGATAATATTTCCATCCTGCAGCTGTTTCCTCTACACAGGACCTGTCAGTGATGCTAATGGATCCATCATGCAGCTGTTTCCTCTACACAGGACCTGTCAGTGATGCTAATGGATCTATCATGCAGTTGTTACCTCTACACAGGACCTGTCAGTGATGTTAATGACATACTAAAAAAGTATATTTTTAAAATAATAAGCAATAGCGGAAAACAACAAACTGTCAAATTCTAAGTCGGTGGTTGCACTGGTCCCTAATTCAGTTAATTTGATAGTTTTCATCTATGTGATCATTTTAGTAGAAATCCAAGTTCAAGCTTATGTTCTTTCGAGGCACTATTCGTACAAATTAAAATGTGATTTGCAGGTTACGGCAAAGCTTCGAGACTAAAAGTCCATCAGCAGTGAGTGTCTACTATCTGTACTGTTAAAGACTGAACAGGAGACACCCAAGTGAACCACAAATTTAGAATTAGAAACAGTAGAGCCAAAAACTTGAAATACACCTTACAACTGTAACATTCTTGTAGGACACCACATTGGTGCTAAGGGCCTAAATTGTAAAACCTAGGAGAGAAAATATACAGATCACCATTTAAGTCGCCTCCTGCGTCACGCAATGGGATCAACATGTACATCTTCTAACACCCTACGTGCAGAGTGGCAATTCATTGCATACTACTGTATAGATAGGGAATTGATTTTGTTAAATTTGTTTTCAATTTTTCAATATAACGCGAAATTTAATACTCAATAACTGAATGAAATAACAAGAAATTGTTCTCCTGTTAACTGTCTGAATACACAATCTAACGTTATAAATTTAGACATCTACTCTTGGTGCGTTCAAGACAATGGCTATGAAAGTAATTAACTAATATATATATATATATATACCTTGATCATGTAGTGATCACGTTCCGACACGAAGAAGATAAATATTACATTAATTTATAACGCCTTATAAAACAGGTGTTCATAGCAACAACGTCATGACAGACCTCTGTCTACTCATTCTTCATCATTTGCATTGTTATTGTGATACACATCACTTTGATAATTTTCCTATGTTTGTATTATGCATTCGCCTTTTAAAATTCTCATCCGTCGACCGCACCTCTCACGACAACAATTTCATCTTTCTTATATGTTTGTATCCTCTGTCATTGTCTATACTAATTTAGCTATCAGTTCTTAACTGTTCAACTCTCGACATCAATATCATCTTATATGTTAGCAGCCGGTGTCATTATATACTAATTTAGCTATCAGTTCTTAACTGTTCAACTCTCGACATTAATATCATCTTATATGTTAGTAGCCGGTGTCATTGTCTATACTAATCGATGTATATATCATCGACCGTTTAACTTTCGTCTCCAATATCACCTTTCTTATAAAAATAGTGACAGCTATATATGTTATGGTGTCCTAGGAGATACAAGAAGAATAAAATCGCCATCGTCTTTATTAATACATCGCATACTAGCACCAATAACTAATCGATATATTATTTTGTATGTATTACGACATTTATCACAATTTCTTGTTTGATTTGTCAAACCCTAATTAATTTTAATGAGTTAGTCACAACATTTTTTCCTATAAAAGATAAACAAACAATTAATGTGGAATCCTAATGTCTAGCGCGCGAGTGTTTTTTCGGATATCGCAAAAAAAAAAGATGAATTATTAATTTTAACACAGTTCATGCTTTACAGGCAGAACAAAAATGAATACTTTGATGTAATATCCGCAGGGACACATAATTGACGATCTTAATATTGTTTCACACCAGCAGCTATAGTAATTTATCTTATGAAATGACGTTAAAACGGAATTTATCTCTGTTCATCTCAGCTCATTAGCGAACTTAAGTCAGCTCACACCGTAATTCTGGACTATTTTTCGAAAGGTACGTGGAGGGCGACGGCAATGTTTTCACATTTCACAGGATATTTCTAATCGATTCGTCTGGATCATTCAACGAAGTCTTTCCTGGATGAAAAAAATCGTTTCCGCAATCGATCACCGACCATTACGGAATTATTAACACGTTAAAATATTCACATTCTTTACGGGACTATAAGTGTCGAGAAGTAATTTCCAGCAGTAATGACCTATTCCATAAAAATATCATTGTCGATTTTATAGCAGGAAACATTCACAGGGAATACATTTAAAGAGCTGTGATGCCTGATACATCAGCACTGACTGTCTTGTTGGAAATATCAGCGACGGTATTACTTCATTTTGGTTCCAGCAACGCTTTTATCAGCATTCGAAATAAGACATTTGTACATTTCCCAGAACATAGTGACGTTATCTATCTCACTGGTTTAATCGGTGGTGTTGCAACAACCAGTCTGACCAAATGTGCAATACAGTGCGAGAAATCCAACTGTCTCTCGTTCTCACATAGCACCAAAACAGGAGTATGCCGATTACATGATTTTAAATATCCACCTTGCTACCCAAACCCTGCAACGGTTAATAAAACGTCAACGCCCACGCCCTTTTATAGAGTTGACGACGGAGGTAAGCATTCTTTACCCTTAGAAACTAGACAAGACGCTAATGTAATAGATATTTTTCAATTTTGTACTTCAAGTTTCAAGTTTGAAGTTTTCACGTCACGTTTCAACTCATCATTCATCTTGGGAGAAGCAAAGGTAAGAGTTAGATACAGCAGAGCAAAACATTGAATTACACTGTGTCATATATCTAGAACTCAGTGATATTAAGGACTTAATATTTGATACCTAAACGTATATCTAATTAGCACACGGGTGAAGGCGGGTTATTTTAACACCGATTGCAGAGCAACATGTTATCAGATACCGATTTTTAAAAACCTCGGGGGCAGGGGGGTTAAGGCAGCGAAGGAGTAGAAAGGCAGATATGGAGTCCCTTGATCTGTGATTAATGCTGTCAAGTCACCAGTCGATTTGCTGTTCTCATGAGCACGTCAATATTAATCATGGATTTGATACCTTAAAAAGCTATGTTACATACCAGTATAAACATATAAACAAAAGATATACACGTTAGACTTCAGAAAAGTACAAAGAGAATAATACCAGGTGTTCTAGAATAGTAAGTCTAGAATAGTAAGTCTCTTGCTCATCGATGAAAACTGACATGCAAAATCTTGGGCAATGAAGTAAGTAATGTTTTTGTCCTCAAGTAAGATCAAGGTAACCAACAGGCAAACTAATGAACATCAAACACGCCAATCTCCCTAGGTAATTCAAAATTAAAACTAAAACACAAAATATCGTATCAAGTGCGTTCTAATTTGTTACAAGACCAGTTGTAACAAATTCAAGCGCAATATCTGATCATATCCGAATTTATTTAAAAGCTAGTTGTACCAAGGACAGGCAATATCCTGTCAAGTACGCCCCACCCTGTTGTAAAACTAACTTAACAAATTGGTAGGAAATATCAACAAATTAACACTTTGTATAACATTGGCATGCATTACGTCATAATATGTTACAAAAGTTGTTGAAACACAATGGTACACTACAAAGCTATTCTTGATTTATAAGACACAGTTTACAGAAATCAGGTTGCAAAGCACGGGTTATGATGTTTAACGCTGATGTCGTCAGAAGAATTCAAGTATTAGCTAAATATCAATAGCGCCAAAACTATTTGCGTTATCTACAACATCCATTATTCAACTTTATGAAATTGGCAAGTCAAGCGTACAAGGACTATCAATTATGTTGTTTGTTTGGCACACTTTATTTGAGATATTGATTCAAATATTTCAAAATCGATAGTGTTTTGCCTCTAATTGCAAATTGAATTGACTTTTATGCTTTTCTGGCATCTATACATTTATGATAATAAAAACATAACAAAGAAATGAGTAAATGTCAAACTTAACATCGCAAAATTAATATTACTTTGTTCAGTTGAACTGTAGGCATTCACAAACTGTAAGCATAGATTATTTTAGAAGTATTTTAATATCTCACGGAAGGCATTTGAATTAGCTGTAATTTTATTGATGTTTGTTCTTTATAATGGTGATTAATAGGTTTTTATTTTAGTTGTATATGAAACGTATTGTATTTTGTCACCCATGCTCTGTTGTATGTAGGTCTGATGATCCAAATTTTAAAACTTCTGGTTAGGATTTTTTGAAAGTTTAGATTCGGAAAGTAATTCAATAGAAAAAATATTAAATTGCTGTAATTTTTGTCCGATGCAGACGTTAAAATATGAGACATAAAGACATATATATATATTTTTGTTGTTGTTAATTTTAGGGCAACCCTTAAAATTGTTAAATTGTCATATGATTTCACAAGCTTAAACCTGCATAGCCAAAAAAAAAAAAAAAAAAAAAAAAAACGCTAAAAGAAAAGGAAAGCAACATCCTTGTATTCCCAACTTAAGGTGTTTACATGTAAGGAGGCTAAAGTGGCAATCTTTTATTCATATTTTGCCCTCGTTTTATTGAAGTTGAATTTTATGATTATACTGACATGAATTTCTTTAGTCAGTTTAGTCAGATGTAAACCATAGCATCTGTTGAGTTGCATTACATAGGTTTTGATTCTTATTTTACAAACAGACCAAGCTATTTGTCCGTGTAAGATGAATCTTACTGATGGCAGCTGGACAGTAAGTACTTAAGTGATTTGACATTGCAAACTTATTTTTACAATTTCTATTACAATTAGTAAACCAATTCCCAAAATTCAATGATCGCTCATTATATTCTCACATAAAATTACTATGACTTCAATCTTTAAGTTCTGGTGACGTATGCAAAAATCTTTGTTTCGCGCAGAAATATATATTTCTAGTAAAGTTTCACTATTTTTCAATTTAATTTTACCCTTAAAAATAGAGTGAAAATAGAAGTCCTCTAATACAGCAGGGATAAGAGTATGTTTCCCCAGCTAACCTTTCAAACTACTGTTGGAAGTTACATTGCTGTGTTAAACTAAACCCTGTATCAGATTAACTCATCGTATTACACAGGTAATGCAGCAGCGTTTTGATGGTTCTGTGGACTTCAGGAAGAACTGGATATCCTACAAAAAAGGATTTGGAAACCCTCCAGACGGAGAATTTTGGCTAGGTATAGTAACATTATCATGTAGCTAACTCACAAAGTGATATGATCATCAATATAATTACATATGAAGATCTGTTTTATAATAAGATTGACAAAACTATTGAGTAAAATGGTGAATAGTTTGTGTCTGCGTTGGTTATTTATCAACGAAAACAGAACCAACAATTCCATTTGATATTCTCTCTCCGAATTCCATTATTTGCTCGTGAATATATGTAATATCATAACACTTGTTATTGATTCTGCTTTGGTTTGTTCAAGGAAAGCAGTAAGTCTAACATACACGACCTTCTACCTGGCCTAACATCACAATGTATCTGCTGTCGTTTGACGAAATAAGTGGGAATATTCCCAACAAACCGTCTATATATAGCGCATTGGGAAATCAGAACTGAAAGGTCACTGGATTATATGCAAGTAATCAGTAAACCAATATGTTCATTAAAATTTCTGCTGAGGTTACAATTTGATTACTTATTGTGTTTTCGTTTAATTGATTTTATAATTTATACAAATATTTCATTCTATTCAGCTTAAGATAACGCACACCTGTTTTTACTTCATCAGGACCGCGCGAACGTAGTAAGAAATTCCACGAATAAGAAAGCATTTGTTTGTTTATATGGTAAATTGAGGAATACGGTTTCCATAAGAACAAACGTGTATGATTTTCAACAAGTTTCTTCAAAAGCATCATATGAAATCCTAACTTGTGCAGAATATCATTTTAAACAAAATACTGTTAATTATACTGATGTAAGAATTCGTCTGTTTTTACATTAATAATTTCTCAATCAAAGCAAAGTATTAGAGTTACGTAATACTATGCTTTCTACAAGTATCAGAAGGCTGAGAAACGGACATGATTGTAACCTTTCCAAGACACTTTACAATAATTACTTTTGTTGGCATGCGACGTGTCGTCCGTATGTTGTTAAGCAAGGTGGTAACCAGCTACTACAACGTGAACGCGGGCTCAAAATGACGCTGACTGTTCACTGAGCGATAAACCCAAAAGAACCATCAATGAAAATACGGACATGTTAACGTGATCTTAAATCACATATAAAGTCGATGAACAGGTGATCGAGAAGAGTAAGCGCCTTCTGCTTCATCGACGCCAACCGTCATGTAAAACTTGTTCAATCCATGTACGTAATGTCATGTTCTCAAATGAGAGTAAGGTATAAAACAACCTGCAAACTAACGAGCATCAAATGCGTCCAGCTTCATGCAACACAAAGAAAATTGAATATTTCTCAACGATGTCACTTTGTCGACAATAAAATGTCCCCATACTTTTTATCAACCTGCTCCATTTGTACCTTTGTGTTACATGTTTGTTAGTCAGTTGAGGACTTCTAGCACGAAGATCATGATAAATGGTACAGGCTTTTGAATATTGAATCAACTGTTACATGTGAATACTATCGGTTTGAGATGCAGGGTATTGCTATTTACAATAGGGAAATTGAAATAATCACGTTTATCATTGATCTTGATGGAAAGCTGTCCATGTTGGTTTCGTTGTAGGAAAAGATCGAAATAAGCAGCTGATGTAGAAGTGTCTATGTTATCTTTGATTTCCAGTTCTGGTGGATATATATGATTTTCGTAGTCAACAAATGTCTTTTTTTAACGACAAGAATTCATCAATGCATCTGAAGGTGAAACTGAATGATTTGGCAAGGTATTTGTAACCTGTTTTGATAAGCTCTTCAATGAATTCAGCCTCGTATGAAAACAAAAACAAGTCAGCCAACAGATGGGCGAAGTTGGTTCCGATAGGTAGACCAATAGTCTGTTGGAAGATCTTACCACCAAATTCGACCAAGATGTTGTCAACCAAAAATTTGATCATTTGTATGATTTCGTCCTCCTTATAGTTCTTTGATTTGGACGTAATGTTTGCGAAATACCCTTCAATATAGTTCACATTCATATATTTATACCGTCGTTCACCTTTCTAGGAGAAGAAATCTCCCATAATAAGAGAACGAAGGTGTTCCGTCGGTTTAGAGTAGGGTATTGTGGTGTACAGGATGGAAAAATTAAATGTTCTTATAGACGAAAAAGAAGAAAGTGTTAAAGATTGGTCAAAAACTCTTTGGAGTTCTTCAAAATCCACATGTTATGAAAAAATTCCACTTCTTGAGTAAACAGTATCACAATAAGACTGTAACCCAGATTTGATAGTACTTAGAATGTTGATTGATATTTTGGAAAAAAAGGCTTGGTTACAGAGTTAGACGAACCAGCTGTAAAAAGATCTTTGTTTATATGGATTGTTGGGAAGTTTAGGGATCCAGTATAAACGGGGGAGGTCCATATCTTTATCATTAATAGGCAATCTAAATTATTGTAATACCGAAGCATGATTAACATGTATTTCGTCTTTTGAAAGATTGCATAATGTTTATGTGGGGTTTCCTTCTTTATCAAGCAAGCCCAGTTCTTTTTGTATACAAGAAATGTAATAATGTTTGCAGACAAGGGTCAAGTTATTGGACGCCTTATCTGTATAACACATTTGTCATGTAAATCTTCAAGTGTGGATTTAACATCAGGATCTGACCTGTGTTTTATCTTCATTTTCGATTTCAAGCTGCAAATTATTCTACAAATGAAGGACAGAATGGACTTAACTCACTCAGAAAGTGAATCAAACGCAGCATGATCTCGTTTCGCTTATTCTGAGGTAAAGGTTTTAACAGAATCCATACGCATCTTTAATTTTACATTTATATTAATGGACGGGGTTTCACGATATTAAAGACCCTTCGTGAGAAGGTCTCACAGCTTAACATTTTGAATATTGCCCAAATCATCAGTTACTATGTATCCAGTTAGACCATAGTTATAAGTAGATGTAAAACAAGAACAAGCTGACGGAGGACTAGTTCTAAGGTCATCTACATTCAGTTGTTGCAGTGTTTGTTTGTAGTTGAAAAGTTGGATGCAATGAGCTTAGAGTAACTGTAGGAATTTAGAAGGGTGTATCTACTTTGAAAGTATTAGCCTGAACAGACTTCTGGTGTAAAATATTTACAGCATCCATGCCCTTATTTACAAACTCAACTTTGAAAAATTGGCGAGTTGTTGGAGAATCGCGGCCATCTGTAAGGACAGGTTTAAAGAGCCTGATATGTGCCACATCAACAATAATTTTATGAAATCGACCAGCTAGCTTCCAAAGGTCATCAGAAGCAGTATTAGCCGATCGACTTGACCATTTCGTAACACGGAGAGATGAAGCGAATATAACGTAGTTCGAACATGATTGATACCTAGTGGTTTCTGTCAAGTATCCATTAGATTCCTAACGTGACCGTATATCCGCTAGATTTATTATAATACCTGTATCTGTGGCTAAGATTACGTCTAGATTGAGGAATGAATAAAGCCATAACGTTAGTTACTGTATCCAGGACTGATAAAATTTTACACGCATCTCCTATCTTCAATAGCGAGTCTATATTTTCGCTTGTGTCAGTAAAATCTTTTATGCTTAATTTACAGGACTGGAAGACGTTTACCATTTAACCAGTACAAGTAAATACATTCTTGTGGTAGAATTGGTCGACAAGGATGGGATTAGAGGCTGTGCAAGTTTTGAGGAGTTCTCAATCGGTCCAGAATCAGATGGTTATAGACTGAACGCTTGGAAATATCAGGGCACGGCGGGTAGGTAGTATTCCATCATGTTCCCATTCACAACCTTGATGTCGCCATTATATAAAGTTCGATTCTAAAGTCAAAAGTAAGAATTTTTCAGCATTACTTAATTTTACAATTCTTTACACAGAAACAACAACGACAAGAACAGAATGTAACTGAAATACCACTATCATTGTTTTCTAAGTGCCAAACCTCCAGACGAAGCTGATAGTAAATGAGAAAAACTATTAAGATATTTTATTTTCAATAATCAATATTTTGACACTATCCATCGTTCATATCGCCATAAAACATGTTTTAATATAAAACCATTTCGTCTTGCCCATTGTTCTTTGCTCAATGCACCTTATATTGTAATAACAAATGTTACGTAACATCGTTTCTCTTGATTACTATACTGAAAGGATAAAGAAACGCAGGGTAATATTTATTCCGATATTTTGAAAACGCGTTCTCCAAATAAAGTAAAACTTTGTGGATTGAGTAATTAGGTCATATTACACCTGGTCATGTATCGAAAATTTAGTCACGGCACAGTGCGCAGCTCTGGTAAATGGTGGAAGGAAAAACAAGAATCTCGTGCACCGTGTTGTTCTGGTCTCATGCAGCGTTGGTCAAGTCACTCTTCGTTAGTCTTTATACAGACCAACTGCTTCCCTAAAATTAATTGAGAATTTGATTCGTTTTAAGAATGGCACGACTCACAGAGGTTCAGAGTGGTCAGGCCATTCAGATGCTGATGCAAGGACAGCTGCAAAACCAGGTTGCTAGGCACTTTGGTGTTAATGTTTCCACAATAGAACGTCTTGTAAGACGTCTTCGGGAAACTGGGCGATTGGCCGATCGACCTAGGTCAGGACGTCCGCGCATAACGTCACGACGTCAGGATCGCTATATCGTCGTCTCTCATGTGCGTAATCGGCGCCTTACTGCCGTTGAGAGTGCACTTAATGTTCGTGGAAATCATGGGCGTCCTATAAGTTCAAAAACGTAGGTCCACACCTTACCCCTGCTCGACGTCAGCGTCGTATGGCATGGGTCGCTGCACATGCTCCACGACGGTTTCCACTGAGGCAGTGGAGACAAGTTTTCTTCACGGACGAGTCTCGACTCTGTCTTTATCGATCTGACGGCCGTCAACATGTCTACCGACGTCGTGGCGAACGTTTTACGGACACTTGCGTTGTAGAGAGGTATAGGTTTGGGGGCGGTTCAGTAATGGTGTGGGGAGGAATCTCACACGAGTTAAAATCACAATTGGTTGTTATTGATGGCAATTTAACAGCAGCTAAGTATAGAGATGAGATCCTCCGACCCCATGTTATCCCTTTCTTACAGCAGCATAATCTAACCCTCCAGCAGGATAATGCTAGGTCCCACATAGCAAGGATTTGCCAAGTCTTTCTGGCCAACAACAACATTCAACCACTAGATTAGCCGCCATATAGCCCTGATTTGTCCCCGATCGAGCATCTTTGGGACCAGTTGGATAGACAGGTTCGAAAGCGCCAGCCACCCCCTGCTACTCGAGAGCAGTTGACCAGAGCTCTGATTGAAGAGTGGGACAACATCCCCATAAGACGGATTAACGCTCTCATGAACTCTATGACCAGCAGAATAAGGGCCGTGACCACAGCAAACGGCGGACACACAAGATATTGATGACTCAGTTCAATTTCAATTTCAAAATCCTATGGGTCCATTCAATTTAATCGTTAGTACCTCTAAACCAATTGTCAGATGCAAAATACAGAGTTTGGAACTTTTTAAGCTTTAATTTATCTGTAAGTATAAAAAATTTTGTTTTAAATGAAGCCCGATATCATATTTAATTTCTGGTTTAAAGTTCACCCTGCGTTTCTTCATCCTTTTAGCATATTGTAGTATGATAAATAAGTGCTTGATTTAAATAACTCTTGTTACTAACGTAACGCTGTCCATTCAATTATATAAGCGTTGACTCCATGTTAACCTGAAACTGGCGCTGCTGCATTTTAGAACGCACATTTTGAATTGGTCGAAATCACTTTCTGATTTACCTAAATATTACATTTGAAATAATAAGAAGATGTTTAGATGCAATTTTGTTTGTTTTAATGAACAAGTGTATTTACTAAGATTCCTTGGATTACTAATACATGTATGTCTATTGACGTTTGGAATTATTAACCAGAGTAGCGTCAATGCCATGTTAACATTGACTGACGTAACAACACAATGTTGAAGTTTTGAAGTCGGCATTTCCAAAAAGTGTTGCAGGATAAATAGAATACATGGTCAGTGTCTTAAACATCAGCTGCATTTCGGATAGGGAGATTAAGACACCTTGATCTTTCTTCATCCTCTCCAAAATATGGCTTATATTTTGAGACACTGACCATGTATTCTCTATATATTCGTCGTTGAGCAGAGTACGATTGAAGGGGTCTAGCTTTAAGTCCTTTTTCAATAATTGATAATAACATATATTAGTGATTGATGTGTGCTTTTTGTAGTGTCTAAATTTACAACAGTTTCGGTAGGCACGCCTGCGTCTTCATCTTATATTACAGGGAACAGTTTAGCCTATCATAGCAACATAAAGTTCTCGACACTGGATCGCGATCATGATAACAGAGAGGCATCGATGATGAGTTGTGCTGACGAGTACATGGGAGGTAACTGGTACAATGCCTGTGTGGTCCAAAATTTGAACGGTCTATACCTCCAACTGCCAAACAGCCCCAAAGCGATGGTTTGGAAAACATTTCGTAATTTCACTGGTTTACTGAAAAGCAAAATGCTATTGAAAAAGAAATCTGAAGTTTATAACTTTACATAAAACACAGCCACGTTCAGTGACAATTGATACTTTTTTTTAAACAATGCGAATTCCATCCATCTTTATAAACAATACAAAATCCATAATTTGTTCAGAAAACGTTTCAGATGTAAAGTTTCTGTTATTTTACAATCAATAAACAATCAACAAACCCCCATACCAATTCAATTTACACTCTTAGTTGAATTACATATGTTTCTGTTTTTCAAAAACTGGCTTTATTTTTTAAAGTTTGTAAATATATGTCGTAAAAGACTTTTGAAATATACGAATGACCTGTCGTTGTTTTGTTAGAAAACACATTGTTATTATTATTGTTATTGTCTTTGACTTTTGTAAATGTTACATATTCATTTGATAAAGCAGTTTTTTCACATCTTTAGATTATAACAAATTTGGTAATTGAAATGTTCGTCGTAGTTACAACGTAATAGTTGTACAAGTCGTATCCACATATTTTAACAATACGGTCCACGTATTCCTAATTATGAAAACCATTAAGGTTAATCTAAAGGTTGCTATTTTGAAAGCGGTCATTTGTCCCTATTTTCGATAATGGTTCATACTTAAAGTCTCTCTTGAGAGCAGGAGTCATTTACACTCGTAAAGCAAGTGATTTTACGATGAATATCTACATACAAGAGCAGGTAACTCTATATTACGAAAAGACGGAAATGCCGGCCATGTCAAAATACGCTTGAGGTACTTCTTATTGTCAGAGGTTTCTGTACAGGATGTTGTCAACAACTACAAAACAGATGATCCTTGTTCAAATGTGCGACATTTTGTTCAAATTCTATTTTGGTTTCAGATGTTTCTGAAAACTAGTGTAGAAGATTTTATAGGATATATAAAATATCTGATCCCTGTTCTCATTAAGATTTGAAACTGGTGCTTAATCATAAAAAAACAGCTGGCTACTTTGTAATTGCCAAGTACATTTGTCGTTTAAGTATCATTCCATAAATTTCCTAAAAGTTAAGCCAGTCAGACTTGATGAATAGCAGTCCACTTCTGCTTGAAACCGCATAACTTTAAATGGGAGCTCCGCCTTACATGCTATAAATAATTAATTTTCGTGTGATATGTTGGTATTTATATAGTTTAATATCAAGGTACGGCCATGATAGCTTCGAATAGTATTGTATGATTTACGAAATAAAAACAATCTTGATTATTGATGATTTGTTTATTTTGTATATTTAAAATTTCTACAGAAGAGTGAAGTGAAATGCTTAATCTTCATTACACTAAAACAGCAATGTCTTAAAGACACAGGTAACGTTTTATTGAAATTGCAACAGACTATAATTAGAAACAAAACCCTTGAATATCGAATCAACTTCCACACGTAAATTGTTGTAAGATTTTATGAAGCGATTCTTGGAAGGTTTTATTTTTTAAGTCTTAGCTTATCGATCAGGCACTTTTGATCGCCTAACGAAGGAAAGTTTGATTTTGACAGGTTTTAAAGTAAAAATTTCTAGGTAAAATTAAAACGAAAGCATCCATGTTGTTGTGCCATTTTCATTTCATGACGTGACAACATTTCAATATTATGACATCACAATCAATATGTTACATTCTAGTTCATGATATATTGCAAAGGTGACATTTACGCTGAAATAGTGCCTGAACGAGTTCACTTAATAACAGGTCAAGGATTCTTATCAATAACACGAAACGAAAATCCATAATAGGGAAAATGGAATCATTGAATTTTTAATTCTTAGTGGTAGGATTACATGTTGGTGATGACGTAGGAGGAAAAGATGAGGTAAAATGCTCACAAATAAGATTTTCCCTGCAGGTTTCGATGATCTATTTATTGATTGATGCATTCAATTTGACTTTTGAGTTAGCAGTTTTGCAGTTATTTGGCAATTCATTTTTTTTATTTTGTGTAATCAGAAATGGAAGACACAGGTGAAACACACCCACAGGCCACCATTTCGGACTCTCGGATAAAAGCATTTAACCGTAGCGACGTCGCTCCTATATTTCCACAGCCTGCAGGCCTGACCTCTATAAACCCTGGTTCAATATCACATGAACAGGCTGTGTTGTATTCGGCACCACTGTTTAACAGTGAAGCGAGAAAAAACGATATCTCTTTGAAATATCACCTTACAATTCCGCACTAACCGACTCCAAGAAACCCCTTCTCTAGAATAGTCCTGCAACATCTTCTGCCATTAGACTCTATTTATAACGCCATATCGTCTCCAACATTCATGAATCATCTTATTCAGACTATCATTTACACAGTAGCCAACGTGGTTACGTCAATCATTCAAAAACCTCTCATGGATGAACTACATCCTATTATTGAACAACATGTCTCCAGCCTAATTAGTGACGGTGCCCTGATCAAGGACGCTATTTTGCAATGTCAGCTCTCTTTTTCCATGAACGATGTGCACATGAGTGGTCTTACTGACAACATTACAATGCAAGAAGCAGCCACTGAATCTTTGAAATCTAAAGTCGAGAACTTAGAAAAAAACAAAAGATGATCACCTAAAAACCCTAGAGGAACAAGAACAATATTCTCGAAGAACATGCCTTAAGTTCTTAAACGTGCCGGCACCACCTGACCAAACTAACCGATCATTTGATGCATTAGCTCCCGTCCTGTCTATCTGTGAACGGTCTTTGAAGTCGATGTTCCTTCCAAGGCCATCTCCAGATGTCAGATCCTTAGCCATATTAAAATCCACAAGGTGAACGTGATAGTGCGGTTCGTTAGGTATTATGGCCGCCAGCGTGTGTTTGAGGCTAACGGCAATCTCCAACAAAAGCCGGATAAAACTCTCGTTGTTGAAGCAATGACCAAAAAGCGCCAGACTACTGTAAATGAACTGAACAAACTTCGGCACGAGAAGAAAATAGCGTCTTTCAGGACACGCGATGGTCGAATCTTTGTGAAGAAAGATACTGTCTTCCAAAAGGTGCAAATATAAAATCTGTCCGAAATCACGAATATGGTTCCCAATTATGTCTACTCGACTAGGGTAACCGATAGTGCACATCTTTGATCAGCAATTGTAGCAACTTACTGGTCGTGATCGACAGACAAATACATATATTTATGTTATATATTTACCTCCGTGTATTACCTTAATTAAATGCAGTGATTCAATTTTAGGTAATCCCATACCCTATCTCATCTCTCCCTGTGTTCGATCTGCAAAGGTTTTGTGTTAATCTTGGATCTAGATTTTATAAGCTGCCTAAGCGTTCATTACACTAATTAGTTTTTGTGTTAACATACCCAATTAAGATTTTTAACATTTGTCTTTTACCTTTTGGTTTGTTTAATGTTATTTCTTATTGGATTGCTGTGTGTTTTACCGTTTGATGCCCCTAATGACCTGTTCGGTTGCCAGCATCCATAGGTTTCATCTTGTGTAACCATGGCCGCAGCAACCTTATCGTTTTCTTTTGAACCATCAGTATATAAATGTAAAAATGTTTCATATTTTAACTGCAATTTCGAGAAGGGTGAACGAAAGGTGTAACTGTGTTTGATTTAACCGGCTACCGAACAAAACCTCAATATTCTCGGCAAAAAAAAACAAAGTAATGAAAGCTGTTATCCATTCATACTCTCTTTCTGTCCTACAAAGTCTTAGCAATAGAAATATCGAAAATATTGTCATTCGTAATACATTAATGCTATATTATGAACTTGCCTTTAACTTTCGTATTGCTTTTCGCTGGGTTCCTGGGCACAAGGGAATACCAGGCAATGAAAAAGCAGATCGTGCAGCAAAGGAAGACTTATCGCTACCACCTTTTGTTTTTAAACTTCATTTTACCGATTTTAAACCATTTATTAAACAAATTTTAAAAACTCAGTGGCAGGAGGAATGGAATACATATACCAAATTGCACTCCATTAAACCTGTTATCGGTGAATGGTCTCCAGGCTACAGAGACAACCACCGAGACGAAGTTTCCCTTGTCCGTCTTTGGATGGGTCATACATACCTTACACATTCATATATGTTGAAAGGCGGAGATAAGCCTTGGTGCATAGGATGTGATGAGCCATTCACCGTTAAAGATTTTTGTTGGACTGCGTTGACCTTCTGTCTACTCGAGAATGTTTTTATCGTAACATTACATATCTAAAATCCCTTTTTGAAACTGTTGAGATTTGTAAAATTCTACATTACCTGAAAGATGTTGGTCTATATAATATACTTTGACGTACCATTTTAATCTTTTGTGTTAACATACCCATTTAAGATTTTTAACATTTGTCTTTTACCTTTTGGTTTGTTTAACGTTATTTCCTTTTGGATCGCTGTGTGTTTTACCGTTTGATGGTCCTAATGACCTTTTATGTGTTGAAGGGCCTTTAAGAATGTAATAATAATAATAATAACTATTATTGATAAAAGTAAAACCGAACCTAAAACATATTGGAAACTATTGCATATTTCGATAAAAGGTAAGAAACATTGAAATACCTCCTCTTTATGAAGAAACGTCACATGAATATACTTTTAATAACAAAGACAAGTGTGAGTTCCTAAATGACTATTTTACCTCCATATCTTCACTTTCCGATAATGACAGGTCTGTACCTCACTTAGAAAAAAGAACTAATTCTACTCTTTCAGATCTTATCATTTCACCTACTGAAATTGAGGATATAATCCACTCACTTAATGTAAGTAAAGCTTCAGGTCCTGATGGAATTAGTCATAAAATGTTGGAAATTATTAGTAATTTCTATACCCCTTTCTATTATCTTTAATTTTTCACTTTCCCGAGGCTCTTATCCCAATAAATGGAAATTTGCTAATGTAATGTCTATCTTCAAATCGGGTGACCACAACAAAGTGTCAAACTACAGACCTATCTCTCTTCTTAGTTGTATCGGTAAGCTATTTGAACGTGTGGTGTATAACCTACATAACTTGCTTTTTGATAACAGGCTAATTTACAAATTTCCATCAGGTTTCTTGCCTAATAATTCTTACATTCATCAACTTATTGAGTTGTATCACACTCTTCAACTCAGCTCAGAAAAATATGAATACAATGCATTTGTCTTTAGCGATTTCTCTAAGGCCTTTGACAGGGTTTGGCATACTGGCCTTATATATAAATTGAAACAATATGGAATTAATGGTAAACTTCTTCAATGGTTCTTTAGTTATCTTTCCAATAGAACACAATCTGTCTTTATCAATGACTGTTGCTCTTCTTTGTAGACTACCACTGTAGGAGTTCCACAAGGGTCTGTTCTAGGGCCCCTGCTTATCCTAATTGATATTAACGATATCTATACAGAACTTAATCTTATTCACGCGTGTTCGCTGACGACACGTCACTCTCCTACTCGAAATATAACTGACATAGAATTAGCAGTTAATAGTGATCTGAGAAAATTAGAAAAATGGTCGAAAGATTGGCTGGTGTATTTTAATCCACACAAAACAGAAATAATGATAATAACAAACACACAGCTTAAACACCAACCCCACTTAATTCTAACAATACGTATTTTAAACTTACAGATCAACAAAAACATCCAGGAGTCGTACTGAGTAGTGACGGAACATGGAATAAACATGTAAAAATAATTATTAGAAGGGTATCTTAATATATAGCAACTTTACGTAGGTAGAAATTAATTCTAAAAAGACACACTTTAGAAAATATGTATCCATATATGCATACATAAGGCCATTATTGGAATACGCTAGCGAAGTATGGGATAACTGTGGAGTTATTATGTCATCAAATCTCGCAAAAATCCGTCTAGAGGCAGCCCGAATTGTTACTGGTTTACCCATATATACTAGATCTGACTTACTATTAAGAGAAACGGATGGGAAGAACTTAAATTAAGACGTCAATATAGAAAGTTATCCATGTTTATACTATAATTAAACGGGACTGCACCATCTTTCCTCACTGATTTTCTTCCTGAACATATTGGCAATCTCACTAGCTATAAACGAAGATCAGTACGACAGCCAACTTATTGTCTTCAATCTATGTGCAACTAAGTTTTCCCTTCTACAACACAACTCTGGAATGGTTAAGGTGAGTCTTTAAAAACTGTTCGTTTACTGATTTTGTTTAAAACCAAACTATGTACAAGAAGCACCAACAAGCATAAATCGTGTTTTTTATAACATGGCTCTCGTCAGCTAAGTATTCTTCGTTGTCGTTTGAGAAATAGAATAAATTCACTCAATTATAACCTATTCAGAGCCAATCTCACGAACTCTGCATTTAGCTCCTGCGGACATCCCTCCGAAGACTCCTTTCATTACTTACTTCACTGTACCAACTATGTATAAATGCTTAACACTCTATTTACCGAACTGTCGTTGTATCCGGGTGATATTTTGATAGACTTCCTTTTAAGCTAAGTTCACCTGAAAACTCGCTTTTAGCTTGAGCTGTTAAAAAATTATTGATGCATCTGAGCGATTTGGCTAGTTATCTGCATTCCTTTCCTCCTTTGTGCTATATACTCCCTTCTTCCCTCCTTACCTACCATCCTTCCTTCTCGCCAGTCCTTCCCTTTTGTTTCAATAAAAAATATTATTATGTAGATATTGTTACATTGTTTGTTAAGTAATGGTGTATAAACTAGGTAATGGAGAAGGCTTTATAAGTTTGTAAAACTTGTGTCTTATCCTATTGTACGAACTTTCTGCATTAAAATCATTATTAAATAAAAAAAACATATTTATCTAGATAGGAAAACGACAAGGTGGTCAACATACGGGCACATTTGTTTTATAGGAAAACGACAAGGTGGCCAACATACGGGCACATTTGTTTTATAGGAAAGCGACAAGGTGGCCAACATAAAGGGCACATTTGTTTTATAGGAAAACGGCAAGGTGGCCAACATACGGACACATTTGTTTTATAGGAAAACGACAAGGTGGCCAATATACGGGCACATTCAGTTTGTTTATGCTTATACAAGAACGTATTGTCGTTGTTTTTGAAGCGATTGCGTGGAAAACTTGGAAATAGGGAAAAAGTGCGCTGATTTGTCATGCACTTCTAGTGATAATTCTCTCGTTTACATTACACATTTCGTTGGGCCATTCTCACGACTCCGTCCCACGTTCATTCAGTTTTAACTCAGACGAAGACTGCTGGTCACCACAAAACTGTGCGATTATATATGACAAACGAGAAGATATGATGTGAATCTGCTCACAAAGTGCACGGAAATTTACTTGGAAAAGTTGAAGCGTCTGATAGAATAAATACACAAATGTACAATATAACGGATGTGGGTTCTAAAGGAGATGTAAACTGGGAAACAAAGGTCAAGTGAGGGCAACAAGAAACCGCAAAGCTAACGGTTACAAAATTCCAGACAAAGCAAAGAGCTAGAACCACTCTACACAAAGCTAAGGTTTTGAACAATTCCACACAAAGATAAGGGCTCGAACAATTCCAGAGAAAGCTAAGGGTTTGAACAATTCCAGACAAAGCTGAGGGTTGGAACAATTCCAGAAAAAAACTAAGGGTTTGAACAATTCCAGACAAAGCTAAGTGTTTGAATAATTCCAGACAAAGCTGAGGTGAGGGTTTGAACAATTTCAGAGAAAGCTAAGGTTTTGAACAATTCCAGACAAAGCTAAGGTTTTGAACAATTCCAGACAAAGCTAAGGGTTTTCAACAATTCCAGACAAAGCTAAGGGCTTGAACAATTCCTGTCAAAGCTCAGTAAGGATTAGAACAATTCCTCTTTGAGATTAACTACTATGCTTACTGATGCTGTGAGTGCGGGGTGTGTCTCTGCTCTCAGATTTATATGAAAATTATTCCACAAAAAATGACATTGAAAAACTGCATGTGTATATACATTAAATGTTCTGCACGCACTGTGCTTTGAACTGGGGACTCGGGGTAATATCGTCATGTGTATTGGAGGGGAAGCAACTCTTACCGTAGTAAAAACAAAGGGGTAGTTAACGATATTACTCTTATTGTTTTACTCGTCGTATATATATTTACTCTGCTGGCAAAAAAATCCGAAATTATTAATTATATACAAGTAAATGTATTTATTGTATTCAAAGTTGTGTGTACAGTGTCCAGTCTTCCGAAATAAATCTTCTGTTTCTCACGTAAAGAGTTATCAACGAACAGCGCCCTCTACACCTTTCGGTATCACTCGGATTTTTCCCTAAGAATGGTCATACTTTCTAGAGAATGCATACCAAACATGAATGGAAAATGGTGAGCTATCCTGTCACTTGTGTCAAAAGAGCAACTTTTTGAGAATGTTAACTTAAGGACGAATAGTTTAGCGATGTTTTGGGATTATATTGGTAGAGTGAACTTTGATTCGAACAGGTAACGTTTTGTGATGTGAAACGATCTGTTTAGACTATGAATCAAGAATGTGAGAAATGTGTCTGTTTGATAAAACGGACAGGTGAACAGCTGACCGGAGATATTTATGAGATATGCCTCTGTAACCAAAAGTAGACCTTTGACCTTTCTGTCAGAACGATGAACTGTAACGCACATAATGATTACGACTTTTTTTAAAAGAAAGATTTAATGATGGAGATGGCTGCCTCAGATTTTGAGGGAGGGGCGGGGCCAAGCTGAGGTGCCAATATGACATATGAGAGCACTTAATTTTACGAATGGGGTTCGAGATAAGTGTTCAGTATGATGTCTGTATTATATTTCTGAGTTCAATCGATTGCTTTACCGTCCTACTCAGTCAAGTAAGGTTTACATTAGGTATTTCATAAATGTGGTATTTTTTTTCAGATGAGATGGGATCAGTCCCTTTGTATATTTTGAATGGAATTGCTGAAAATAACTGGAGCCCTTTATAATTTTATACTCAAAAGACTACAGGCTAAACACAAACTCTTTCATCCTTCCTGAACTTCCACACTATCAATTATGTTTTATTAATTTTATAACAAGCGAGAAAATGACTTACATTATTTACTCTTATTGCCATACATAGACAAGCCAAGAGCCTTACTGAAGGAGGAAAACAGAGTACCCATATAAATCTCACATGGTCAGATTTTCAGGTCCATTTGGGGAATTAAGCTCCAACCTTGTTGATCTGGTGAAAGACAGATGTATTTGTTTTTAATGTACACTGATCACCAATATATATATGATATGTAACACTAATCAGACTCTGATACAATTACAACAGGTAATTAAAATATGAAAACTTCTGATAGACAATATTACTGTATATGATGCTTTATGTTAATTTATCGATATTTTGGATGTTGAAACACAACAGAGGAAGACAAGTTTTGAATGTGGCCCACCGAGGCATCGACCTTATGATCTATGGCACCAAATTGTCTAGCCAAGAAAATTCAGATTGTCTAACCAATATATCACCATGACATCCCTTAAATTTTTGGGAGTTGCACTGATAGAAAGCTGGAATTTTCTCAACATTGTTTATGTTTTTTAATTGTTTAAACACAGAAAGATATATTTGTGCTTTTATATACATATCTGTTCCTGTTTTACTGTAGCAGAAAGCAGTCAGTTGAGTCTAGTGTGCTGACTTTACAAAATTGTAAATTCAATCTCTGTGATTGACATTCACTTATGGATATGTTCTTTTCATTATGTTGTTGTGATAAAATTGGTGATAAATACATTATCAAATTTCTTTTGTTATTTCCTACAGATAATCAGGAATGTTTGCTGGAGCATTGAATGCAACTCATTACTTGGATGATGATGCAATAGAGTAATATAAAATGGCAGAAACCAAATCGATCTTCTCCGTATCTGGTAGACGTCCATCAGGGGAGATCACCCAGGTTCACAAACCAACTAATCCGAAGTCACCATTGGGAGAGACTAGTCCAATACATAGGAATGGTACAGCAGATGTTGACTGTATTTTTGGTAGCATGCCGAACCCAACAAGTGTGTTAGAACAGCTTGGGTGTCAAGACACAGCAGCTTATCAACGTGTTGGGTCTTCATTTTCGCATGTTGGATCAGTGTACCAACGAAGTGTGTCCTGTTCAGTCCTTGAACACACCAAAGGCTGGGCTAGCGATTTGAAAAGTAATAAGGAAAAATCTGTTGTTTCTAGCTCACAAAAGGATCAATCACAAGTTACAGGTACCTCTCCACAAGAACAAACACAAGTAATCAACACTTCTTCACAAGGACAGATACAAAATACAAACGGTTGTTTACAAAGTCAAACACATCAATCTAGTTCAGGTTCTAGTGAGGACCTCTGTTTGCAGGGACACACAGCTTCAGTAGTAAGTAACGGCCTTCAGCAACATAGTACAAGCAAACTTCAGACAATTGATAATGTAAATTTGGGAAAGGAATCGAAAACCTGTAATCATCAAAATGTGACGTTTAAAACAGATACAGAAATACAAAAAAAGGATGTGTCTCTAACATTGACCCTGGACAATTTGAGATGTGAACCAGAGACTGAAGGTAAGGTGACAATGGATTCAAGTGAGGATGAGAAAGTGACAAATGAAAGGAGCATTACATCATCAGATGGGGATAAATTCCCTTCCCCACGAGGTGGAGAGGAAGGACAGGTTTGTGGCAAGCCGCCACTCCCTGGGGGCAAGGTTAAGGCCAAATCTTCAGCTTCTGGGAAACAATCATGGCTGCTGAGACTGTTTGAGTCTAAATTGTTTGATATGTCTATTGCTGTATCATATCTTTTCAACTCCAAAGAGCCTGGTGTTCAAACCTACCTTGGTAAGTGTGCCGGCAGTATCACATACATCTACAGATTGTCATATTAGGTCGGTGCAGAAAGAAAAATGTTTTCATGGAAGGAAAATGATCTATCTTTACAACAAAACATTTTAGCTTGCTCCTTTGTACTATGAGAAATCTGTGAGCTTTATCACACTTTTAATGCCATTATCTCCCTTAGAAGGCACCTTCAATCTTTAATATCTTCTCTATACTTTTCCTATGCCATTACTGAATAAACAAAACCCTTGAATTTTAATGACGTTTACTATTATGAGTTGTCGTCATACATTTCCCATTCACTACACCTGACATGGTTGAAGTGTTCCTTCTCAACAGTCAGTACACAGTATATTTATAATGATTTTCCTTTGCATTTTGTCTGTCAATATTTGTGTTTTAAGAAATGTCAGTCATCATACAATTTGTGTCTGATGAATAATCTAATTCTGTTACAGGTAATCGTATGTTTAGTTTTGATGAGGCTGATGTTGACTTCTATCTGCCTCAGATCCTCAACATGTATATACACATGCATGATGTGGCTGAGGCCCTCCATCCTTACCTCATTCACAGGTTTGTAAATGTACTCATCATAAAAGAATTCATTAGGGGGTGGGGATATGTACATGTTCTTAAGTATTCATCATTAGGGGGTGGGGATATGTTCATGTACTTGAGTATTCATCATTAGGGGGTGGGGATATGTACATGTACTTAAGTATTCATCGTTAGGGGGTGGGGATATGTACATGTACTTAAGTATTCATCATTAGGGGGTGGGGATATGTACATGTACTTAAGTATTCATCATTAGGGGGTGGGGATATGTACATGCATTTGAGTATTCATCATTAGTGGGTGGGGATATTTACATGTAATTAAGTATTCATCATTAGGGGGTGGGGATATGTACATGTACTTAAGTATTCATCATTAGGGGGTGGGGATATGTACATGTACTTCAGTATTCATCATTAGGGGGTGGGGATATGTACATGTACTTAAGTATTCATCATTAGGGGGTGGGGATATGTACATGTACTTAAGTATTCATCATTAGGGGGTGGGGATATGTACATGTACTTAAGTATTCATCATTAGTGGGTGGGGATATGTACATGTACTTAAGTATTCATCATTAGGGGGTGGGGATATGTACATGTACTTAAGTATTCATCATTAGGGGGTGGGGATATGTACATGTACTTAAGTATTCATCATTAGTGGGTGGGGATATGTACATGCATTTGAGTATTCATCATTAGTGGGTGGGGATATTTACATGTAATTAAGTATTCATCATTAGGGGGTGGGGATATGTACATGTACTTAAGTATTCATCATTAGTGGGTGGGGATATGTACATGCATTTGAGTATTCATCATTAGTGGGTGGGGATATTTACATGTAATTAAGTATTCATCATTAGGGGGTGGGGATATGTACATGTACTTAAGTATTTATCATTAGGGGGTGGGGATATGTACATGTACTTAAGTATTTATCATTAGGGGGTGGGGATATGTACATGTACTTAAGTATTCATCATTAGGGGGTGGGGATATGTACATGTACTTAAGTATTCATCATTAGGGGGTGGGGATATATACATGTACTCAAGTATTCATTTGGTGGAATGTTGTACTTTATATCATCAGGTAAAGATCTTTGTATGGTACAACGATCCCCACGGATGACTTTTGATAAACCTCCAGTATGTTGATCAGTGATTATTGTGAGACAATCTGAACATAAAATAATATTTTGCTGTTAATGTGATTATTGAACCCTGAAAAGAAAGGTGTATTTCATATTCATCCTATGACGTCATATTAGGTCATGTTACATGATCAGTTAATACTGCCATGATAGTATGCACTGAGTAGAGTAGTGTGATAGCAAGCATGTAAACCCTGAAATTCCCATATATTGTACTGATTATGTTGATGGGCATTTCTATCCTGACAGGTGTCGCTACAATGTGGAGTTTTCATTAAGAACAGCTTGGATTCTGGGAGCTTTCTCGGCAGATGTATTAAAACCATCATGGAAAAATTCTCAGGGAGTGAAACTGAAAAATATGATACTTAATGAAGAACTAAGGTAATTAAATCTCTATGAAATATATAAAGTCAACAGATATTTCCAGTAATTTTCGAGGATTTTTTTCTGATCCAGAGTACAAATTCCAAAATCTTGATGAGTCCAGTTACAAAGACATAAAGTGGGTTCACAAAGTTTGATGGAGTCCCACAGACAAAAACATGAGTTCAGGACTCAATCTATTCAAAATTTACTATACAACAGATCGCAAATGAGTTTTCATTTCCAATGATGAGATTTTATGAAACCAATCTACAAAGTTTTTATTTTTGCAAGCCTTGTCAAACAAGTATTAAAAATTCAAGGCAAATTTCATTAAATCACATACGAAATGAATATATATTTCAGATACTTTTTATCACATAACGGGAAATGTTTACATTTTTGCAAGTTTTAAAGTCAAAATGTGGAGGACAAAATCTGCTGTGTGATACATATCTCATATTGCATTTGGGGAGTTAGTGACAGCATTTCATATTCATCCTATTTGGTACATGGAAATCGGTGTTGATTTGCATTCACAGTCTATATAATACACACAATTTTATTTCGTAGGCCTCCAAAACCCCACAGTCATATTCGGACCTTGTCTAGTCTTCCAAGTCCAACTGTACCCCCAAGTCAGTTGTACCCATCTTCTACGCCATCACCTGCTGGTAAACAGAGAACACATCACCGCTCGCGCTCAGATGCTACAGGTAATTGCTTATATAATGATTTTACCATATGTTTAATGTATTTGACAGGTGTTACTTTGTCATGTGTGACTTACAACCGGTTTGTTGGATATGGGTTACATGAACCTCTTAGGTAATAATTTCAGGAGGTCATTAAAAAATAAATGTATAAATTATATTCTTAAAGTGTTTTCAATAAATGTTTTGGGGTAACTAGAGTACATGGTCAGTGACTTGATATATAAGCATAAATTGAAGGGAGGTAGGGAGAACAGAAAGAAAAAGATAATCCCAAGAGGCAAGATTTTTACATGTATATTTTTAGGCAAGTTATTTACTGTTTATATACATTTTTGTTTGTTATTGATACTTATTCATTAGTGATTTTGTCTAGTGTACTTTCTTCTCTGGAGACATGTGTATAAGCTAGTCCTTTTCTCACCCATGATCCTTTATCAGGTATTTACATGAAGAGTACTCCGAGTAGCTCGTCTTCTAGCCTCATGGAAACCCCGGGCGACTTGTCTACTGGTCACGCCTTCGACAATGGCTGTACTTGTCATCAGAGTTCAGAAGCCATTGTCAATGACCTGACTGGCCGAGAGACATTGTGTCATTGTGGGGTAGGTACACTATATACCTAAAAGTCACGTGTTTCAAAATACTTGAAGGAATTAAAGACTGTTTCTACTATGAACGGTATCATGAGGAGGTCACTGAAAAAGATTGTACAGAAGACACAAGTGAATAGTGCCTTTAATATGAATTGAAAGTTAGATACAGTAGAGCCAAACAAAGAATTAAAATAACATAACTTATGAATTCCTAAACTTGATGAAAACAAATGGAAAAGAAGATGGTATTGGAATTTAAAAAAAAAAATTGGAACAAAAAAAATGTATAATGATGTTTATTGTTTTACTTACATCAGGTTGTATGTTTACAATATATTTATACTTTCTTTCATTATTAGATAAAAATTATATTTTGATAGAGTTTACTTATATATGATATATATTTAAAGAGGTGTTCTAATTGAAGTGGTGATTAATGTTTAGGCACCTCGTCTGGCACCAGAACTGGAGTTTGTGAATGCACTGATGAACATTGGCTCCAAGCTACAGCTACTACCAACCAAGGAAGCACGAAGTATGTAATATGATGGGTATAGATTTTTGTAGTCAAATTAACTGACAAATCAAGAAAAAACTAAACTTTTTTCATCTGACAGTAAGGTGCCCCCAGCTGCCCTTTTGACCTCCTCCAGTTTGGAAATAAAGACCATCCCCTTATATTTAGGTCTCCATTATGGCAAATTCTTCTAGTCCATCAAGTTGCCACACCCTGTTTTAGACTTCCAAGATGGCCACCTAATGAAGTTTAGACTTTTAAGTGATGCTAATCCCACCTGGCATTTGGACCAGGTGATAGGCAGTGGTCTCACGGGCTTTTTATCAGATAAAAATGGTACATACTTATATTTGTCATTTAATCAATAAAAGTCTGGGGGTTAGGGGTAAGGGTGGGGTGGGGGGGACACATGTTTTGTGCGTTCCAGGAAATATGCAAATATGAATTATGTGCCTGTTCCAGTGGTTTCAAAATGACAATACGTACATATTTTCCAGCTTCAAGACTGATTGCAGAGCTTGCCATGTTGAATTTGAATCTACCAGCACGGATTTGGCTGCCTTCAGCTGACAACTGTAACCATCATATTGTACGAATACCACACACACAGGCAATAGTCCTCAATTCAAAAGAAAAGGTAAGTACACTTTAATAAGATGATGCATTCAACTGTCTGTCCATCCCACCCTGTTGCATTCTCTACCAATACCATTTACGTCCTGTATCCTATCCAGTCCAAGCGATCCTGTTTTTAGCCCACCATCTAATAGATGGTGGGTTATTCAAATCGCCCTGCGTCCGTGGTCCGTGGTCCGTCCATAAACAATTCTTGTTACCGCTATTTCTTGGAAAGTACTGGATGGATCTTTCTCAAATTTCATATGCAGGTTCCCCTTAGTCCCTAGTTGTGCATTGTACCTTATTTGGACTGATTCGAATTCAAGATGGCCGACAGGTGGCCATCTTGGATTTTGGATGTAAAAGTTTGTTATCGCTATTTCTTGGAAAGTACTGGATGGATCTTTCTCAAATTTCATATGCAGGTTTCCCTTGGTCCCTAGTTGTGCATTGTACCTTTTTTGGACTGATTCGAATTCAAGATGGCAGACAGGTGGCCATCTTGGATTTTGAATGTAAAAGTTTGTTACTGCTATTTCTTGGAAAGTACTGGATGGATCTTTCTCAAATTTCATATGCAGGTTCCCTTTGGTTCCAAGTTGTGCATTATACCTTTTTGGACTGATCGGAAATAAAGATGGCTGAAAGGCAGCCATCTTGGATTTTGAGAGTAAAATCTTGTTACTGCTATATCTGAGGAAGTCGTGGATGGATCCTTCTGATATTTCATAGATATTGGTTTCCCTTGGTCCCTAGTTGTGCATTGTATCTTTTTTGGACTGATTTGAAATCAAGGTGGCCCACAGCCAGCCATCTTGGATGTCAACAGTAATACAGCACAAGCACATTGTCCATTATCCACCTGTAACTGACTGCTATCTAATAATACTTTGGGATCTTTTTCAAATGATATTTGCTAATAGGTGCTAAATAAAAATATCTTGTGCCATCATTGAGTACATTCAATGAAGACCAGTTCATGAACATTTACAACACCTGTAACAAACAAAAAAAAATAAACAAATCTTCAAGAACTGAAAACAGATCCTCAAATGGTGGGCGCCAAGATCCCTCTGGGATCTCTTGTTGGTACAGGCTATGACTCTACTCACATTTAAGTCATAATTTTATTATTTAATTAAATTAATTTGATTAAGAAAACATCCTCAGTTTTCACTCGCATAATGCAAGGCTTGTACAAGCATTGTCGCGCAAAAATCAAAACTTTGAGATATGTTTGATAAAATGCGAAGTGAAAACAAAATTAAAGATACATTTTATCACACAACTTAGACAAGTTACATCTTGACAGGTTTAAAGTCAACTTGAAGACAAAATGAAATGTAGGCAGCCATTTTGTTGCACCATATCCAGTTCATGATGTAATGTAATGTAACAGCCAATATAAAGTGCTCCAGGGTATATTACCAGATAACAGCACAAAACAAAATATATCAAAACGGAGCAATAGAGCCTATTGTAGTGATTTCCCTCAAGTTAGGCTAAAAACAGGAAAATATCCTGATGCAACAGTTTTGCAAGTCAGAGAATATGACAGATCTTGCACTTGACATCATGAAAAATCTTCAGTTGATTGCTGAAATATGAATGAAATACAAACAAACATGTGTAAGGTAAGTCTGTTCCTAGTTTAGGTAAGTGTAATCTGACAGTAAGTCTGTTCCTAGTAGGTAAGTGTAATCTGACAGTAAGTCTGTTACTGGTGTAGGTACGTGTAATCTGACAGTAAGTCTGTTACTGGTGTAGGTACGTGTAATCTGACAGTAAGTCTGTTCCTAGTTTAGGAAGTGTAATCTGACAGTAAGTCTGTTCCTGGTGTAGGTAAGTGTACTCTGACAGTAAGTCTGTTCCTCGTGTTAGTAAGTGTAGTCTGACAGTAAGTCTGTTCCTGGTGTAAGTAAGTGTAATCTGACAGTAAGTCTGTTCCTGGTGTAGGTAAGTTTAATCTGACAGTAAGTCTGTTCCTGGTGTAGGTAAGTGTAATCTGACAGTAAGTCTGTTCCTGGTGTAGGTAAGTGTAATCTGACAGTAAGTCTGTTCCTGGTGTAGGTAAGTGTAATCTGACAGTAAGTCTGTTCCTAGTTTAGGAAGTGTAATCTGACAGGAAGTCTGTTCCTGGTGTAGGTAAGTCTGTTCCTGGTGTAGGTAAGTGTCTGACAGTAAGTCTGTTCTGACAGTAAGTCTGTGTTAGGTAAGTGTAATCTGACAGTAAGTCTGTTCCTGGTGTAGGTAAGTGTAATCTGACAGTAAGTCTGTTCCTGGTGTAGGTAAGTGTAATCTGACAGTAAGTCTGTTCCTAGTTTAGGTAAGTGTAATCTGACAGTAAGTCTGTTCCTGGTGTAGGTAAGTGTAATCTGACAGTAAGTCTGTTCCTGGTGTAGGTAAGTGTACTCTGACAGTAAGTCTGTTCCTCGTGTTAGTAAGTGTAGTCTGACAGTAAGTCTGTTCCTGGTGTAGGTAAGTGTAATCTGACAGTAAGTCTGTTCCTGGTGTAGGTAAGTGTAATCTGACAGTAAGTCTGTTCCTGGTGTTAGTAAGTGTAATCTGACAGTAAGTCTGTTCCTGGTGTAGGTAAGTGTACTCTGACAGTAAGTCTGTTCCTGGTGTAGGTAAGTGTAATCTGACAGTAAGTCTGTTCCTGGTGTAGGTAAGTGTAATCTGACAGTAAGTCTGTTCCTGGTGTAGGTAAGTGTAATCTGACAGTAAGTCTGTTCCTGGTGTAGGTAAGTTTAATCTGACAGTAAGTCTGTTACTGGTGTAGGTAAGTGTAATCTGACAGTAAGTCTGTTCTTAGTTTAGGTAAGTGTAATCTGACAGTAAGTCTGTTCCTGGTGTAGGTAAGTGTAATCTGACAGTAAGTCTGTTCCTGGTGTAGGTAAGTGTAATCTGACAGTAAGTCTGTTCCTGGTGTAGGTAAGTAAATTTCTATTATAAACCTACCACATGACTACATGAGAGGTATTTTGAAGGCCCAGTGGGTTGGTTGTAGAATAAATATGGTATGTATTGTTACATTTGTACTGGTGTTGTATTGTAGGCGCCATACCTGCTCTATGTGGAAGTGCTAGACGTAGAGAACGCCCATACATGCCAAGTCCCAGGTAAGATCCTGGAGAATACTCTACGCTTCACACGGTCAGAGGAGGACTTGAGTGCCATCTGTGCTCGAGCTAACGGAGGTGGTAACTCGCCCTATTCAGAGTTCTATGTGTATGGGAACATGGGGGAGTTTGATGATGCTGAGTGCTGGTCACAGGAGGATGATGATATCCTACAGGTAAGCTTGTTATCTATTTATAATTTCTTTATGGTACTTTTTTGTTTTAAAATAACCCTTCAGTATGCTTTTCCAAATAGCAGAACAACCATATGATGTGTGTACCTACATTTCATATCATATTTGTTTAGCATATTGCCCATGTTTGGTAATAAGCCCATGAATATATTATTGGAGTTTCAGTAGCTATGTGGATATGTGATACAACCAAAACTTGTTATCTTGAAATTCAAGGACCATGGAAAATATTTCAACTGATGCAGATTTCGGCTCAAACGCAGTGTCCAAATATGGTTGACGATATCAGTATCCTGATGTTGATTACAGCTGAACAAAGTAGGGGTACCATAGCACGGTACACTGTGGTACAAACAACATAATATAATTTAAAATGTCAGTAAATAAACAGAAACAGATAAATTTCTATTGGCACCTTTTTATTGCTTATTCATCCTCCAAACTACAAGACATGTAATAACAACACCATTCAAATCCATTGGACTCATGTTGTTCTGTTTCGCACATGTGTATACTACGCCCAATCACAGTTTTTGGTAAACAAGCTCTAAAACTAGTTTTTCTTGGAATTGTGGGGATCAGATTTCGGCAAAAAGTTTGTACTGATTTGACGGGGTTGTATTTTGATTCTGACTGAAGATGTACATAACCAAGCTAAATGTTTCCATGTCTGGTGTAAACACCCTACTTGTTTAACATACAGGTAAGTCACTACTACAGGATGGTGACACTAATTAAGAAGCTAACTTTTAATTGGATAAGTAAACTGGTTATTAATTGTCAGAGACCAGGTGTTGTGTGCGTGGACTGGTACACTTTAATTAGCCAAGTGTTATGCACATATAACTTTCTACTCTGTGTATGTATTGACCGATTTTGTCAGAAGAAGTGCCAATCTTTCGGCACCCTGGGCTTATTGGGGAATAAGTATGCAATGTTGATTTCCTTCATCGGTTAATGATATGTTTTACAGATGCAGTTTACGGGTCGGTACAGGTCCAGTGACACCTTGTCACAGTTCTCTATAGACAGTTCCACTAGTGCTGATAGTAAAGAACCCGTCTACATTGCTGCTGGTGATATAAGGAGACGCCTGTCAGAAAACATTTCAGCTCCTAAGGGCAAGTTTGAGGTACGTCATGTAATCCACACGAAGTGTCTTTGATCACAGAGCTATATATATTCATTAATGATCACTACTACTACTACTGATTATCCTTACTGATATGGTTATACATCAACTGTAAAGATTGCTATTATACAAATAAGTCAATATTGAGGTCAGTAAATTTATGTCCGACCAAACAGTAGCTTGTGGTTCATGAGGAGATCCAAATGAGTTGTGATGTTGATGCTGTGTACTTAGAGTAATTCAACAGAAGAAATCAATGATGTCCTTTATCATTAATATGTTATTATCAGATTTTATATTTTAATTTTGATCAACACTGAATTTTGATGTTGATATTTTTTTATCAACAGCGTGACCCCGATGATCCTTCCGCTGCAGCCCTTAAGGAGCCGTGGGAGGAAAAGGAGCAGAGGATTCGGGAGAGTTCTCCCTATGGCCATTTACCTAACTGGAAGTTACTGTCTGTTATCATCAAGTGTGGGGATGACCTTCGACAGGAACTTCTAGTCTATCAAGTCCTTAAACAGCTCAAGGTTAGTGTTAAAAAATATAGGTCACAGTGACCTCTGACAGGAATTTCCTGTCTATCAGGTTCTTAAACAGCTAAAGGTTAATGTTGAGTAGTGTAGGTCACAATGACTTCTGATGGGAACTTTCAGACTATCAGGTCCTTTAACAGCTCAAGGTTAGTGTTAAAAGATATAGGTCACAGTGACCTCTGACAGGATCTTACTGTCTATCAGGTCTTTATACAGCTCAAGGTTAGTGTTGAGTAGTGTAGGTCACAGTGAAACTTTGACAGGAACTTCCTGTCTATCAGGTCCTTTAACAATGTCGCATAATAAAGGTCACAGTGACCTCTGACAGGAACATTCATTCTTTCAGGTCTTTATACAGCTTAAGGTTAGTTTCACACAATATAGGTCACTGTGACCTCTGATAGCCACTTCTTGTTGAACAGATCCTTAAACAGATTAAGGTCAGTACAAAACAATTTGTAGGTCAGTTAACTTTGTTTGTGATGTAAATAGAAATTTGTTATGAAAAAAGAACATAATTTAAGGAATTTGATTGTGTCAGTTTGTAGTACCAGTAGCCATAGGAACAATGCCAAATAAGGGAAGTAAAGGTATGCCTTTCAAATCCTTCTTCTGTTGTGTTGAAGGGATTGTGACTAACTTTAGACTGAAGCATCAGTGGGTGGGTGGGAACAATTTGATACAAACCAAGAGCAATCATGATCCAGTGTGGACAAAGACAAATCTTCAGATTACTTGTTCTTTAGAGATGAAGTAATTTTGACCAACTTTGGTCTGAAGCATTATTGGCTTGAAGGGATTCAATATTTTGGGATGTTCCAAATATATAAGAAAAGTACATACAAGCATTAATCAACACTTCAGCTGTTTGTCCTGTTGATTAAATTGACATTTGAAATCACAGATAATAATGCATGAGCATTGTAGATGATTTATACCTTGTGGTGAAAATAAGGAATCTCTGTACTACACTACATGTTTATAATTATGTACTGATGGAGTTAGTTGAAGGTTTAATCTGTCAATCTGATTGTTGCAGACAATTTGGGAACAAGAGCATGTGCCTTTATGGATTCTGCCTTATCACATACTTGTCACAGCCATGGACTCCGGGATGATCCAGCCAGTCACCAACGCAGTTTCCCTTCATCAGATCAAGAAGCATTGTAAAGTGTCTCTTCGTGAATACTTCATTCGTGAGTTTGGTCCCCCAAACAGTGAAGAGTTCCTAACAGCCCAGAAGAACTTTGTCCAGAGCTGTGCTGGATACTGCCTCCTGTGCTATCTCATACAGGTGAAGGACAGGTGGGTATTCACTGCTATAATTAGGTTCCTTATATGACTGATTACACATTTCATGATTAAATGTTTGTGTGTTATCCTAGAATATAACTGATTTTAAGTATGATTTTGAAGACAGAAGAATCCGTCTTTTTATTGCCCTGGCAGGCTGTCACACTGACGTTGATCCATAACAATGAAGAATCCCTGATAGAACTTTACTTATCAATATGAAAACTACCTTGTAATACAATCAGCACATCAATATTTCTAAGATTTTAGTGTTGTTACATTTCTCTTTTATAAAACAGCAGTTTAATTTCATTAAACCATAAAAATATCATGATAGCAATTGATTTTTTTTTACTCAAGTGAAAATATAAATAATTGAACTTTAACAAACACTTAAATTACAGTCACGTATTATGAATATAAATAGCATTTTTTGATACTGATATAATGAAAAGGTGAGATAATGGGAATGTAGGTCCAGTTTACTGAATATAATGCAGAGGTAAGTTAAATTTTCCCTTATCTAACCATAATTGTAGTTTTTATGGAGGTACATTTACAACACTGACTGTATTCAACCTGTAGTAAGTCTAGGTAGCCATGGCAACAAGTCATTCAAACTCGGAGAATGGGCTTTTTACGGGACAATGAAAGAAAAATTGCCAGTATTGGTTTGTGACCAGCAGTATAGATAGATTTGTTGGCTGATTACCAGGCACGAGCCTGATGTCAGATTAATTCAGTAATCAGATAGGAATCTGTTGATTCTAAGATTCATCCTTGTACATAACATCATATCAGCAGATCGGAAGATCTTTCTCCATCATCTTTTCTCTGTGTATATCGCAATTCGTTTATCAAAATTTGAAATTATTGCATTACATTGCATGGACAATCAATTAAAATCCAAATATACCATTTATATTATTCTTTTTCTCTTAGATTATAACAAATTTTTATGTTGTCTCATTTTTTACCTTCATTAATAGAAAAACAATGTTATAAATTTCAAAATAGAATATTCTACTCGACTCTCATGATGGTGATCAATATTGTTAACGATTTGTGATTATTTTTCCACAGACACAATGGGAATATTCTACTCGACTCTCATGGACACATAATACATATAGATTTTGGATTCATCCTCTCCACTTCACCTGGAAAAAATCTCGGATTTGAAAACTCGCCTTTTAAACTTACTCATGAGTTTGTTGAGGTAAGAGTACCTTCATGTCTTTTTCAGAGACATATGTAAAAAAAGAGAAAAACACTTTAATTTGAAAATTGAAATTTTGTGTTTATGACAATTGTGAAACAACCTTTCCAACTTATATTCATCATTCCTGTTGGTTCTGCTGTGGGAAGAAATTAGATTATCCTGAAAAAACCAAAGTGTTGAGGCAGGTGATCCCAATATTCTGAGAAAAACCCAAGTGTTGAGGCAGGTGACCCGATTATTCTGAGAAAACCCAAGTGTTGAGGCAGGTGACCCCATTATTCTGAGAAAACCCAAGTGTTGAGGCAGGTGACCCCATTATTCTGAGAAAACCCAAGTGTTGAGGCAGGTGACCCCATTATTCTGAGAAAACCCAAGTGTTGAGGCAGGTGACCAAATTGTTTTGAGAAAACCCAAGTGTTGAGGCAGGTGACCCCATTATTCTGAGAAAACCCAAGTGCTGAGGCAGGTGACCCCATACCTTTACAGGTCTGGTCAGGGTAATCACACCCCAGATGCCTAGGTGTGATTCAAGTGTGTAACATTGTGTCACCTGACCACCCACTAAATTAAGGTTCATTTTGTAGGAAACATGTTGGAACATGATAGATTATTTTGATCCTTATCACTCATTTTATGTTATTAGGGCCTTGCTTTGAGATGCAGGTGCCCTATCCTAATCACATTGTCCATCAGTTTGTCTGTCCGTCTGTCTAATTTTTAGTTTCTGATTTGAGATACTGTACAGTATCTAAAATACTGTTGGGCCTATGGCACTCATACTTTATCCCAAACCTCCCTGAAAGATGTGCTTGCTCAACGTATGTAGCTTTTCATCTTCCAAGGTTGAATGTCAAGGTCATTGTTGCTATAAATGAAAAATCACCATTTTCATTAAGCTTTACATCTGGAGGTCAAAGGTCAAGGTCACCTGCTTTAAATAGAAAATCATGTAGTTTTAACCAAAGTTTGGTTTTTGGTTTCCATGTGATATCTTGAGTTTCCTTTGGCTGATCCAGCGCAAACTTCATATGGTGCTTCCTTATTGAATGAGCATGTATGAGATTGCTTTTCAGCAGCAAAGGTCAGGGTCAATTTTACTATAAATAGAAAATCAGTTTCTGTGTGAAAACTAGAGTTTGCTTTGGCCAATCAAATCCAAACTTCGTACAGTTCTCTATTACTGAAGGTGATTGCTTAAGGTCAAAGGTCAAGGTCACAGTTACTGTAAATAGCAAATTAATTTCCTCGTGATAACTCCAATTTGCTTTAGCCAATCAAAGTCAAACATCATACAATGCTTCTGGATTGCTTTTCAGCTTCAAAGGGCAAAAGTTATGGTCACTTATACCATGAATAGAAAAATCTGATTTCCTGCAATAACTCAAGTTTGCTTTGGCAGAAAAAATCCAAAATTAAAACTTTTTCCATCTGGGGTGTGTCTGAGGGTGGGTTGGTGGAAGGGTTATTTGCTGTCACATAGCGGGGCCCTTGCTGACCTGTCATTGTTCTAGTTATTTAATATCAATTTGTGTCTGTGTTCTGTTGTATGACCCCTTCAAATATGGTTGGAAGTCGTGAGTATTTGATCACAGGAGCAAGGATCCTCACTTAAAATTCCATCTCCATTTTTTTTTCATGACCTGCCATTTTATGTAAGGGCATATGGATATGTTGTTACCTGTGTATGTCTGTTTGTCTGAATCCTGTTCCCTTCCAAATCAGTGTGATATCATGAGAATCTATCAACAAATTTGGTACAAAATAGTATTGTGATATGATGTTTTTTTCCACTCATTGTATTGCGGTGGTCATTGGTCAAGCTTTAAAGAGTGGAGGTCACTTTTGACAACTTTTGTAAATTCATCAAACTGTGATACTTATATTGGAGTTAAGATATACTTGTCTGACACATTTGCTACGTTCAGTCAGAGTTTTGGAAAAACTAGAAATAAAGTACCTTAAACAATTTTTTTTTTTAGTAAATGACATCCATAGTCATCCTTTATTTTGAAAATCATGCAGAATATTTACAGCAATTTATAAAGGAAGGAAATTTTGTGCATACAAGAAATTTCTGATACTGTGTAAGTTGTAGATAAAACATTGAGATCCATTTTACAGGTGATGGGGGGTCTAGGGAGCGACATGTTTGAGTACTTCAAGATTCTCATCCTCCAAGGCCTGGTGGCATCACGGAAACATATGGATAAAATCATCCTACTGGTAGAGATTATGCAGACAGGTGAGGGTTTATATTGTGTCTTACAAGGAAAACGGAAAATAGAGGGTTAATATTGTGTCATACAAGTAACACAAACAGGTGAGAGTTTATATTGTGTCATACAGGTAACAGAGACAGGTGAGGGTTAATATTGTATCATACAGGTAACACAGACAGTAGAGGATTAATATTGTATCATACAGGTAACACAAACAGGTGAGGGTTAATATTGTGTCATACAAGTAACACAAACAGGTGAGAGTTAATATTGTGTCATACAGGTAACACAAACAGGTGAGAGTTTATATTGTGTCATACAGGTAACACAGACAGTAGAGGGTTAATATTGTGTCATACAGGTAACACAAACAGGTGAGAGTTTATATTGTGTCATACAGGTAACACAGACAATAGAGGGTTAATATTGTGTCATACAGGTAACACAAACAGGTGAGGGTTAATATTGTGTCATACAAGTAACACAGACAGGTGAGGGTTTATATTGTGTCATACAAGTAACACAGACAGACCTTTGCATTTTTTTTATGTTTGAAAATGCTGTGTATTATTAAATGGAAACAACTGAAAGGTCGACTCTTCAATTTTTTTTTATGTTTGCATGACCTTGACCAGTTTAATAACCTGTCCATTATGTGCTTAATTTTTGACCTCTTGTTACAGGGTCACAGCTGCCATGTTTCAGTAAGGGAGCCACCAGTCGGCAAATGAAGGAACGATTTCATATGAATTTGACTGAAGAACAGCTTCAGTTGTATGTAGAAAATTTGGTAGAATCTAGTCTACACTCACTGACCACTAAGTTGTATGACAACTTTCAGTATTTCACTAATGGTATCCTTTAGAATAGTCACATCAACAAACCTTGATGGAGGAATCTGAATTATTATGAGAGAACAGCATTGTATGGAGGGAGGCATCCTAAAAACAGAACAGCACTATATTGGGAGGCATACTATGTGTTGAGGAAGAGAACTATGCAACTGAACAAAGTTGTGTGTGTAGGGAGGTAGCCTCTATGACAGAATAGCATTGTGTCAAGAAAAGCAGTGTCTGATGGTAGGCATCCTGCACGACAGAAAATGATGTAAAAAGGGAGTGATTTGCAACAACAGAACAGCATCATGTGGAGGGAGGCGTCAACAACAGATTAGCCTTTTGAATGTATGGGGGTATGCTGAAAAACAGAACAGCATCTTTTCATGGGAGGTACTTTGAAAGACGGAACAGCATAATTTTATGCTCATTGAGTAATACTGTGACAGACATTTTGGATATTTTTTCTTTACATCTAAATTTCCTGGTGTATAAAATTCATGCTCGTTAGCTAGTGTTATATATATATATATGATACGGTGCTTTTTTATTTTACTAGTCTGAAGTTGTACTAGTTATGCTGACAGACCCTGGAGTTTGTAACAGATACACTGCCTAAAGACTTGCTCATGGATTTCAAAAGCTATGTACTGTTTTTTCTGTGTTATAAGCTGCACCGGAAATTTTTCTGATTTCGGTCCACATATAAGCCATATTGGAATATAAGTCATACCCTTTCTTATGAAGTGGTAACCATTACATTGAACAAAGTTTGTTGATGTAACAGACAACAGAGGGCAAAATATCAAGATCAGAAAACGTCGAGTAGCAAATTATCTACGCACAGATAGAGGTCCTAACATTATGTATGCTTTACTAAACAATCTCTCCATCAGTGTCTGTACTGTTAAATATTAATGAAGGCCCTTTCATACAGACCAAATTCTTAAACTTCATATTATTTCTTCTTGTAAGGTGCACAAAGCCTTTTATATTGTAAACAAGCATGACGGTCATTCTAGAATTTGACCTATAACCCCATGACCTATCGATCCAAGGATGTAAAAGGCAATTGTAAACTTACGCTATGGCTTTGAAGTAACCGTGAAAGTCCAGAAAATAATTGTGATTCATATTAAAAGGCATGATTAATTAAATCCACAAGAATGTTATTTGTATTTCACTCTTCAAATCATCCTGTATATGATTGCAAATGATGGCTCAAGACGATCTGTTTCAGTAACAAACATGTGACAGGCAGGTACTAAAATACCACCTCATACTGGTGTGCTGGTATGCTTCCTGATTTTTCCCCGGTTTTTTTTTCATCCTGTCAAATTTTTTGGCCACACCTGTATATAAGCCGCATGCCTGACTCAAGAGGAATAAAAGTGCAGCTTATGATTCGAAAAATACGTTAATTAAGTCCATGAGAATGTTATTTTTATTTCAATCTTCAAATCATCCTGTATACGATTACATATGATGGTTCTAAACAATCTGTTTCAGTCAATAAGAGATGATGGGCAGGTACTTGTAAAAAAACTCAATACCGTCTCGTACAGGTGTACTGGTACGCTTACTGTTTTTTGGTCCTCATATAGGCCACACTGGTATATAAGAAAAAACGGTGCGGCTTATAATCTGGAAAATATGGTTACCTACAAAGATTTAACTTAGGAGTCACTGTAATGTAACTTCCTAAATTCAATGTTTTATCTATGTTTTCAGTCACATTTCTTAAGTACTTGTACTATTTTAAATCCCAACTGTATGCAGTATTCAATGTGAACAATTGTGTTTCAGACACAAACAATTGCACAGCATCAAATGTAGTGAAAAGATCTGAGAACAAAAAGAAGATTTTTCCTTTAAAGAGATTTATCTTTAGTAGTACATACTGAAAAACAGTAGTTCTTCAGTTGTTTAAAACTAACAATCAGTGTTTATTTATAGTTTAATTATGTATTTTTGGAAAATAGTACAAAGGAAGTTTGTAAACTGATATGTTTTGTTTGAAAACGGACCCATAGAGACCTGGATGGCTTTTGCGTAAGTGATTGAAACATTGGACTGATTGAACCTTCAAGAAAAACTCCAGATACAGATTGGGACCAAGGCTGAACTATGGAATATTTGACATGTACAGATTGAGATATCTAGCTGTACCTGTCTGAAACTAACTTGCTGAATATCAATAGTTTTCAGAATTTCAGCATAAAGAAGGTTTGGTGCACACACATATTTCTAAATGCATAATGCTATTAAGTATCGGAGTTAAAAGGTATATGTTTTTGGTGCATTGCTTTACATGAAATTCCTTGACATAGATCAGTTCCAACATCTGGTACATGTTTGTTTGTGTATCATGGAATAATTCCAAACCACCTGAACTGTTTCAACCGGGTTATGCAAAAGCAGTCCTGCATTTTCCCAACATTCCTGAATGATCTTGTGTAGTTGTGCAACCATGGGCATAAATAACAATACAGTTACCTCCCTTTTACTCTGTAAGGACATTTTACTGTTAGAATATTTATGTTTTTGGTCACTTGTTGAAGTGCTACAAAGGATGTGCATCTTTAAAAATAATTTGAAAGATATATTGATGATTTTATCAATTGATTTTGAGGTTGTCTTGTAAAAAATGTCCAATTTATAAATTTTCCTGCAAAACTAACTGCACTTTAAACTTACATATTGTTACGTTAAGTGTGAAAAAATAGGGACAGTCCAGCTACATATATACTCTTTTATACAGAGAAGTAAAACCAAGCCTTGTGAATTTCCATCCAATGTAGCTGCTGCTTACGTAATCCTATTTCCCATGCTTACTTCATATTCTTAAAATGTCTGTTGCTCTGTTTTTAACAATAAGATTTAAAAATGAAATTCTTCACATCCTTAAAATTTCATACTTGTAATTTTGCTCTAAATGAGTTAAAATTTAATTTACACTTTTCATTTCCATGATGGTGCTTTGATATTGAACAGTAACATGTGTACGATACCGATTTTAGGTGTAATTACATCTATATATATTTGTTATGGTATAATGCATATATCTTGACAGTCATTGTGCTATAAAACTTCTGTACTTGTGTGTTGTGTGCGATGTTCTGCTGTGAAGACTCCACTGAAAGGCCAGTATTTTTTGGAGTGTTCGGGCATGTTAACTGTAAATACATTTTCTCTTCATTCCTATATTCTATACATATATTGATGTATATATATATATATGATTAAAGCATATCTGATCAAATTTAATAATTTTGAAGTATTGCTTAGTATTTCTAAATACTATTGAACTTTTCATAATATAAGAACATTTCCCATATATTTATAAAGCATTTCTCTCTATTTCCACAAGGTTGAGGATCACCTCCACAAATATTTTCTAGCTGTATATTGTTGTATATATACATTGCATATCATGGTTTGATGTGAAGTATGATTTAAATATATGGTTATCTGTCACAGTTTTTTCAAGGGAGACCACTTTGTCTCACTCTGTCAACACAAATCGGGTAATTACTTAAAATTGTTATCAAGAAATTTTTAGTCACAAATTTATTGATCACGTAGTATCGTGATCCCATCATCTCATCATCCAACAGATATATAAATGCCTTAGTAGCTCTGTAGTTTCCTCTGACTACCATAGAACTGAAGTGATCGAGTCTTGCAGCATTGTTATACTGATTACCAGCACTCTTTATAATATTACCATGTTGAAATGGTACCCCTGACATTTAAACCTGAGTATTTCCTTGTCAGTCTATAATCTACATGTTAAATATGTAGACTATATGTAAGTATAGAAGACCGAGGAGATCTCTTGTGTGAAAATGAAGGTTGTTACGATTCTTTAAGATTTGACATTTTGCGAGACACGTATCTCGGTTATATATATATATGCCTGATTATTTGTCAGCTTGGTCCTCGCTTCAAAGGGATCAAATTTTTTTTGTAGGATAAAGTGAAAGCAGTGAAAGCAAGATTTAAGAAAGGTCAGAAATTTGTCTGGAAGTGGTAATTCAGCATTGCGCTATAATTTATAGAAAAAGTGATAATATGATAAATTTGATCAACCATATTAGGTACATTTACTATATCTAAAAATTCAGGACGCAGAAACAGAATTAAGAAATGTGTTACATGATAACAAGTGTTAAATAATGTTTAGTTTATAAAATACTTCATCGCATTGATAAAAGCTCAATCTTTCATTATGAAAAAATCATTTTACAATACTGAAACTATGGTGTATCATTTGTACTAGAGTGCTGTGAAGTGTATGTGCCATTCATTGCCTGTCCTTGATAAATGAACAATATCACTTTTAAGATATCTTTGCAGTATATATATATGTACCGTATTTTACCACAAATAAGCCCCCTCCTGTAAATAAGTCCCTCTGCCATTATTGTGTGTCTTATAGTACATATACAGAAAAGTTTCAATGATCAGGAATTTTTTTTTTTTTTTTTTTTTGTTATCATCAATAACTTCTTTCCGTCATTATTAAAACTCTTAAAATTCTAAAACGATATGGGGAAAAAATGTTAAAAATCATCCTGCAAAACAAACTTTGACCCCAAGATTGATATAAAGACTGAACCCACAGATTTTTTGTGGCAGTGTTCGTATAGATATACATATCATAGAAATGATGTCAGTATTTGACAGTAAAATTATGGTTTCAATTTCTGGTTGTACTTCAAATGGGCTTTAGGTATAATTAAAATACAGCAGTATACTTTAGATAATACATTCAGTTGTTACTGTTTATGTATCAGTGATCTATGTTATTCAGGAATATCACTGATGGATTTGAAACTGGGACTAAAAGTGATGTTCACATGGATGAAATATAGAATAGCAAAGAATAGACTTCTAACTACAATATTTTCTGCTTTTGAAAATGTCACAAAATTTACTCAACCTGTGAGTGATATATGTTGATAGATTGGATGTGTATATGTAAATCATGTTTGATATGTGTTTGTAAGCTTGCTTTAAGGTAACGCTTTGTGATTGTGCTTGTATTCATAAATGCATGCAGTGTCCATTCTAGTTCTTAAAATCAATGCAATGTCCATTCTAGTTCTTGTCTAAGACAGGAAATCTGGCTTTTATAACTAATATGATGTTTAGTAGGATTTTAATGTAATTCTGGTAAATATTACCAACAATATGCTACTCGGCTAGTAATTTCTTTCATGAGAAAATGGATATTTATGGGATAGTTCTGAATAAAGAGTAAATATTGTGTGATAGGTTGAATATCTGAATCATTCTTTCATCAGTAACAATGTTATTCATCCCTCTTTCTTTACATTAAAGTTTTTTTTTATTAATTGATGAGGGTTTTTATAGTAGAACAGAATTTTTAGTGAAGCAGCGCTCAGCATCATGAGAGGTGAAAGGTTACTACAAGTGAGAAATCACAGCTTATGATTACTGACTAGTGAGAGGGGTCAGAGGTCAAGGACTGAAAGGTCAGTGATCTTGATTAGTTAGATGGATCAGAGATCACAGACTAAAAGATATAAGGGATTACTGATCATAACTATTGAGAGGGGTTGGAGGTCACAGACTGAGAGAAGTCGAAAATGAATTATCATGACTAGTGTTTTGCGATTATGACTAATAGAGATATCGGAGGTCATGGCCTACTCATGAAATCTTCGGTGAGAGGTGAGAGGTGAGAGGTGGAATAGTTATTAGTCTTTCTCGTTACCCAGATCATCGCTCTTAATAAAACAGTACTACAAATTAGGAAATGCATGAAATTGTGAATGCAAGGAGAGGAAAGGGAGAAAGGATGGAGAGGGGGAGGTAAAGAGAGAGTTAAAAGAATAATGTACAAAACAGAAAAGGAAGGAAGGAAAAAAGGGATAGAAAGCTGTAGTGGTGTTGGTGCACGGAGTAGGAAAATCATGTGTCATTTAGCAGTGGCACATAAGTCCATTGTATACTATGTTGATACTCAAACAAGTCACAAGCAATGCACATCTGATATAATGGAGTAGTGTATATGTCATTTTGACAAATGGAGTCTTATTGCATAATTGAGATAATTATAATTAAATATTAATTATGTGATCAATGAATGGAAATTCTGATTTATTTATTGTTTATGATATGTTTGTATAACATGCATTAAAGCTTTATAATATACACTGCGATGTCTGAGTGATAACTATACCAGTTTATCATAAAAACATAATCCTAGTAGAAAAATGGCTAGGATACAACTGTCAGCTGGAGAGAGCTAGAACTTCTCTTAAGCTTGATAGGTTAAGTCTAACACTAATAAGCCTAAGTCCTTGATACGATCATTTATCAGTACAGGAGTTAAAGTGGATAAAGAAGGCATTGTAAACGATACAAATCCCCTCGCAGTGTCACCTTGATTTTGGTGTAATAAAGAAGATATATTTAGATAGAATCCCTCCAGGAATGACGCCACTAGGGTGCTGACAAGGATTTTTTTAATATAGTGACCTTGACCCTACAACCCTGTAATTCCAAGTTGTCTGACATCATGGTTCTTGATATGAATGTGATAACATTCCTACAGGAAATAAGACATTAGATAACTGTCAGGATTTTGTCTGATATTGTGACTGTGGCCTTGACCCCTACAATCACAAAACTCAAACTTGTCCATGATATTTAATAGCTTTACGTGAATATAAAATTTGATGGAAATCCCTTGATTGAATGAAGCAGGTAGAGTGCTGACAATGATTTGATAGAAATAAGAACAATGACCTTGACTTTAACCTTCAAACCCTGAAATTCAAATTTGTCAGAGATACTCATGTTCATTCTAAGTGTATGATTGAGTTCTCTCTAGAAATGAAACCACTATAGTGCTGACAAGGACAAGTTTATTTACAGGAATATATATCCCTACCAACATTCATCAAGAGACAATGATAATTAATCTCTCTCATGTAGGCACATGGGAAAAATATTAGATGTTGTTCTACAAGCATTTGTATAACCTCTAAAAACCTGAGGACAATTTTTTTTTTTTTTTTTTGCAACGGGAAAATTTAATTTAACCTTGTAAATACTTGCCACAATATACTGCTTTGCTGGAGAGAGCTTCACTTTAGCTTGATATAGTCAAGTATCATATAGAAACATAGCTGTTGGTGGCTTACAAAAACATTAAATGAAACAAGAGGCCCAGAGGGCCTGTATCACTAACCTGGATCTTTATGACCAACATTACTTTATCTGTGCATATGTTCCACGTTTAACACATTTGACCCCTGTGACCTTGACTATAGGTCAAGGTCATTTCTTTTACTTTCTTGGACTTTATAAAAGGAACATACTGACCAAATATAATGATTCTAGGCTTTTCGATATTTCAGAAGAAATTGTTTAAATGTTTTAACACATTTGACTCCTGTGACCTTGAAGATTGGTCAAGGTCATTTCTTAGCAAACTTTGTAGGACACCATAAGAGGAATATAGTAGCCGAATATCATGATTCTAGGCCTTCAGGTATTTTAGAAGAAGTCGTTTAAAATTTTTTAACACATTTGACCTATGTGACCTTGAATATGGGTCAATGTTATTTTTTTTCGCAAACTTTGTTGGGCTTCATCAAAAGAACTATCTAGCCAAATATGATGATTCTAGGCCTTCCAGTATTTTGGAAGAACTTGTTGAAATGTTTTAACACATTTGACCTATGTGACCTTGAATATGGGTCAATGTTATTTTTTTTTGCAAACTTTGTTTGGCTTCATCAAAGGAACCTTCCAGCCAAATATGATAACTCTATGCCTTTCGGTATTTCAGAAGAAGTTGTTTAAATGAAAAGTTGACGGACGCTGGACGGACGGACGCCTAAACGGCACTTTGGGTCAGATGAGCTAAAAAGTCATGTTCTTTCTTTAATCGGTAGTTTTGCCGTCCAGAGCAACTTAAGTATAAAAGAAAATCAATAGATATCTAAAATATCAGATTTGGTTCTGATGTTTCTGACCAATCCGTGATGAAAACGATCAAGATTCTTTTTTTCATTGATTCAAATATTTGCAGTTTAACAAAAAAGCTTGAAGCAATATGTATTGAAAAACATGTTGTGGGGCTCAATTTTCATGGTATTTCCAAAAATAAACTATTTCTTGGACACTGGAGCTTGTGGATACTGATGATGATGCTTCCTGGACATGAATTTGTTAGAGTACACACAAGATGAATAAATACAAGAGACTCCAGGGCCTTAACGGTCATCCGAGTCACAATACTTCTTGCATCATGTCGATAATAGAAATTATTTTGTTAAAAACAAGTGATATAACTTAACCTATATTGTACATATAATGCATAGTATAGTTATCACATCTGTATGTATTGTATAATTATCACATCTGTAGGTATTGAATAGTTATCACATCTGTATGTATTTACATGATGTTTTGTGTTATGTCTGTATTGTATAGTTATCACATCTGTATGTATTGTATAGTTATCACATCTGTATGTATTTACATATGTTTGTATTATATAGTTATCACATCTGTATGTATTGTATAGTATTGTATAGTCTGTATGTATTGTATAGTTATCACATCTGTATGTATTGTATAATTATCACATCTGTATGTATTGTATAATTATCACATCTGTATGTATTGTATAATTATCACATCTGAATATATTCAGATATAGTGCTATACGTGTAAACCTTACTTTAAATATATTAGACAAAGAACCTTATTCTTTAAAAATTTTGCTCACATACCAGATATTTCTAGTATTTTACACATATGGTGCAGGTGATATTAAAAGCAGTGAACGTCAGGTTGACTTGATGTGATCTAGTCAGCCACCTTGTTTGGAGATAAATTTGGTCGACATCAGAAGTTTCATCAAGGTCATGGTAAGTAAAACACAACACACAGATGTAATAACATAGCTTTACTGATGTGTGCACAAAGCTAACCATACATTGTAAACAAATCATCACAGCAGGAATCAACATAGGGTAACAGCTCCTAAACACATTCTGATGAAATTTTATAGTGATATGTGAAAAACTATCTTAAAATACAAAATCCTTTTTTATAAAATCATCAGGTTCATGTTTAGAAAAAAATATAAAATTAAAGACTGCTTGTAAATTCATTCAACTTGTTAAGTTTATTGATGATGATATTGAATGTATGTCCTCATCATTACATGTGGGAAAAAAAGGGGGGGGGGGTGTATGCACAACAAAGCAGGATGAATGCTGTGAAATAGCGACAATACAAGAGATCTGATTTTGGTGCCACAATGTGATTTTCATTGGTTCTACAACTGGTACTATCTCCTTCTCTTTCCTCCTTCTTCATTTTTTATTTTCTCTTCGATTGCCATTTTGCTTTTTCAATAAACTCCAAATTGAACACATGTACAACTACGGACCAAGAGGAACCTGACAGATACATATGGAATTCAAAATGATTCATCCAGTACTACCTCTCCAGAAATAAGTAATGCTGAAGGGTGGACAGATGATTCATGGAAAAATGGATATTTGCTCATGGTGGGCTAAAAATCTCACAAACATAATTTATGAATCTGTGAAACTCAATTACCTCAAACCCCAAGAGAATCGGAAGAAAGAAGAAAATCTGTGGATTGTAGTGACATTTATCTTGTGTAAATCACAAAAAGACATACTGTGCCTATAATGAAGTGCATTAAACAAAGTGCATTACCTCTGTGGTAGCCAAAGGGCAAAGGGTTCTTCTATCAATGATAAATAATCAAAACCCTTTATTACAACTATACTTTGGGATTAATGTTTTCCTTGATAAATGTTTCCTTTTCATTGATCACATTATACCACATCAAATTCTTGATGCAACAAAACATTTTCGTAAATTTTCATCATTAAATTTCTTTGACCAAATTATTTGAAACTTCGTCTAGCAGTGCAGGTGTCTGAAGTGTAGCCTCTGAACTGCCTGGTGCTAGTTTACCATGATAACTATAACAGAACTGATGACATACCAAAGGTTTGTGAAAACTTGACACAAACAGGTCTTTGTTAGATAGATGTGACAGAAAAACATGAAAAGTGTAAATATGAATGTAAGCACACACAACTATAATGGATTCCTTCTCCAATTCTTTATAACTATCAAAAATATCCTTCATTACAAAAAACAAAGATAAATTGTTAGCCAAAGGCAACTAATCCTCTTTTGACATAAATCCTGTCCACTTAAATCTGGAACACATTTCATCCACCTCTTAACACTGAGCAGAGACAAAATTTGCTTAATCAGGGTCAGAAGGACATAACTTGGGTTTTTTGAGTCATGGTCATAGGAAAATCTAATAGTTCTTCATTAACTTATTTCTCTCATCTCCATTGTAGAGAGACTTCTGCCTCATGCTGCCTCACTCTTCATTTTTCTATCAGAGCTTCTACAAGCCCCCTCCTAAATCTTCAATTCACTACCAGTGGTAAACCTGCTCCCTCCTATAAACACCAATTCACTACCAGTGGTAAACCTTCTCCCTCCTATAAACACCAATTCACTACCAGTGGTAAACCTACTCCCTCCTAAATCTTCAATTCACTACCAGTGGTAAACCTTCTCCCTCCTATAAACACCAATTCACTACCAGTGGTAAACCTAATCCCTCCTAAATCTTCAATTCACTACCAGTGGTAAACCTTCTCCCTCCTATAAACACCAATTCACTACCAGTGGTAAACCTTCTCCCTCCTATAAACACCAATTCACTACCAGTGGTAAACCTTCTCCCTCCTGTAAACACCAATTCACTACCAGTGGTAAACCTTCTCCCTCCTGTAAACACCAATTCACTACCAGTGGTAAACCTGCTCCCTCCTGTAAACACCAATTCACTACCAGTGGTAAACCTTCTCCTTCCTATAAACACCAATTCACTACCAGTGGTAAACCTTCTCCCTCCTATAAACACCAATTCACTACCAGTGGTAAACCTTCTCCCTCCTATAAACACCAATTCACTACCAGTGGTAAACCTTCTCCCTCCTATAAACACCAATTCACTACCAGTGGTAAACCTTCTCCCTCCTATAAACACCAATTCACTACCAGTGGTAAACCTTCTCCCTCCTATAAACACCAATTCACTACCAGTGGTAAACCTTCTCCCTCCTATAAACACCAATTCACTACCAGTGATAAACCTTCTCCCTCCTATAAACACCAATTCACTACCAGTGGTAAACCTTCTCCCTCCTATAAACACCAATTCACTACCAGTGGTAAACCTTCTCCCTCCTATAAACACCAATTCACTACCAGTGGTAAACCTTCTCCCTCCTATAAACACCAATTCACTACCAGTGGTAAACCTTCTCCCTCCTATAAACACCAATTCACTACCAGTGGTAAACCTTCTCCCTCCTATAAACACCAATTCACTACCAGTGGTAAACCTTCTCCCTCCTATAAACACCAATTCACTACCAGTGGTAAACCTACTCCCTCCTATAAACACCAATTCACTACCAGTAATAACCAATTCTTCAAAAGTGATCACCCTCCCCTCATGTATTCCTCATTTCTTTACCAGTAGTGAACAACCCCCAGACCCAGTAAATATAACCTTGTACCAGTAGATATAACCTTGTCCCAGTATATTTATCTTGGTCCCTGTAGATATAACCTTGAACCAGAAGATATAACCTTGTCCCAGTAGATGTAACCTTGTCCCAGAAGATATAACCTTGTCCAGAAGATATAACCTTGTCCCAGAAGATACAACCTTGTCCCAGTAGAGATAACCTTGTCCCAGAAGATATAACCTTGTCCCAGAAGAGATATTCTTGTCCCAGTAGATATAACCTTGTCCCTGTAGAGATATTCTTGTCCTAGTAGAAATAACCTTGACCCAGTAGATATAACCTTGTCCCAGTAGATATAACCTTGTCCTAGTAGAGACATCCTTGTCCCAGTAGCTATAATCCTGTCCCAGTGGTTACATTGTATGTCCTTGTCCCAGTAGCTATAATCCTGTCCCAGTGGTTATATCCTTGTCACAAACAATATTGTTTTAGATTTAAACTTATCACTATGATATCAGGTTTTACACTCATAACATTTTCACAGAGAATGTTTTGCCCATAATACCAGGATGAGGAAGCCAACCATTACCTCCTTCTCAAAATTTACAGCTGAGCTGGTTACCAGGCAACAGTACATATAACACGAACTAGCATTTCAGCTGAAACTGCAATTGATGTAAATGGGATTATAATGAGGCAAATTAATAGATCAATACAATATTCAAAATTTAAACAATCCAACCAAATTATATATAATTTTAAAACAAGATAGGCACGGTATACTTTTATAATATTTAACAATTTGTATGTACAGCATTTCACAATATCATCATGTCAGATATTATTCATAAAACAAATCATGTCAGTCTAAGATCCAACATCATAGTCCAACACACTAATGACATTGATTTTTCCAAGTGTTATTTGGAGTTCTGTAATGCCACGTAAAACTTTCAGTCTTGTTACATGTATCCACATGGAGTGAAGATTATATGTCCAATCATGACTGTGATATTACTGTTTCACTCTGATACATGTACTTCACCATACAGCGATACATTTTCTACTTCATCAGAAACTATTTGGTTAAGTAGAAACATTTAGAGTTTACTTTGATTTTTGGTAGCAAGCTGTTGTCCTGAGAAATACTGAAATGTTTGTCACCATACTTACTAACTTTCAAGAACTTTCATGGGGGAAGTGTGGAGGGGGCGGGGTGGGAGGATTTATTATGCTAAAATTGAAACTGTAAATAAAAATGTATGTATACACGTATATACATTCCAGTAAAGAATGATACTTGTAAACAATATCTTTGGGGATGCTCATTCAAATGAAATCATTACATCTAAGAATACTTAAGCAAATTCACTTGTTGAAAATAGCAAAATTTGAAGTCTAAAATTAAGCCACCCTCCTCATAGGGAGGGTTACTTGGCAAGTATGAGTTGTTTTATTATTATAATACTTCACATGGTCAGGGGAAAGTAATACTCCTAGTTTACTTTCAGTTTTATTTCCTTTTTTAAATGTTCAATCATATCTTTGGAAAACGTCAAGGAGTTTGGGTCCATAGACATTAGATTTTGATGACCAGTATGTTTGTCATTTCTTATCATTTAAGTAACATTACAATGCTTTGCAATGTCCATCAATACATATAATGCTAATATTCATATAATATGCAACATATACCATACAGATAAGTACATTGCTCAAAGACGAAGCAGAATATTCAGAAAATATAACCATTTTTTGAGCTTATAATGGACAAACAAATATTTCACTATATTTGACATTATCAACCTATCTGACCATAAGTATAACAACACCACTTCCACTTGATCTTGGGTGTAACAACACAACATCTACCAGATCTGCAGTGCAACAACACCATGTCTACTAGACATGGGGTGTAACAACACCATGTCTACTAGACATAGGGTGTAACAACACCATGTCTACCTGACCTAGGGTGTAACAATACCATGTCTACTTGACGTGGGGTGTAACACACAAATATATTAACAATATGCTATAAAACATGTACACTTCAAAGATAATGCTGAACAATAGTTACAATAATCCTGCATCTTATACAACCGAAAACAGTTGTCAGTCTCAATGTCAGACATGACTGACTTAATACACCACACATGTATAGTTCCAAAGGTATTCTCCTATACAAGTAAGCATCATCAATATTGGTAGTCAAGACAACACACAGTTCTCATCTAACAAAAACAAACTCTTTCATTTAAACAATCATTATTGATTGCCAAGCTAACAATTAAATAAACTCCTAAATAAGCATTTACAAATAACAATGATGTCCATTTTGTGACGTTAAAAGCAACAAAACTATTAACAAAAATTGACTGAATAACCTCCATGTGTTTCACCCATGTTCACCATTCTATAATAAAAGGTCAAAACAAATGCTATATTTCATACATTTCTACAATTAAAGATGAAATAATTTGAAGTGTTATTTATATCTAAGTTCTCAAGCTTATTTACCTAGCCATTGCGTAACTATACATACATAACATTGTTAATCACTGAATAAACAGTAAAACTACATTTCTGAATAAGCCCACTGACTACAAAGTTAATGTGAGTCCCCGGTGAATTTTTATAATAGATTAATCCTATTTTCTAGCTCAAAGTAAAAAGGATGTATTTTTAACTTAAGTCATACAATGTTTTTATCCAATTATTTCTTATTTCAAGCTTTACAAATTTTTGTGATTGTCTTTCGTTTTTCCGCCCTGAAAATAGCCATCTTTAACAGTTTCTCTGGACTTCAACACCTTGTCATCTATACCTGTGACTTAATTCTAGAAATATAAACAGTGTAATATCTTAATTATGGTCCTTTCTCATTTACCTTTAATTATGCCTGTGGGATTTGCATTGTGACCGAGATTCCTTTTGTCATATATATATATCTATATGTGCATGTGTATACATTAATATTAAAAAAAAAAAAAAAAAAAAACTCACAAGAAGAAGAATTGCTTTCTTAAAATATGTAGTAAAATTACAGTTTACACCAAAAAATATAAACAAAATGCCATTTTTTTTAAAAAAAAAATGCTTCATTGAAATATATACCATGTCATAACCTTGGCAGAATACTAGTTTCCTACAGTCTCTGGCCAAAATACTTAACCTAAACAAATATCTGATAAATGATTACATGTTTGGGTATGGGATGTAAAGATAAGTCTATCAAAATGATTTACCGTCTAGAAGTACCAGAAGAAATGTACAAAAAAAGTCAATGGAAATTATTAATAAAAGTAGTTTACATCAGAAGAGAAAGGTTACGTATGTTTTCAACTTTTTGGTAAAATTAGTCTGAAATAATATGATGAAGGGGTTGTCACCATCAATCGCTGATAAAAAAAATATGATGAAGGGGTTGTATCCATCAATCGCTGATAAAAAAAATATGATGAAGGGGTTGTATCCATCAATCGCTGATAAAAAAAATATGATGAAGGGGTTGTCACCATCAATCTCTGATAAAAAAAATATGATGAAGAGGTTGTATCCATCAATCGCTGATAAAAAAAATATGATGAAGGGGTTGTATCCATCAATCGCTGATAAAAAAATATGATGAAGGGGTTGTATCCATAAATCGCTGATAAAAAAAATATGTTGTCATTTAAAAAGGTGATATTATGCTGGATCTTCTTTAATGTAAAGTATATATAATATATCTGTAACAGTGTTGTCAGAAAACCTGATTAGGAAGTGTTGACCTTTGGTGGCATATGTATATGATGCTATGGTTTGAACAAAAGTCATTTCTCTGTGGAGGGTTAAGGAGATATCTTGCACACAAGGTGTGAAGGTTGTCATGTATATACATGTACACACATTCACACACACACACACACACACAGGTAACATTTGTGTAGATCTGCTACACACACAGGGTATACCAAATATTATCTACACCAAACAGATTTTTTGTTTTAATGGTTTAATACTGGAAGCTCACAAAATTTACTACTTACCTAATTAGTACAAAGTTCACAACTCACATTTTTTTTGACCCAGTAACCAAATGTTTACCAAGGTAAGTTAAAATAAACAGCATTTTAGAATGATTCAAGAAAAATGACACAACATATGAATTTTAGGCTTTGCACATACAGTTAAACCTTGTTATCTCAAACTCTTATAACTTAAAGACCGTGTTTAATTCAAAGTAACAAGTGTGTCCTAACCAAACTTTTCACCAAACATTTAATCTCACTTACATAAAATACTATACAACTCAAAGTTTTCCAATGGTCCTGCTGACTTCAAAATAACAAAGTTGAAATATACTTGATTCACAAATACATAATGTAAAGAAAACATTTCACTCATAAAAAAAAGCTAAGGGTTGACAAAATTTTCACACACTAAACTCTACGTTTAAATCTAAGAATATGTAAGTTTTCCATTTATATATACAAAAAGGTTTTCCCTGTATTTTGTGACAAATCTAATCACATACAAAAAGTTTCCTTGTGGATGTAATAAAATTTTCAAAATTCTGTTACAAAAAATCATGATAAACCCAGTCATGCACAAAAAAGGTTTCCATAAGTTAATGTGACAAAAGGTTCTCACAGAACTGTAACTAGATTGTTACAAACACTGCCACATACAATACGTTTTTCCAAGTAAAATACTGGATCGTGATATAAATTGTAATTGTCTGTTACATAATTTCTCAAAGCGAAAAGGTTTACGAAGTACAAAGAAAGTATTTAACGAAAGTTTATGGAAATTATGACTTAAAAGTCTACACCAGTAAATACATACTAAATTTTTAATAAATTTTTGGTAAAAATATCTGCGTTGATAAAAAATAATATGATAGGGGTTGTCACCATCAATCGCTGATAAAAAAAAGTATGATGAAAGGGGTTGTATCCATCAATAATGATAAAAAAAATATGATCAGAAGGGGTTGTATCCATAATCACAAAAATAAAAAATATTGTCCATCAATCGCTGATAAAAAAAAATATGAGGTTGTATATCAATCGCATAAAAAAAATATTCTGTGTCTTATTTACATGTAAATGATGAAGGGGTTGTATCCATCAATCGCTGAAAATAAAAATATGATGAAGGGGTTGTGTTTCAGTAATGTTAACAAAAATATGATGAAGGGTTGACCAATTTGATAAAAAAAATATGATGAAGGGGCATCAATCTCTGTTATATTAAAAAAATATGTGTTGTATGTCTATGCTGTATGATGAAATCCAAATCGCTGTAAAAAAATATGATGAAGGGGTTGTTCATCAATCGCTGATAAAAAAATATGATGAAGGGGTTGTATCCATCAATCGCACATAAAAAATATGTTGTCATTTAAAAAGGTGATATTATGCTGGATCTTCTTTAATGTAAAGTATATATAATATATCTGTAACAGTGTTGTCAGAAAACCTGATTACAAGTGTTGACCTTTGGTGGCATATGTATATGATGCTATGGTTTGAACAAAAGTCATTTGTGATATCTTGCACACAAGGTGTGAAGGTTGTCATGTATATACATGTACACACATTCACACACACACACACACACAGGTAACATTTGTGTAGATCTGCTACACACACAGGGTATACCAAATATTATCTACACCAAACAGATTTTTTGTTTTAATGGTTTAATACTGGAAGCTCACAAAATTTACTACTTACCTAATTAGTACAAAGTTCACAACTCACATTTTTTTTGACCCAGTAACCAAATGTTTACCAAGGTAAGTTAAAATAAACAGCATTTTAGAATGATTCAAGAAAAATGACACAACATATGAATTTTAGGCTTTGCACATACAGTTAAACCTTGTTATCTCAAACTCTTATAACTTAAAGACCGTGTTTAATTCAAAGTATTTAGTGTGTCCTAACCAAACTTTTCACCAAACATTTAATCTCACTTACATAAAATACTATACAACTCAAAGTTTTCCAATGGTCCTGCTGACTTCAAAATAACAAAGTTGAAATATACTTGATTCACAAATACATAATGTAAAGAAAACATTTCACTCATAAAACAAAAGCTGGAGGGTTGACAAAATTTTCACACACTAAACTCTACGTTTAAATCTAAGATCTGTAAGTTTTCCATTTAAGTACGACAAAAAGGTTTTCCCTGTATTTTGTGACAAATCTAATCACATACAAAAAGTTTCCTTGTGGATGTAATAAAATTTTCAAAATTCTGTTACTAGATCATGATAAACCCAGTCATGCACAAAAAAGGTTTCCATAAGTTAATGTGACAAAAGGTTCTCACAGAACTGTAACTAGATTGTTACAAACACTGCCACATACAATACGTTTTTCCAAGTAAAAGTGACTGGATCGTGATATAAATTGTAATTGTCTGTTACATAATTTCTCACAAGCGAAAAGGTTTACGATGTACAAAGAAAGTATTTAACGATAGTTTATGGTTTATGACTTTAGAGTCTACACCAGTAAATACATACTAAATTTTTAATAAATTTTTCAGCTAAAAATATCTGCGTTGATAAAATTAATCAAACATAGTTCATGAAAATTCTTTTGATTGTTTCTCAAAAGTTCCTGAAAGACAGTTTACGAACAATAATGTCAACGTACATATTTCAGCAGTCAGTGTATTTTAGAGCTTTTCACAAAAAAAATATTGTACTCAAATATGATTGTATATGTTGCACTTTCTGTGTCTTATTTACATAACAATAACTTTGGATCTCCTTATCTATCAATTTACCTGAAAATAACATTCCACTGAAATCTGATAGTACCAAGCTAAGTGTGTTTACAGTATATGTCCTAGTATGACAACAATATGCTTAAAGTACTGACTTATGAACAATTTGATTTTAGGATGCAGCAATGCATATCTAGCATGTTATATTAATACAGTACCATGTGCTTACTGTCTTTGGTTTGTCCACTAGTCTGGAATGTTCCTAGAAGGATGTCACTATACCTTCTTGTCTGCATGTCTAGACATCCTGACGCATGACACTTGGACCCTACCATCATCACATAGACATATATTATTTCAAATGGACGCACGAAATTGATTTACTATAATCATAAATGTACACTACATTCTTTTGCACACTGTTACAATTCAGCGCATAATTTGACAATGTCTCAATAAGAATGCTGACTTTGGAAAAACATGAAATATCTAGGAATTTAGATAACATCATAAAATGGCACAGACTTTAGACTTGTTTGTTTGGTGTTCTTGTTGTAGTAGCCGCTCTTCCTGTAGAAGCACAGTCTTACGGAGCTGCTGGATCTCCTTCTGATGTCTCTTAAACAAAAACAAACATTGTCTGCGGTGAGAGTCTCGGGCTTCGTAGCATGCAATCACAAAACACTGGCGGGTACAAATGAACATTGAAACATGCAAACACAACAGATATTTAGAAATGGAAAAAAAGCGCAGAGACCTAATCGCAACAGCAGGTTAAAACAAAATGGGAACAGAAGGGTGGATATACAATGGGAACAGTAGGGTGGAGATACAATGGGAACAGTAGGGTGGAGATACAATGGGAACAGTAGGGTGGAGATACAATGGGAACAGTAGGGTGGAGATACAATGGGAACAGTAGGGTGAGGATACAATGGGAACAGTAGGATGGAGATACAATGGGAACAGCAGAATTGAGATACAAATGGAAAAGCAGTGTAGAGAAACATTGAGAAAAACAGAGCAAGGACATAATTGAGACAACAAACCGTTAATTATCCAATTAGCCAAGCCCTTCATGCTTGTTAAGTCAGGCACCTGAGTGAATTTGTTTACATAAGGTCACCAAATGTGTTAGGGTCACACTCATTGTGGTTTCCCAATTATCAATGGATCAAACCACATCAACTGTTTCATCGCAGTAACCAGTAATAAATTAATCTTTCTGTAGAAAATCTGTTTCTTTTTTAATCTGCCCCCCCCACCCCCACCCCACGCGCCCCCCCCCCCCCCAAAAAAAAAACCTGCGCACTATACTCGCAAATTAACAGTAATTTATTTACAGATCCTTGGAACTACTGCACAAAAGCAGGTATCTTTACTTTAAATGTTTAATGCAAAAACACATAACAAGATGGCATACTAACCTGTCTGGTCCACTCTTGGATTTCAGCACCCTTGAGGGGTCCCTGGACACTACCATCCCTCCGAACATAGACATCTCCACATGTAGCATATAGAACATCTGTATCCTCAAGAGCTTTCACATTCACCTCCAACACACGGAGGAGGGGCTCTGTAACAGAATGGTATTTATAGGTACACATCATTCAAAATCAAAGGTTGAATATGAATATCACAACGGTATTCAGTGTGTCCACTCCAAAACTTGAATCTATAAATCAGTTAACAACATGTCACACTTTGAACCATTTTTAATGTACTTCTGGGTGTCAATTGCATGTTGCACTGCCCTGATGAGCTAAATAAGGGTGAAGTTGGTCAGCAGTAATAAATTTATTGACCACCTAATTTTTTTAAGTTGGTATATGTCGTGTTAACTCCCTACTTCTGATTTGTAGGTATACACGTCTTAATGAGAGAGGAAGGATGCTATGTCCAGACTACCGACATGATCACATTAGAGACATCCAACCTTAATAGACACTATAACAACATCAAAGTAAACTTAACACCCACAGCAGATTCACGCCATTTCATTCCTCTCTCCTTCCTTCAACAAAATGTTGGACATAGAACACAAACAGAGATATACAACCTTACAACCTTCTATATGTATATTCATCCTGAATGTTAAACAGACAAAGAACACCATTTATTTGGAAGCAAACAGAATGATCTGAGGCAAGTTAAGAAAATTTCCTCACTGTATTATAAAGGAGGGTTGTGCAATGCCATCAGAAGCAATTGGGATAAAGTTTTAAGTGTCTTGCCCAAGGACACTACAATGGCAACCCAAGTTATCATGTGATCTTTGCTTCCGCAGAAACATAAAACTCGTATTTATGTAACAATGTTATGTTGCCTGGCCCCAGTTTTCATGAATCTGCCTTAAATTGAGGAATTTTCCTAAACTTAAATCTGTTCATAGGACAACATTACATCAGTTAAGGAAATTGCCTTAAATTGAGGAATTTTCCTAAACTTAAATCTGTTCATAGGACAACATTACATCAGTTAAGGAAATTGCCTTAAATTGAGGAATTTTCCTAAACTTAAATCTGTCCATAGGACAACATTGCATTAGTTAAGGAAATTTCCTTTAATTTTTTAACTTAGGTAATGGTATTCTACGCGAGTTAAGATTTCCTTAAGTTAAGGAAGATTCATGAAACAGGGGTTCGAAGATCCATGTGTTGTTTACATTTTTATTACACAACTTACCAGAAGGCAAACTGTTGGTGAGAACAGGGACAAATTGAACTGTGTACATGTTAGGGAAGATGGCTGGGTTTATATTTTTGATAGCCATATCAATGTCAAGTCTGGCCTTGTCCTCTTGTGATTGGTTACATTCCACACCCTTAACATGACCTGGCAAACAAAAACAATCCGCATTTCATAACATACCAAACTTCTTGTGGTGAGTCCATCCAAAATGTTTCAGAAAAAAATGTTGGACAATAAAATTCTTTCATATCACACAGAAAAATTATAGTGTCTTAAAATCTGAATTCAAAAATCATGATCTTTTGAAATAACTTAATACTTTAATGCTCTAATACATGTATAATCCATGTGTAATTATTTCTTTCTAATCATCAAGTCTTTTTATTTCTGATTTTGAAACAGGAGACTCTTGGTTTACTATCATTATGTTAAGAAAACTATTTTGATTGGCTGCAATGTAAATAAAGAAACCAGACACTGTGATTATACTACATTTCATTGTTCAGTTTACCTAAAAAGTATCTTGAGAACACTACAAATTTAGATGAAACTTTCTGTATGGATGAAATTACATTCCAACACACTAGTCTGTTTTATAAATGGCTTCTTCCAATCTAGTTACCAAGTAATTATACTAATTGTCCGTCTATACATATGTTCTGTTACTTACAATGTCATAAATAACTACTTACTTTTAAATCAAATTTATGTGTTTAAAATTGTCATGTACATAATTCCTTGTCTAAATTAAAAAACACAGTTAACTGAAGGTTGAAGATCCTTTATTTACAGACTGATAAAAACCAAACTGAACATAAAAGGATCAGGTTGAAAAAGTATTCCTGAAAAATATTTCTATATCCTTACCTGTATCGCTGACACCGATCATCAGTGTACCAGCCTCTCTACTATTCAGGAAGCCACACACATACTTTCCAACATCCTTGTTCAGCTGTTTCCTTATATAGTTACCAGAACCAAGTTTATACTCTCTGCTGCGTGTTTCGGTACCAAGATACTGTTCTAATGCGTAGTGTCGATCAGACAGCTGTACAAGACCAGTAGTGGACGTGGCTGCAGGTGACCCCTCCGCCAGATACCCTGTCATTGAGGTCGATGTTGAGCAGTGGTTCTCACTAAGACTCAGGTTTGCTACACCTGTTGTTACTGTTTCCTGCCCTTCTTTATTGCTTGATGCAGTCTTTGGTTTTGAAGGACTTGGAGACACTGTTTTTCCTCCTTCCTTATAACTCTGTTTAGAAGTGCTCTTTTTATCACTGGCTGAAATTGTCCCACTGGTCTGTTTTACAGTAGAAAGTGTTTTGGTATCTCTGCTTTCTTTTTTATCAGCATTGTTGTTCCTCGATCCAGATTGAGAATGTTCAACCTCGCTGTGTTCTTCTTCTGGTTTTGGTTTCTTACTTTTCCTGGGTTTCTTCACCTTTTTATAATCAACGGTGAGCGACTCATAAGGCTGCACTATGTATGTGAAGTTATAACGAAGGTTACGGCGATTTTCCCAGGAGGCTAATTCCTCCAATGTCTCCGAGGCCTCACCTTCATCATGAAGATCTACAAAAGCAAACCATGCCTGTTTGCCCTTCTTAATATCAATATCATTCCAATCAACAACAACACCTATGTAATTGCAGAAGAGCTCCAGCAGATTGTTTTTCAATTCTATAAGAGGCAGGTCACGGCGTAGGTTTCCAAGGTAGAGTATGTTCTTATCCTTCCCCATTTCTGTTGGATGGTGTCACCCTATATGCATTGTCCTGAAACAGGTATACAGAGACACTTGTATAGCTATATACATATACAACAAAAAATCTGGACAGAGGTCTCAGAAGACACCTGGTTATACAAAATATATAAGAAGCCCATGGGACTTAACAGTCATCTGACTACAAAATCTTTCACAGGGAGAAGTGTTATTTTTTCTACTTTGAACAAAATGTAGTTTTGGTGAGGAGCAGGTAACTATAATAAGTGTTACCTATTTTTTTGACAGTAAAGTTAGAGCTCAATCCAACTGTTTGAAATAGGTGTTGCACAGGAAAACCATGATTGTGCAGTCATGGTACAAAATGGTATCCCGGGCTGCCTTGTCAAAGTTTTGACATGGTCCAAAAATAACAACACTTTATTGGCTACCTTTCCATAACATTCCCAACAATTTTTACTTCAAAAGGCACCAGTGGAACTGGAGAACAAGTTTAAAATATGTTTATCAAAATGACGGCCATGGTGGCCATCTTAGATTTCAGACCAACCTGCAAAATAACAAGACTTTGTTAGGCCCATCTCAGGATCTTTCCATGCATGTTTAAGCTCAATCTCAATGGTGAAACTTGAGAAGAAGTTTAAAATGTTAAAAGTTTATGTACTGTGGCAGCGGATGACAACGCATGAAGATGACCTAATAATTATATCAACAACACTGATCTACTATGTTTGGTACAAAACTCTTGAAACATTGTGTTATTAATCATTACTATTGTTAGTAAAGTTTATGTTTCTGCAGCTAAAAGACAATAATGACATTTATTTCCAGCAATTTATCCAAAATATTAGGTTATTAAGTCTAATTACATGTAATTATAGTATTTCATTAATCCATCAACTGAAATGTAAAAGATGCAGAGTTTAACCACGTTTATGTTACTTTAAGGTCTATAGGGAAAACAAAAACAATTTTCTTGTGGTTTCATAAGATTGAATGATAAGAGAAAAAGCTATGACAAAACCTTCAGAGACATCAGTAAAACCAGTCATAGACATTAACAGACTAGTATATTCCTCCTTCAGTTTAACTCTCCATCCCCAAATCCTATCAGAATGCTGTCTGATTTAGTCAGATATATTACAACCTTGTGATTAGATTGAAGTTCAGTATCAGATCTGCTGTGTGCTAAACTTCAACATTTCCAAAGGTAATGAAATTTTCATGTGTTGGAAAATTTCCTCAAAGAAGAGCTATAGAAATTTTGTTGTAATTAAAATCATTTTACGTCATGTAGTACTACCCTACACCCATTCTGTTTAAAATATATCACCATTTTTTCCCAAGTGGGACACTTATTTTTTGCCATCACACCACCATGGATGCCTCCTCACCTAGTCTTAAAGTGTTGAGAAGGCTTTTTTGTGAACTATTTTCAGCTGACTTTTTTTTTTTATAATGGATGCTTCTATAAAAATGAAGGGGGCTTATCTGTGGTAATCCAATTGTGAATGATAAAAACTTTCAGACACGCAAAACTCAATACTTAAAACAAGTCTTCTTAAGTATAACAGGACATACAATAATACAAAACGTAATACCAACACAACTCTAATCATGTGTTCTAACCTTTTAACCTTGTAGCAACAAGAAATTCCTCCTTTCTTTTCTTGAAGTTGTTGCCCTTCAAACTGATGAAAACATTTTTCACATTACAGTGGGTCATTGGTACTGGTTACACGGAATGGGAAAACAGGCAAGGTTTGGAGTTCAAGTCATTGCTCACTAACAAAACTACCTAAGTCCATCTATACTGCCAAGCTTCATTATTTACTATGTAACAGTAATGAGTCTTGAAAAATTCATTGCTTCCAAATGGAGTTCAAACTTGCAACCCCTCAATCTCTAGCCAGACACTCCACCTCTCGACTAAAGGGAAATTCCCTCTTACCAATGCCAGTAAGGCAACCTGAACTCTCTCCTAGACATCTACCTGCCAAGTGGTAGCTCTTGGTATCAACAATTACTGGTTTAATAAATTGTGTTTTTAAATCATAAAAAACATTATTTAAGGAGATAATCTAATGGAGAAGCATTAATGCATCTGTATCCCTATCAAGGGTTGATACAGATCTTCACAATGACTATACCACCATGCTGTATCTGTCAGCTTTGCAACAATCAGCCATTAACACATCGACTGACCCTGGGGACACATTTCTAAAACCCTTTTTCTTCTATCAATAATAATGATTATATTTTTAAAAAACATCTTTTTCTATAAATTTTGCTCAACAAAACTCAAGCAATCCGTTGTCTTATTGACGAGTCATTACTTTTATTTTAAAGTGGACATCAATTTATTGATATCAAAACAGGATAACATGTGTCCAAGTTCAAGTCACACAATTCTTTTTTATTTAGTTAGAACTGAGATATGTTGTGTATATCTCTAGATTAAGATTAATTTACCAGCAAAATCTGGAGGGGTGCTACTTGCTAAAGTGTGGGATGCATGCATGCAGTTGCATTTATAGGAGTTTGGGAACATGAAATCGAGTGCATTCACATTTAGGTCGCTCTGTTTTGGATCTACAGCCAAGGAGGTATGGTTAAGCTTCCCGTCTGATCCGGCTAATCTTTTAAATTATTATAAGGGAATCCGAAATTTTTTAAGGATAAGGATATGATATTGAACTCTTTAAAGTGAAATGAAAATATATTCTTTGTAATTGTGACCAATGAGTATACTATAATACCAAATAAAAGGAATTCTGAAAATGACAGACAACTTCAGTAAAGATATCTATGTATCTCATGACTAGCAATCTACCTGCGCCAATCAGAAACTTCTGATAGAAATGTAGGAAGCGAGCTATCATCTTTGTTCAGCAGTGACATCGATTGGTACTGTGCAAAACTGGATGCATATGTTCTATTACACTACAAACACATATTTGGCGATGCGTTATTTACCTTTGCTATGGCAAATTAGCATAAATATTATGAAATATGTTTCCACAACGTGCATGTAAACAACCGGAAGTGTGGTCATGAGAGCACTAAATATAATCATGCGCACTTGAATGCTTCATGGTAACTAGAATTTAACATATTGTTTGAGCGCATCATTGACGTTGATTGCTGGATTTTGACCGGCTGTACTGACAGTGACACGTCGGTTTGTTTAGCATCAGTCATCTGGTAACATTTTTGGACGCTGAAATGGTGACGTTGTGACAAAACTAACCATAGGATAATATATTTTACTTCAATACAGTGAAGCAATAGACCATGGAGTCCCTGTATCACCAGACAAATAAATTAATCCAGGAAGTACAAGGCGACTTGGGGAAAGTGGAAAGGACCACAGTTGGAAATCATGTTCACCTGATAGAAAACGAAATACAGGCTCATATAGACCATATTGTTAGTAATTGTGAACGCCTAGAGATCTTGGTAAATAAGGAGCCACCGACTCGCCGTGCCCACGCCAAAATGAGAGTTGACCAGCTAAAATACGATTGTCAACACATTCAGGCGGCACTACGACAGATACAACACAAACGGTAATCAACAAATGTCATTGGCTTTTCACTACTTATCACGTGCACCTTATCGAATCGACCAATTACTGATGTCGTCAATTACGTTTTTTTTTTAAAATTATTTTAAGTTTCAAAGTGGTAGAATATACACGTAAAACACACCAAATTTTTTTCATATATAAAAACATTCAGAATGGTGTTTTTTTGAAGTCACATAATCAGGTTATGTTACCATTAGACGAATTGAGCAATCAACATTATTTGATTAGTAAATTATGATAACTATTATTAACGAAAGTAGTTAGTTGTTTAAGTTGCATCCTATTTATCTTTAAATTCACTATTTGATTAATAGATTTTTCTCTATTATTAAGAATATTATTAATTTAAAGCATTGATGAGGCAGTTACATAAAAATTGCATCATCATCATCAATAACAAATGACAATGCATCATCTATACATCCAGGGAGTAACAAGCCAACTTTACATTAAGCTTCGACACATATCTCACGCTTTTTTTATTTTGTAAAAGAAAAATGATTTTAATTGTCAGGAATGACCTAATTGGTGCAATTAAAATAATTTACCTTATATGTACCAGGATACCACAAACAGAAGTACATTATCAAAATATATGTGAAATATAGTCAATCAAGAATTTTATTTTTTTCAACTCATATTTAAGATCTAGAGCATACAGTCTACATCATTTCCGTGGTTTTATAGAAAAGTTGGTATTCGAAATAATATATGAATTCAAAAAATGGCTGGAGAGCTGCTATAACAGTTTTACGGTTTTGCCAACCTGTAGTCATTTCATATTTTGGTCATCATATGTGACAAAGTGTTTTAAAAGATCTTATAATCAATTCTATGGTATAGTTATCACATCAGCGTATACACTTAGATGGTGTTCAATGCTAGGTTTGAACACAATTTTGACATCATTAGATAAAAATTTGATTTTGAAATTTTTAAATGTGCTGAAATATCAAGTGTTTCTAGCATTTTTCATCATTTAAACAGCTAAGCTATAATGTGATCAATATCGGGTTAAGCTGACAACATCAGCTGAGTCAACAAGACCAAACCTTCCAAAATGTAATTAATTAATTTTTTTGGATGTCTTTTCATCTCCAGTTATGTTAGAGAAGAAGAGGAACGAGAAAGAGAAGCACTTCTCACACGTACTTTTACCACTAATGACCAAGATCGTGACACATCAATCCAGATAGATGCAGGAGTAGCTCACAATGAACGACTTCGAAGCTCTCATCGTGATATAGATAACCTTCTAGGTTCTGGAAACAGCATTATAGACAATTTAAGGGATCAGCGGGTCACTCTGAAGGGTGCACACAAAAAGATGTTAGATGTTGCAAATGTGTTAGGACTCAGTAATACAGTGATGAGACTGATAGAGAAACGCAGCTATCAGGACAAGTACATCTTGTTTGGGGGAATGGTTGTCACATGTATCATTATGTATCTGGTTTGGAGTTATCTGACCTGATGTTTTGGTCGTTGTTGATTTTGATGTCAAGCATTAAGTTTATTATAAGGATCATATGGTATATTCATGTGGTATAATTAGGACTAACACAGCTACATCAAACAGGATGTGTTTCAAACAATGTCAGTATTTATTTAAGATTAAAATATTATTATGAAAAAAAATGTAGCAACTTTTTTACATGTTTTGATTACAGATTTGATTTGAAATCAATTGATGTGTTTGAATTAGTCTTTAAATGTAATTGATAAGACACCAACAAACCTGCCTTTCAAGTTTTGTAATACCTACATTACAATTGTTACCTATCCTAAAATTTCCATCAGTCGAACATGTTAAAGTGACATCACAGTAAAAACATTAATTTTGTTACTGGTTGTACACATTTTATACACCTCCTTTTTATGTTTCTTTGATATCAGGATATTCACAGTCAATGTCCAGTTTGTACTTCTTTGGTTCGGGATACCCCTATAAAATTTAGCACTGATAATGTCATGTGATAGTTTTAAAAAACGTAGCAGACCATTTGCCAACACAAACGCATGATGGCGGGCATAGATGACAGCAACATAGTGATACTGTCAGTAAATCCTGTTTTTCAGTACTAGATTTTGTGTTTTGAGTGTTACAAAATTTATTGACAACTCTTAAGTCAATTCAGAATAACAGACATTATTCTCCAGCACAACCGATTCAGGCATGTAGCCATGTTTGTTTACAGCTACCATGTTTTTTCATATGCATCATATATGACATATAAATTTACATATCCTGACTGTTAACCAACAGATAAGGATTTCCATTTTACAATTATTAATTAACCACATCATGTGCATATTTCAGGGAAAACCAACAGTCTTTGTTCATGAGGTGATACACCTGATATGAAAATGTGATGATAAAAAAATCGCAAAAAAAAAAGGTTAAAAAAAATACTGTGATGTCACTGTAACAGTTTCCTCAAGTATCTGAAAGTGAAGTCTATTTTGGAGACCAAAAGAAATTATTGATATTAAGGAATTGTTTAAAATATTGGAGCAAAGCAGATTTGTTTTCCTCTCTTTATGAATGTATTTGTTTTATATACATATTTCGTCTTAATGTAATATTACAAGTTCAATTTTGTTTGGAAACTGAAAACTTTCAAATACTGAACTTTAACTTGAATTTTCTTCATTACATTTAAGAAATGCCTGAAATAGTTTTAGTATGTCCTGTATTTTCTTCTTTGCATGGATTTTTTGTAAAAAATATGACGTGTATTTAATTTCAAGTTTTCGGGGGGAACCAATACTTGTTGATTATAACATCAATGTTGATTGGAAATGTAATCTTCCATGGAAGACATGCTGACTATCGGAAAATAGTGGAGTAATTGAAAATGATCAGGAAATATTTTTAAATTATTGATGAGAAGTATGGTTTGGAATCTGATAAATTGTTCATATTAAAGAAATTTTGTATTCTATTTCAAAAAGTGTCAAAATGGCTCCTAATCAAACGCTAACTCAAGTTCAAATGAAATTTGGATTGTTGGTTTATAGACTAACTTGACTGGATAGAAATTATCAAAAGAAGATGATGGCTACTTTGCATGATATCATCAAATCTATAGACATGTGTATCTGGTGCTAGCTTGAGCTAAACACTATGGCAAACTTAATATATGTAAGTGGTACAAGTTGTCAATTACAGTAAATTTTAATGCACTTAATTAATCAACATAGTGCTATTTGCTTCTATGGTGTAAAATATTAATGATTTTAAGCAGAAAAAAGTTCTATTGTAATTGATTAGATAACATGTTGATTTTGTAAAAATAGGTTCTGAGTGAAATAATATTGAAATATTTAATCATAATCATACAAGTATTTTGTAACCTGTAAATTAATTCTTGATTTGACATACGTGTAATGGTTATTCATAAATCATTCAAGTGTTTTGAAAATTTTGGTAATGATATATTTTGAATGACCATTTTATTTAGCAGGTAGTGTTTGATGATAAATATGAAAGTTGTACTCAGTATACATAACTGAACCCTTTGAAAAATATATGAGTGAAAATTACTGTATTAAGCATGGTAGCTAATTCTTGTACTTATATTAAAAGTAATTTTAACCTTATTTCCTGACTGAACAGTTCTTGAAAAGGTCGATTTATCAAATTATATGTAAATACTGCACTGTAAGGCAATGGAATTTGATTGCAATAAAATGCTTCAAATGTTCATTTAAGATTGACGAAAGCTAAATTCAAATTATTGCAATATTTTCCTCCGCTGTGATCAATATCTTTTCACAGATCACTTCACTATTATATATGTTAAGTAAAATGAGTTCTTGTGCGAGTGTATATCTAGTTGGCATGTTTTTGTAAAATCTTGAATTTGCATAAACTGGAGAATTTGGGAAGGTTTGCTTTTACATAATGCATCCTGAAACATGAGCAGCTATGTGGTAACAAAGTTTTATGTCTCTGCTCTAACTTTGCTATGTTGAAAAATACCTGTTATTTACTGATTACATCCAAAATTTCGTTGAAATAAATATATGATGGATTAATTCTGTTAAGGTTTGTTTTTTATTTTAGGTTATTTTACATTTTGTAGTAAACTATCATCACAATGTGGGCCTACATAACTTCAGTTGAAATTCCGAGAACTGTAGTTTGACACTCTTTACCCATGGTGGTTTATTGTGTCACCTGCAGATCTGACGGACACTTAGAGATCACTTTGTCCGTCGTCACAAGTTGTCGTCATCATCAGCGGCTGCGTCCGTACGAAAGCTTTCCAGACTTTTTTCAGTAATGCTTTGAGTTATCAAAATGAAATTTGACATATGGCTTTTTGTTGCAAGAGTACATATCAAATTTGAATTCCGGCTGTCTGTGACCCTTTTTGGCAGAGTTATGCCCCTTCAACTTAGAAAATTTCCTGGGAATATTCTTTTCCGGACTTTTTTGGCTTATGCTTTGAGTTATTGAAATGAAATTTAGTATATAGCTTCTTGTTGCAAGGGTACAGATTAAGTCTGATTCCTGGCTGTCTGTGACCCTTCTTGGCTAAGTTTTGCCCCTTTGAACTTAGAAAATTCTCTGGGAATATTGTTTTCTTGACTTTCTTTAGTTATGCTTCAAGTTATAGAAATGAAATTTGGTATTACAATTTTATGATTGATCGTTGCACATCCAGTTCAATTTCTGGATGACCGTGACACTTTATGCAGGAGTCACATACAGTTCCAAGGAACTCTTGTGTTTCTTAGAAAACAGACCGGATTGTTCTGATGTGGTTGTGTCCTTGGACAGGACACATAACCCTAATGCTATGGAAGGCATGTGAGGACCTCCTGTATCTTGTTCAGTAAGGTAACCACCAACTACCACAAGGAAACCCCTCCTCAGAATGTTTGGCTTGGGAGCCTCAAAAGATTTTTTATGCACATAAATACGGTCTTTTGTTACGTACGGTTTACATAACAATATCTCCACCAGTGTCTGTACTGTTAAGTATTAGCACAGGCCCTTGCAGGCTTACAAAATTTTTATGATCTTATATTATCTTGACCAATTTCCAAGATAGTCAAGGTTTAATTTTTTAAATCCTGTAAACAACTTCTTCTAATGAACTAATAGGCCTAGAGGCATGATATTTGGTTGGTATATATACACCAGGTGAGCGCTGCATGCCCATTGGGCCTCTTGTACAGTTTATTTTGTCATATGCTTAACAGGACGATAAAACAAGCCAAACCAAAAGAAAAAAACTCTCATAACAGTCGATTTACAAGAAAAATAATTAGAGTTTCACCAGATTCTTAATGTCCGATGGTTATTTGAAAAATTTTCATCGCTTGAAACTAAATGATGAGGCAGATGTATGGTATTAACTACAAATACGATTCTGTTCTTGCTATGTACTTCCCAGTGAAATTTGGTTAGAGCACTTGTTTTGCAAAAGGTTGATAGGGTGGCACAGTCGTAATGCACTTGTCTTTCACCTAGATGTCTGGGGTTCAGTTACTCAAATGGACATGAAAAGATAAACAGAGCTCACCTATCCAATCACATGGATTTCCCAGGGGTTTTCTCACATAGTAAGACTCCTTGTACACTTCCATCCAGGCCAACAAGAGTGATTAATAAAGTTGGAAAGTATTTTTTTTTGTGATTGTTGTAAAATAAATAAGGTTTATTAATTGTTTTTAAGACAACAACAAAGTCACAACAAATCACGATAGTTTGTGATATAAGCTTTCTGAGAAAGAGATTAAACTACATACCTCAGATCTTCTCATGAAGATTTAGTCCGATGTTCTACCAACTGAGGTAACTGTCGCACTATCTCGTCATGTTGAAATTGATTATTATGGTTGTAGTATTACAATGCTGCACATGCCAAAAGGATCTTAAATTTTGAAATATAGACCTTATTGTTATACAAAAAAAAAGAATATGAATGGAATTGTGATTGGATGATATTTCTTCAATAATTTTGAATCTGTATGACTCTGAATGTTGTAGGCCTGTATTAAGTGCACCAGTGTATCACAACATGCTAGTGTACATCTCTGATTGTATCAATGAATGTGGGCAGTATTACAGACATTGCTGGTTTAGAGAGTGGTGGTTTGATTGTACAGTAGATAACACACTCGTCACCAAGGTATATTCCCTGATAGGACAGATATAGGGTCACCAGATTTTCTCTGGGCCCTCCAGTTTCCTTAAGACCTCCACACTTCCATCCAGATTGGATAGAATAGCTGAAATCAAGGTTGACGATGAAGCATTACAAGCCCTGACATTCTGGATCAGTGGTTAGAAAATAATCAGCAATTTCAAAATTCTTCGCTTTTGGCAGTATTGTAGACTACAGTATATTTTTGCCATTTGGTGTAAATTGTTTTGTCTTGAACCTGATTACCATCTCATCACACTATTTTTTGACCACGTGTACAAAGGATTATAGCACAGTGGAAAAAGTAAGTCAATTCTGTACCATCTCGTATACTTCACACTAGTCATTTGTCTGACGAAGGTGACCATGAAGCCATCGAAACGTCACACTCTAATCTTCTATTGGTTGTGTTATAAGAACTTCTTTTCTACAGTAGTGTAGGGTTGCTATTGGAAATATAGTATGTTGGTTACATAGATAGAATTCTGGTTATCAAAATGCAAGGGGCAGCAATAACCCTTTTGGTAGAGCAGTGTTCTACATACACCTCGGTTTGTCTCTCAGCAAGCTGAGAAATGAACTAGTCCAAAGCGCTGGCATGTTTGTGTCTTTGGGCAAGACATTTTACTCTGATTTCTCTAGATGGCATGTAACGGGCCTCTTGTATGTTGTTCAGTGAGGTATTCACCAGAAGACCCTGCCCCAAAGTGACCCTGGCTTTTCATAAAGCGTTAAACCCAGCAAACAAACCAATCATAAATTTACTTTACATTGAAGTTTTTGCAGAAATTGAAAATCAATATTTTTAAAACAAGTTTTTATCAAGCAAATAAACACTTGAGCATTTGCTTTTCTCTTACTATAATAATTAAGGAAACAGAATGATGATGGTGTCAAAGGTCAAACCATCTGTGGCCATTTAGTGGCATGCAGGCTATTTACTGACTCAGATAATGTGATAAAATGCACAGATGCCTGCATGTTAATACTACTTAGGTATTGTCAGTCGTGCCATTTACGTCAATAAGGACCTACACATCCGGAATCTCAAAATCTTACATTCTTGGTTTGTGGACTCTTCATGGAATAACTGGATTATTGGTCTTTTATTGGAGAATCCTTATTGTATGATAGCAACAGCATCTGCTTAAAGACGTTGTAGCTCTGATGTGTTTGATATCAACATGTTGGTCAAGAACTTTCATTAATGAGAAGACTAGGAACTGATATGTCAAGAAAGTTTGAGTTATTTTGTTTCTTGCGAGTATATATAACTTTATCTTAATTGTTATTCTTTGTATTTTGGATTGTTTTGTTGATGTGGCTAACTAGTGAGGAATTATTTGTTCAGAAATTGAAAAACAGCTTTCTGTGACTTCTACACAAGTAAAAACAGTATATGTTATTGTCAAACAAAGAAAACAAATCTGGGAGTTTATGTCGCAAATAAGAGAAGATTAAACAGGCTTCAGATATAGGTATATACATAAAGTTTGTAACTGTGCCACTCTCCTGCAGCTTAGTATAAAAAAAATTGACAAATGCCGGGTCCCGATCTTTCCCCAAAATATGTACGCACAACGTTGCTATTAATGATGACATCACTCTTTGTGACCTTGGTTGGATTCTCCACTACGGCATGGACGTCGTCAGATGTGACCTTGCCAACACCATTTGGAGATGCTCTCACCTCACATGTTACAGCCGGACTCTGGCGTGCATGTGTGGATGATGCATGTGGACCTGTGAAAGTGGACAATGGTATGTTAACTACTATGAGTTCAAATGAAAGTTTTAATGTAAATTTAATTATATTGGTTTTTAAATTGCAAAAATAATATTGACGGGACATATAATGATATGGCATTGTCTGTTGATCTGTTAGCTGAAATCTCCTGTTTACAGTCATTTGCTTTGAAATTTGGTAAGTTGAAACACCATGACATGAGTTTGATTTAGTAGAGTTACTGCCCCTTGTTTGAATATTAATAATGTCCAGATCAGTTTTCAACCAGTCACTTTCAAACTTGGTAAGCTTAATTACCTATGACATGGAATTACGTTTTTTTTTCTCTCTCTAAGAAGTACAGTTTGATTTAACTGTATATGGAAAGTGTACTGGCCTTTGTTGTGTAAGTGTTAACCTTGTCAGGATAAAACTACTTGAAATATATAGTGCTCTTTCCGTAATTATTTCACCATGATAAATTTATTCAGAGATCTCCTCTCTCAATTATCAACCAATTCTGTTCAAACATGGTAGTCTTAATTAAGCCATGGCATGAAGTTATGTGTTCCTGAAATAGCAGAATTGATACCACACTACTGTAATGTTTTACAATGTTAATCTTAGTGTGCCGAGATCTCCTCTCATTTTAAAGATTTCTTTCTTTCAAACTTGATGGGCTTAATCAGCATGACCTAGTTAAGTTGTATGACTTATTACTAGAAACAAAAATAATTTTTTTACAAAACAAGTTGTGATTTGGAATTAAGAATCAATGCTGGTCATGACAATGATAATAAATGCTTCTGTTCAGGACCAGACATAGGGGATAACAGTGTATATTTCTCCCTGCAAAATTATAATGTTCCATTGAAGAAATGAAGCCTAGAAATTATTCAAATTTGAATGCCAAAAGTCAAAGTCGCAGATTTATACCTGTTATCGGTCCCAATATTGTAAAGTTTTCTAAAGTCTATACTATGTAATAAGCTTTGAATTTGTTGGATTTACTGGTGACAGGTAAATATATGTAACTGTGTCATTCTATTTCGACTAACACTCTCAGTATGTGTATTGACAGAACTGAAGGATAACATATTTAATAAAACAATTACAACAGTGATAAACTGAATCAAAGACAAAAGTGGGCTTATCTTAAGTACGGGATAATAAATTGGAATTGGTTTGTAATTCTTCTACATCAGCTTACTGTGTGAAAACAATTATTTTCTAAACCTTGCATCACTAATAATGTAAACTGATACTGAAGCAGAACACGTTTTGTCATATAATGCATATATTTATAGATTAAGAAGACGATATTTTGCCATATGCTTATTTTTCCGTCTTTTTTAAATTCGGGAAAACGACAGTGAGGATAAGACAGTACTGCTTCAACTTGATCTGCAATTCAGAAGACAGATTTGTTGTATTGTTACAGGCTGGTTGTTAGCTACGAGAGCGTTTGCCACCCTGGGTCTGCTTGCTGGTATCATGTCAACAATCCTGCTACTGCTATATATTTTTGTAGACCAGACTCACAATGATGTCATTTACCTGGATGTCATCATTACAAGCTTGGTACAAGGTAACCTTTCGTTGTCCCTGCTACATTTTATAAATCACATGGTTCAATTTCATTGTCTCAAATACAATATTGCTGGTTTAATTTTTGCATATTGTACAGTAACATGTATCCTGCTGGCTGTATACAGCTCCAAGTAGGTATTAAGTAATTAATACAATATTAATGAGGTGGGATGGTGGGTCATTCTTGTCAGATTGCCCCAACTTTTATCAGGTCGGTTATCCGGGGGTCAGGGCTAACATTTGGCATGTCAAGTTTGGGGCAATGGGACCATTGAGAAACATTGTGCTTACAATGGGGATTTGTATGGTCAGCCATTAACCTCCTCACCTTGACAGGTTTAGCCAATGACAACCAAGGAGGTTTGGAGGTTACACTGCTGCACTGACCTGCCCAGCCACAGTCTCCAAAGCACTGTGGAGTGACCAGGTCCCACCTCCAGCACTGACAGGGCTTTAGAACCCTGAATGATAAACACCCATCCCACCCATCCCTTTAGATTAGATCTTTTATGTTGTAGTTATTAGTTGTATTTGTCTCTTAGCAGAAGACCAGTATTTCATTATTTGTGGACTGTGTTGTCCACAGATATATAATTTTGTAATGTTACATAATATTACATAATAATAAAATATTGGTTACTTTTGGCCCAAACCTGTGTTTGTGTTTTTATATACCCCTATCTACCAGTACATCTGATTAATCACCTCAGTACACCTGTATCTGTATCTATATTGTTACAGTGAGCTGTATCCTGCTGGCTGTATACAGCTCCAACACTTCAGTACACCTGTATCTGTATCTATATTGTTACAGTGAGCTGTATCCTGCTGGCTGTATGTATCTACAGCTCCAACACCTCAGTACAACTGGCCTGGTCCTTTGCTTTCACCATTGTTGGAATGTGTTTGGAGTTCCTGGCAGCATTAATACTGATTTTAAAGCGATGGTTTAGACACGATCACGAAGGACTTTAACACCCTCATGTGTACAACTAATGATGACATAGATTCTCTGTTTACAATTTCATCAAATAAAATCTGCTGAAATACTGCCATGTTTGATGTTTTATACTGTTAACACATACACAGGTATGAACATATTTTAAGTGACGTTTTATATATAGCTGTAGATAAAATTGTGATATGAAATGAATCCAAGCACTACAAAACGTATCTTAGCCAGTCATGCTTTGCGGTTGGGAAGAAAATGTAATTTCTATTCTTTTTGAAAATTTGTTTCAATTGAAGGGGGTCGGAGGGGTGGGGGGGGGGGGGGGGGGGGGGGGGGGGGGGGGGGGGTGGAGTGGAACTAAGCAAAAACAGGCAAATATAGAAATATAGTCTAATATGAGAAATCTCTTCTTTTTTTTAGGCAAAAAGCAAAATGTGAGATTACTGGTAATATATGTATGCTTACAGTAAACTACAGGTTGTCAATGAAAATAAGCAGTAATAACAGCCACAATGACCAATATATCATTACTCTGTCAAGAACTGATAACATTGAAACACAGCAATTGATCATGGCCAGAAATGGTTTACCAAGTAATCCAGATAATTGAAAGTATAAAGTGTTAAATTCTTAGTGTTTAAGCCACTTTTTCTGCCCTTAATCAGGATTCAAATCAAGATCATATTTGAGAAGGTCACAAGTGTTATCCCATGTTCATCCCAATCACTAATCTCAAGTTGTCCGAATTACTCTAACATTCTATAGACTTATATCAGTAGACTTCAGACTGTTATAGAATAATTCCAAATAGTACAACATACACTGATACCTTATTTTTGTGGGTAAAGATTGATGAAAATTCCACAGACAGGATGTCATCAGAGTGGAAACATACTGAATTGGAATAAGATTTTAAAAGACAAAATACAGCAGGGCCACGAAAAGTGGTTAAATCTCTAATGCCAAGTTGATGAGTAGCCTCTAGGTGTTTTCTGTAACAACACCTCGATTTAACAGACATTACAGATCTGTCATCCATTTGTTTACTGATAAGGCCTATCACAACCAAAGTGTATTATGCACATTGGCTTGGCTCTGTTACAGAGCACTTTAGTACATTTTAGATCACTAACAAATTTAATTACCTCAGGTACACATTTTAATGAAAATTTGATGAAATAAATTTCTACAGTCCCATATTTTTTTTTAATTAGAATTTAATATGTTGCATTGATATTTTGTTAAATATTATTTAAAAAAAAAGAAAGAAAAATTAATACAAGTTAAAATGGTACACTCAATGTGGGGAATCATGTGGTCTACTATGCTATATGGAAAATGGTGACAAAAGCAGACTCCTTGGTGAATACTAACAGGTGGGGCAGGTAAGATTTATCACCTGACTCTCTGTTTTTTATGGCCTAAAACTTTTTTTTTAAGAGTTTAAAACCATATCCATGCGGGTACAATCTTAGTCACACACTCAATCAACTGGTCAGATAACACCACCATAGAACTATAAAAAGGATATAAATGGGCACATTTTTGTCAAGATAGTGAATGACAAATGATTTTCTGTCCACACTTTAAATAAAATTTGAATTTAATAATTAACAACAAACAACTACACAATCATTAAAACAGTTTTACTCCTGTTTTCTTGCACTATCAAATTTCTGATAGTCACATTCAATGATTCAAAAACAGCATAAATTTTACAAATCAATACAAAGCATAGACCTGGTGATACAGATGGTTATGATAAAAATGTAACAGATTGTCATGTATAAGATTTTAACTGTACACAATGAGAATGTAAAAATGTACTAATTGTTATAAATGGGCTGAAAAATGTGGTTGCAATGTACTGACAAAATTTGACAGCCAAAAATAATTTAAAAACACTTGAGATTTTAGAATACAAATTTTGGCAGTTGTAGTGGAAATAACTAAACTGTATAGCTTAAGTAATAAAAACACTCTACCAATGCTGGGGTTTGAAGTAGTTAAGTTTTGGTCTCAAAACTGGCCTTCTACCATCTGGCTCCAGGGAAATTCCCACTAGCGGTGACTAGTAAGATAATCTTAACTCTCTCCTAAAATTGTACTGATGTGTCTAGTGTATTTTAGCTTAAATTCTCAATCCAACAGTCTCCATCACCTAGTTCCATGTTTTGAGTATGGACCATGTGATGGGAACTTTGTCCCTGCAGGGGCTTTTGAAATTGTCCCATCAGTACATATACCCCTTACCTTATGACAAGACAAATCAGTGTCTGAATAGCACACAATTTACATACACCGTAAACTGTAACTTTTTTTATTCATTTCACTCACTAAAATCCTTAAATGTTTATGTATATATGGCATGAAGTTTTCAGAATGCTCATTATAACTGTTAATAGCTCTTAGTTCTTAGATGGTTGGGTGACACCGTGGTGACCCACTCACACTTCACTTAGCTGTCCAGGGTTCCCAGAATGGATGTCAAAAGGTATGGGGTCACCTGCCTGATTAGTTGGTTTTCCCTGGATACTCCAGTTTTCTCAAACAATAAGACCTCTGGTGCACTTCCATCAAGGCCAACAATAGGGATTAATATGCCAGTTAGTTGGTAGAACTTGTTTCGCAATTGTTGTAAAAATAAAGTATATCATATTAATAGCTCTTAGCAATTGCATTTTTCTGTTTCAGGGTTGTTTTTTTTCTGTATATTTCATGTTTTCAAAAACTGCTCTAAATTCTTCCAAAGTATAACCTTAACATTCATAAATATCTAATTTGTTGAAAATTCCTGAGCCCTTCTGAGGACCAAATATATTCAATGAAGGCTGTATTGTTTATTGGTAACATAGAATTTGAAAAATAACAGCCATTTTTTAAATGATATGAAGTGATGATTTTTTGAAAAAAAATGAACACATCTTAAATGAATGTGAGTAAGGAAACCAACATCATGAACACTATTTTTAAAAGGCCTAAATTCACTTCAGTATAGTGCCTTCAGTCATACAACCTTTGAGAAAGGTATTCAGATATATATAAATATATGGTACCCCATGATATACCACTGCTTCTCACACTTGTAAACATAAAAATCCTGACATACCATCAACCACAGTCCAAATAGGACACAACTGGTTGATTTCATCAAATCATTTGGTTTTAGTTTCATATCCTTAAAAGAATATCACATTTGAGAGAGAGAAAGAGAGAGAGAACAAATCTCTTTTAATAAAGGCTGAGATTTACCTTTGCTTGACTTAAGGATAAAAACTGAAAAGCAAAAACAAACTTTCATTTTGTATTGAGATAAAGTATAACTTGACTTCTTATACATTGATGTGTCACCTACTCGTACACAACCTGTAATAACATTCAGCATCTGGACCTGAAGTCACATTGTGTGAGTTTTGACAAGGTCTTAATCCTGGCAGACAGTAGCAATGAAATGACTTCAATAGTTTACCCCAGAATTCATATCCCACATGTTGCAGTTCTGTTATCAAACTTCACATTTCATTTTTTAAATTTTGTTACAATAAAATGAAAATAATACTTGGTACAAATACTGAATCATGGGACAAAAATAGATCTTATGATGGAATGACATCACCTTGTTTTCTTCAAAAAGTAAACTTACGGGCCATAAAATTTCACATCCAATATTACTACTGTGTAACAAGATTCTGACACAAAGCATTTGTCTTCAACATATCATCTTTCTTACATATCCTATTTATCAGCTGGGTTACATGGCAACTGTATTTTGACAGATGATCACTGTCCAACAAACATCCTTTTCAGTAACTGGTATACTGCCAACGACTGTTCAAACTCACAGGTTGTATTTTATGCATAGCAAAATTAAACTGTCAAATCATTTTTGATTGTGTGAACAAGATTTCTTTCACAATAATTCATAACATGAATGATATTTTTGGTTGTAACTGCATTGTATATTGATCCATATAGCATTGAGACTTTGGCTTAACACACACAGGTATTAACATGTCAGATTTAAAAGTATAGGAGCATAATATAACAGTGAAAACTCACTATCAGCACTATAGAATTCCGTAAACACTGCTCGCCGTGTCCATCATGACTGTATAAAATTAGCACCAACAACATAACACCATAATGGCAACAAAGTAAGATTCTATAAAACATTATGTGAAATTCATTTCCAGTGCAACCTAGTTAAATTCAAAGAGCAGCTTAATCAAGTGTCTTTAGTATATGGGCGGAGGGGGTGTAAACCAAGGACATTTTGAAACTAGATACACAGGATATACAAGGTATACACAAGCTTCATATTTGAGTAACATCACAACACAGATCAACATTGCATTTCTGTTGTTGTGCATAGCAGAGGGACAGGAGTATTGAACTTTGATTTCAGTTTATGAACACTTTTTTGTTTTTAGACAAATACTGAACTAACATTCACATTTGGACACAAGCTACTAACCATTCTGACTTTTTTTCCAATGTACCCTAACATTCAGAACTATGTGGACATGTAATGCTTAGGTTAAACTGACATGGTTTATAATATCAGATATGTGTTCTACAGGCCCTTATAGGGCCTCAGTAAAAAGGTATGGCCTATGATCAAACTGAGAGAAAATAAGACAGCCAAGCATCTGTTGTGAGAGGGACTATAATGACTCTGATAGGGCCTTGGCATTAAATGTGGAGTAGGTCAATCTGGAAGAAACAAAACTGCCAGACATTTGCAGTAAGATGGTCTAAGAGGGCCTTCACAGACCCAAATAGGGCCTTGGTAACTGATATGGACGAGGACCAGACTGCGAGAAAACAAGGTTGCCGGGCATCACACCCCCAGCAACATTCATTGGGAAGAGGACTGAACTATTGGGTTGAACAAGTGAGCGATTCTGGACAATAGCCTGTTGGTTTTGCACTAGGCCAGTAGGTGTTGGTTGGCCCTGAACCTGCACTGTCTGCATCCCCATCTGTAAACATAATGGAAATGTTCAATAGTTACAGAAAAAAAACATACTAGAGATTTGCATACTGTAAAAATAAAACTGTTCACGAATTAATTCAGTTGTGGTCAACTGTAATTAATACATTGCTGTATACATGATGTTCCTTCAACAACTGTCCCTTTTGTTTCATTCTTTGAGCATAAAATTGACTTTTCAAACTGACATCTATAAACTGAAAAATGTAACAGTGTACCAATACAAATAAAATTTCGAAGTTTTTAGAATCTTGGATTTTAAGATAATTTATGGATCTGAAATAAAGAACAGTCAGACAAATGTATAGTAATTGCCACACTGAACCAGGTCTCTTATCAAAGATCACAAAAATGATCTACACCTATACACTTAATTACCTGTGGTGTAAACTGCTGGACAGGTAAAGAGCTAGGCGGTAAGGAGATGATGGGCTGCGGAGACTGGACATACTGCAGAATGGGCTGACTTGTCACAATGTTCCCAGACATCATCTGTGGATTACAGTTGCCTTGTGGAATCGGCTGACCGTTACTCCCTGGTGGCAACTGTGCCGCCTGTAACAACATACAACCATTAACTGTAGTTAACCGTGTTTATTTTCTCTGAATTATCTCTGACACAATATCAATATAACTATTGAATTATCTCTGACACAATATAACTATTAAATTATCTCTGACACAATATATGTATATATAACTATTTAATTATCTCTGATATAAGTCAGTTATCACCATTGATCAATAATCACCTTTCCGAGTGCAGCGATGCGGTCTGCTAGACGGATTCTTGGAACCTGGAATACCTTAGCTGCCTTGTTAACAGACATACCACCTGTCATCACAGCATTGTAGGCCTCTGCCATACTCTGCTCTGACCAACCATGACATGTTTGCTTCTTCTTCATTTGTTCCTGTTGTAAAATGTGGTTTAAGAGGTTACATACATTTTCCTGCCCAAAAAATGGCAAACTTCTGAAAAATTCTATGAATTTACAAAAAACCATCAAAGATGAAATTTGCATAGAGGGTTGAAATGAGCTGTTGCAGTTAGTGACAGTATTAATCAATATCCAGAAGAATTACCAGTGATAATCACTGCTGAAAGCTTTTTCATCATTCTACTTTTCTGATGACTTTCAGATAGTAGAGAGCCACTGAGATGCATTCTAGTTTTTCATTATCACATCAAAGTAAAAAGCAATTTATTGACAATTAGATCATGCATATTAAGTAGGTCAATTTCCTAATCAGATAACAGGAAAATTATAACCATACCCAGATATCTACCAGACAGTAATCAATTCAGGTCTACAAATGAAGCTGATATTGGTCTATTGTTATTGGAGGTCTTTTCCCAATGACATACCTGGTTAATTGGAGAGGCTGTCCCAGGAGTGGGTACAATGGAAGTGAACTGGAGTCCAGCTTGCGGTACTTGTACAGCACTAGAGGGAGGAGCATGTATGTAGGGCGAGCAGTCCTGACGTATGGGTTGGACACTGGGCTGGTCCCACTGCTGGGGTCGGGGTCTCTCCATCTACAGATTTCAATTTTTGATATTAGTCTTAACATTCAAGGCTAAATCTAGATACAGTAATAATTATAGTAGCTGATGACTACCACTTGTAACTTTCACACTTTTTTAGTTCATTTAAACCTGACCTCAAATTTAAACTAATGTTAATAAAAATAAAACCTTTCCAGTTCATGTAATTGAGTAAGTTTGTTAACGTATATTTAAGTAGTGTTTTTTTAAACATTTGTTCCTGTTGTCAAAATTGTGACAAATATCTGTATTCTTCTGTGTGCCATAACCATGTACACTTAAAAGGACCCCCATTATCATTTCATACCAAACAAAGTAGTTAGAACATACACTAGACCCATCACATACATTCAGAGCAGTAATGTCTTGCCCAAGGATACAATCACATCAGCACAGACCATTAAGATTCCTGAGGAACACTGGTCATAGTAATCACCAGCATCGTCTATATCACTGTGCAAGCCGCTGGCGCTACTCATGGAATGTTAAATGTTCTCATTGTGCACATCTACACTTGTATTTTCAAGAACAGCCTGGGCTACATCAATATAACTTTTCATAATTTTTGATTGAATGACTTTCAAATCACTTTCACCTGACAATATTCTGTCTTGACTTGATTTTTAAATGACATCAAGTGGCTTCACGGGATTTCTGCTATAGTCTGTTTCAAATTTCTACTTACTCTCAGTTGAACTGGAAGCTGTCTGCTCCATACATATAATATATAGTTTCATAAAACTTCTAAATCTAAAGTCTTATCAAGGGCACCCTTGCCTTCAATTATCCTTGCCTCACGCCCTTATTAGGTCATATACGTTATTTCAGTTTTAACATCAAATAGTGCCATTCCACATGGCAAAATAAAGTTGTATTATTGGTATATATACTTACCTCTACATCAATTGGACTCTCTCCACTTCCCAACACCGGAGTGGTCTGTTTCACAGTGGCAGTGGCCACCAGGTTCCCGGTCACAGACTTGGAACTACTAACAGAAATGTCCACCGTTCGTTCTTGATCTTGTGCACTGGCCTTAACACTTGAAGCTGGTGCAGTTGATTGGTTGTCCTTGTCAGCTGCCTCCTTTTCATTGGCTGCAGCTTGTGCCTGCTGGGTCTGCATACAAGTGGGCATGTGTTTGGGCCAGTGGGCCTGTTGGCAAGGGTAGTCACAGTAACTAGTGTTCCAACAACAGTAGAATATTGCCTCCTTACCACAGCTGGCACACTACAATGTAATACAAAGTGTAAGATAACATGTTTATCCCACAATAAGGTCACACAGCAAAATACTGTAAAATCATTCAAGGGAATTTTATTTTCATTAATTTCATGGGTCCTGTTAATATGTAAATTCTTATGTCCATATCTGCAATTTAGTAAAGTAGATTTATTGAGCTTTGTCTATCCATGAAATCAAATGTCCAGGAAAAACTTTAAGCCCCAAAGAGACGTATGATTTTAGAGTCCTTTTTACTCAAAATCAGGGTCAAAGGTTGATATGGTACAACAAAAAATATCACTGATATAATGGTCACTCTCTGTGTGTCATTACAGGTACTTTACATCACTGACATAATGGTCATTCTCTGTGTGTCATTAAGTGTACTTTACATCACTGACATAATAATCATTCTCCGTGTGTCATTAAGGGTACTTTACATCACTGACATAAAGGCCATTCTCTGTGTGTCATTAAGGGTACTTTACATCACTGACATAATGGTCATTCTCTGTGTGTCATTACAGGTACTTTACATCACTGACATAATGGTCATTCTCTGTGTGTCATTAAGTGTACTTTACATCACTGACATAATAATCATTCTCCGTATGTCATTAAGGGTACTTTACATCACTGACATAAAGGCCATTCTCTGTGTGTCATTAAGTGTACTTTACATCACTGACATAATAATCATTCTCCGTGTGTCATTAAGGGTACTTTACATCACTGACATAAAGGCCATTCTCTGTGTGTCATTAAGGGTACTTTACATCACTGACATAATCGCCATTCTCTGTGTATCATTAAGGGTACTTTACATCACTGACATAATGGTCGTTCTCTGTGTGTCATTAAGGGTACTTTACATCACTGACATAATGGTCATTCTCTGTGTGTCATTACAGGTACTTTACATCACTGACATAATGGTCATTCTCTGTGTGTCATTAAGTGTACTTTACATCACTGACATAATGATCATTCTCTGTGTATCATTAAGGGTACTTTACATCACTGACATAATGGTCATTCTCTGTGTGTCATTAAGTGTACTTTACATCACTGACATAATGGTCATTCTCTGTGTGTCATTAAGTGTACTTTACATCACTGACATAATGGTCATTCTCTGTGTGTCATTAAGGGTACTTTACCTCACTGACATAATGGTCATTCTCTGTGTGTCATTAAGGGTACTTTACCTCACTGACATTATGGTCATTCTCCGGATCATACAGTAATTAAAAATCATATATAGTTAATTCCACTGGAAAAGCTTTACCTACAAATTGGCCGAGATTTACATGCAGATATAAATCATTACCCTGTGCACTAAATGAAACGTATTATCTTGTACATTTGCTGTAGTTATTCATTCAAGTTGACCACTGTTATCAAAGCGACACTTCACTTGCACCAAGAAAAAATGAACTGTAAATAAATATTACAAATTGGTCTGATTCACAACTGAAGTTAAAAATATTCATGCAAACTCAGCCATTGTCAAGACTTACCTTTTGTTTAAATTTACCCAGAGTTTACCCTTTGTTTACATCTATCCATTGTTTATACTCACCTATTGTTTATGTTCACCCATTGACTCGACACTTGCCATTGTTTATACCCATTGCATAGACACACCCATTGTATAGACACGCCCATTGTATAGACACGCCCACGCCTATTGTATAGACATGCCCATTGTATAGACCCACCCATTGTATAGACATACACCCATTGTATAGACACACCCACACAACAACTGTATAGACATGCCCATTGTGTAGACACACCCATTGTATAGACACGCCCATTGTATAGACACACCCATTGTATAGACACACCCATTGTATAGACACACCCATTGTATAGACATGCCCATTGTATAGACAAACGCCCATTGTATAGACACACCCATTGTATAGACACACCCACACAACAATTGTATAGACATGCCCATTGTGTAGACACACCCATTGTATAGACACACACCCATTGTATAGACACACCCATTGTATAGACACACGCCCATTGTATAGACACACCAATTGTATAGACATGCCCATTGTATAGTCAAACGCCCATTGTATAGACACACGCCCATTGTATAGACACACACCCATTGTATAGACATGCCCATCGTACTGACACACCCATTGTATAGACACGCCCCTTTTTTATAGACACACCCATTGTATAGTCAAACGCCCATTGTATAGACACACCCATTGTATAGACACACGCCCATTGTATAGACACACACCCATTGTATAGACATGCCCATCGTACAGACACACCCATTGTATAGACACGCCCCTTTTTTATAGACACACCCATTGTATAGACACACCCATTGTATAGACTTACCCATTGTTTTTTCTTGGTTTCATTGATGGCTTTCTCCTTGTCTTTGCTATTCATGCTATTTATTTCTGATACAATTCTCTGTTTTTCTGCCTCCCAGCAAGTCTTCATTTCAGCCATGGTCAATTCTGTAAGGGAAATCACATATTCATAAGCTGTGTAGAATAAATTGTGTCTGATATTTTACGTCTGATATTTTACAAAATATCAGTTGTATTATAAACAGCACTTTTGAAATTCCATACCACTAGTTCAAGTGTTCCATGACTTACGGAAGTTGTGTTTGAGTTCCAGAATCTGTTGGTGCTGTTCCCATCGCATCTTCTGTATCTCAGCCTGCAGATCTTTTGTCACGTTCTGTGTTACATAAGGACAGAATTGCCAATAGCAGTTAAATTCAGAAGAATAGTATCTATGACAGTTGTGGGTAGTTAGGTATACAAGAAATGTATCTATAACAGCTGTGGGTATTTAGGTATACAAGAAATGTATCTATGACAGTTGTGGGTATTTAGGTATACAAGAAATGTATCTATAACAGTTGTGGGTATTTAGGTATACAAGAAATGTATCTATGACAGTTGTGGGTATTTAGGTATACAAGAAATGTATCTATGACAGTTGTGGGTATTTAGGTATACAAGAAATGTATCTATGACAGTTGTGGGTATTTAGGTATACAAGAAATGTATCTATGACAGTTGTGGGTATTTAGGTATACAAGAAATGTATCTATGACAGTTGTGGGTATTTAGGTATACAAGAAATGTATCTATGACAGTTGTGGGTATTTAGGTATACAAGAAATGTATCTATGACAGTTGTGGGTATTTAGGTATACAAGAAATGTATCTATGACAGTTGTGGGTATTTAGGTATACAAGAAATGTATCTATGACAGTTGTGGGTATTTAGGTATACAAGAAATGTATCTATAACAGCTGTGGGTATTTAGGTATACAAGAAATGTATCTATGACAGTTGTGGGTATTTAGGTATACAAGAAATGTATCTATGACAGTTGTGGGTATTTAGGTATACAAGAAATGTATCTATGACAGTTGTGGGTATTTAGGTATACAAGAAATGTATCTATGACAGTTGTGGGTATTTAGGTATACAAGAAATGTATCTATGACAGTTGTGGGTATCAAGGTACACAAGAAATGTATCTATGACATTTGTGGGTATTTAGGTACGCAAGAAATGTATCTATGACATTTGTGGGTATTTAGGTACACAAGAAATGTATCTATGACAGTTGTGGGTATCAAGGTACACAAGAAATGTATCTATGACATTTGTGGGTATTTAGGTACACAAGAAATGTATCTATGACATTTGTGGGTATTTAGGTACACAAGAAATGTATCTATGACAGTTGTGGGTATTTAGGTATACAAGAAATGTATCTATGACAGCTGTGGGTATTTAGGTATAAAACAAATGTATCTATGACATTTGTGGGTATTTAGGTATACAAGAAATGTATCTATGACAGTTGTGGGTATTTAGGTATACAAGAAATGTATCTATGACAGTTGTGGGTATCAAGGTACACAAGAAATGTATCTATGACAGTTGTGGGTATCAAGGTACACAAGAAATGTATCTATGACAGTTGTGGGTATTTAGGTACACAAGAAATGTATCTATGACAGCTGTGGGTATTTAGGTACACAAGAAATGTATCTATGACAGCTGTGGGTATTTAGGTACACAAGAAATGTATCTATGACAGCTGTGGGTATTTAGATATAAAACAAATGTATCTATGACAGCTGTGAATATTTAGGTACACAAGAAATGTATCTATAACAGCTGTGGGTATTTAGGTTCACAAGAAATGTATCTATGACAGTTGTGGGTATCAAGGTACACAAGAAATGTATCTATGACAGTTGTGGGTATTTAGGTACACAAGAAATGTATCTATGACATTTGTGGGTATTTAGGTATACAAGAAATGTATCTATAACAGCTGTGGGTATTTAGGTATACAAGAAATGTATCTATGACAGCTGTGGGTATTTAGGTACACAAGAAATGTATCTATAACAGCTGTGGGTATTTAGGTTCACAAGAAATGTATCTATGACAGTTGTGGGTATCAAGGTATACACAAGAAATGTATCTATGACAGTTGTGGGTATTTAGGTACACAAGAAATGTATCTATGACATTTGTGGGTATTTAGGTATACAAGAAATGTATCTATGACAGCTGTGGGTATTTAGGTATACAAGAAATGTATCTATAACAGCTGTGGGTATTTAGGTACACAAGAAATGTATCTATAACAGCTGTGGGTATTTAGGTTCACAAGAAATGTATCTATGACAGTTGTGGGTATCAAGGTATAAAAGAAATGTATCTATGACAGTTGTGGGTATCAAGGTACACAAGAAATGTATCTATGACAGTTGTGGGTATCAAGGTACACAAGAAATGTATCTATGACAGTTGTGGGTATCAAGGTATAAAAGAAATGTATCTATGACAGCTGTGGGTATTTAGGTACACAAGAAATGTATCTATGACAGTTGTGGGTATTTAGGTATACAAGAAATGTATCTATGACAGCTGTGGGTATTTAGGTATACAAGAAATGTATCTATAACAGCTGTGAATATTTAGGTATACAAGAAATGTATCTATAACAGCTGTGGGTATTTAGGTTCACAAGAAATGTATCTATGACAGTTGTGGGTATCAAGGTACACAAGAAATGTATCTATGACAGTTGTGGGTATTTAGGTACACAAGAAATGTATCTATGACATTTGTGGGTATTTAGGTATACAAGAAATGTATCTATGACAGCTGTGGGTATTTAGGTATACAAGAAATGTATCTATAACAGCTGTGGGTATTTAGGTACACAAGAAATGTATCTATAACAGCTGTGGGTATTTAGGTTCACAAGAAATGTATCTATGACAGTTGTGGGTATCAAGGTATAAAAGAAATGTATCTATGACAGTTGTGGGTATCAAGGTACACAAGAAATGTATCTATGACAGTTGTGGGTAGCAAGGTACACAAGAAATGTATCTATGACAGTTGTGGGTATCAAGGTATAAAAGAAATGTATCTATGACAGCTGTGGGTATTTAGGTACACAAGAAATATATCTATGACAGTTGTGGGTATTTAGGTATACAAGAAATGTATCTATGACAGCTGTGGGTATTTAGGTATACAAGAAATGTATCTATAACAGCTGTGGGTATTTAGGTACACAAGAAATGTATCTATAACAGCTGTGGATATTTAGGTTCACAAGAAATGTATCTATGACAGTTGTGGGTATCAAGGTATAAAGGAAATGTATCTATGACAGTTGTGGGTATCAAGGTACACAAGAAATGTATCTATGACAGTTGTGGGTATCAAGGTACACAAGAAATGTATCTATGACAGTTGTGGGTATCAAGGTATAAAAGAAATGTATCTATGACAGCTGTGGGTATTTAGGTACACAAGAAATGTATCTATGACAGCTGTGGGTATTTAGGTACACAAGAAATGTATCTATGACAGCTGTGGGTATTTAGGTACACAAGAAATGTATCTATAACAGCTGTGGGTATTTAGGTACACAAGAAATGTATCTATAACAGCTGTGGATATTTAGGTTCACAAGAAATGTATCTATGACAGTTGTGGGTATCAAGGTATAAAAGAAATGTATCTATGACAGTTGTGGGTATCAAGGTACACAAGAAATGTATCTATGACAGCTGTGGGTATTTAGGTATACAAGAAATGTATCTATGACAGCTGTGGGTATTTAGGTACACAAGAAATGTATCTATGACAGCTGTGGGTATATAGGTACACAAGAAATGTATCTATGACAGCTGTGGGTATATAGGTACACAAGAAATGTATCTATGACAGTTGTGGGTATCAAGGTACACAAGAAATGTATCTATGACAGTTGTGGGTATCAAGGTATAAAAGAAATGTATCTATGACAGCTGTGGGTATTTAGGTACACAAGAAATGTATCTATGACAGCTGTGGGTATTTAGGTATACAAGAAATGTATCTATGACATTTGTCGGTATATCAAGGCATCCCAGGAGAGTATCTACAAGTTTTGGATTCCTTAGAAAAAGTAAATATGACAGTTTTGTGTAGCATTGAATCGAAGAAGTGTATATATGTAAATTTTATTAGTATGTACTTAAAAAGTGTTAAATAAAACCAGCATACCTTAGGTTGAAGTTCCTGAGAAATGAATTCGCTACACATCATCTCAAAGGTTCCTTGTATTGATCCCATTAACTGAAACGACAAAACCAGTTAAAAGGCAAGCCTATGTTCACTTTACAGAGCATAAACAATGGATAAAACATCTAATTTCATGCACTTTTTTGTAAGATGGACGTCTGCTCACAAAGCTTCTTTTTTGTGAATTTTGTTTTTAAGGATTGATGACATTTACAATTTTGTTAAAAATAGAGATGATAAAATGCCAATACAATATATATGGAACATGATTGAAGTACACTCATTAATACAATGGTAGGTGTAACAAGTGCAAATTGTAATGGGTACCATTGCAAATGTCCCCCAAACGACCCCTTCAGCAGTAAATGATCACAATAATCAGACCTGCAGTCATGCCAAACATGGACTACGCCATTTTGCTCCTATAGTGCCATCTAATACATATATACCAATTCTCACGAAAATCGGACAATATCTAAAATCTGGCCAAATTTAGACCACAGCTGACCGCTCAGATGACCGCTCGATGGCCGAATGAAAAATGGACTACGCCATTTTGCTCCTAGTGCCACCTAATACATATATATCCATTTTCACCAATTTGGCCAAATTTTGACCACAGATGACCGCTCGATGGCCGAATGAAAAATGGACTCCGCCATTTTGTTCCTAGTGCCACCTAATACATCTATACCAATTTTTACGAAAATCAGACAATATCTAAAATTTGGCCAAATTTTGATCACAGATGACCGCTCAGATGACCGATTGGAAAAATTCAAGTGGCCCGCACTCCACCTCGTATGTATGAATATGTGTGTAAAGTTTTGGTAAATTCCATGTAACAGTTTTTGAGAAATGCATCGGAAACCTAGCCGGCGCAGAAAAGTGGAAGAAATAATAATAATAAAAAAGAAACAGAGCAAACACAATATGTCCCCACATTTCGTTTGGGGGACATAATTAATTTCTGTCATATCTAACAGATCAGAGTTAGCCAGTAGTTTGTGAACCTTACCTTTCTTCTGATCTTCAAGATGATATCAGAGTTACCCAGAAGTTTGTGAACATTGTCATATTAGCAAACTCTGAGATGATCTTAAAGTGAGTTAAGTAGTTTGTGAACATTGTCATATTAGCAAACTCTGAGATGATCTTAAAGTGAGCCAGTAGTTTGTGAACCTTGCCTTATTAGTAAACTTTGAGATGATCTTAAAGTGAGTTAAGTAGTTTGTGAACCTTGCCTTATTAGTAAACTTTGAGATGTCTCAGAGTGAGCCAGCACTTTGCGAACCTTGCCTTATTAGTAAACTTTGAGATGATCTCAGAGTGAGCCATAAGTTTGTGAACATTGCGTTATTAGTAAACTTTGAGATGATCTCAGAGTTAGCCAGCACTTTGCGAACCTTACTTTATTAGTAAACTTTGAGATGATATCAGAGTGAGCCAGAAGTTTGTGAACCTTGCGTTATTAGTAAACTTTGAGATGATCTCAGAGTTAGCCAGCACTTTGCGAACCTTACTTTATTAGTAAACTTTGAGATGATATCAGAGTGAGCCAGAAGTTTGTGAACCTTGCGTTATTAGTAAACTTTGAGATGATCTCAGAGTTAGCCAGCACTTTGCGAACCTTACTTTATTAGTAAACTTTGAGATGACCACAGAGTGAGCCAGCACTTTGCGAACCTTACTTTATTAGTAAACTTTGAGATGATATCAGAGTGAGCCAGAAGTTTGTGAACCTTGCGTTATTAGTAAACTTTGAGATGATCTCAGAGTTAGCCTGGAGTTTGTGAACATTACCTTCTTAGTAAACTTTGAGATGATCTCAGAGTGAGCAGGTACATCAGAGTCGGGATTGGAGCTTAAGTCTTCTATCGATTCTTGCTGGGTTTCTTTGGGTTTATCCATCCTGGAGTTTGGTGATCCCATAGTCTTCTCTACAGCATTCTGGAAGAACTCTGCAGATGGGACACGCTTGCCAAACACAGCTGGGGACTTCCTAATTACCAACAATATAATTTTTCACAATTTTGTATTACAAACACACCTAGAATTAACTACAGTGAAAAAGCACTTTTTTCATAAAAGTCAAATGCAATGGTTTCATCAGAACAATTGAAGGTAATTATCGATCAAATTGATTACACTTTATAACTTATAGGTCACACTATATTTGCAAACTTTCTTTTGATATTATCAAGTGTAGATTGGAATGTTTCGACTAAATAATGACAGTTGAAAATTTATTATTTGTCTGAATCGGAAACAGTTATTTTGATATTTGTTAGTTAATTGAAATGGACATCGTTATTAATGTCTTTAGCTGAATGTGTCAACATAAAGCTGATCCGTTGTATAAGCAGCTGTCAATGAGATTATCTGTATACAATGACTAATATTATTATTGATAACCCTCATATCAGTGTCAATAGTCAATATTTCTGTGACTTTCTTCTGTACAAATAAAAAAACATTCACAAAGGCTTTCTCTTATTAGTTTTTGCATAAAAATCTTCATTTATGCCTAAAGATACATTCATCCTAAACACATGAAATCTGTTAAAACTTTATTCTGTATTTCAGTTTAAACATCAAACTTATACAATATTTTCTTATTTATCACTAATGGACGAATTAGTAGATATTAAACTGCAATGACAGGTTTTATATATACAGTATAAACATACCTGGAAATAGGAGACTTGGAAGTGAGAGGTTTGGCAACAGAGCTTGATGGAGACTTTGAAGTGTTTGCTCCCGATGAGGGAGACTGTTTCACTATCACAACCTTATTGACCCCAGTCAAGTCTATCTGTTTGAATTTATCACTAGCACCAGTACTTGACTTTACTACAGGAGGGGACACAGAGTGTTTAGCTGGAGTTTCAGATTTTGATGTCGTTACAGATAGATCTTCACCATCACAAAGATCCATGACCAAATGGTCAGTATCAGAGTCACTCTCCACCTCTGTCACAAGGTTGGATTGATTGTCAACTTCCATCAGAGAAGTACTCAACTTTGCGACACTTGTGTCTTTAGAATCTGATCCTTTTGGCTTGGATGTTGATTCTAGCACACTGTTTTTCTGTGGTGAAGCCGACTCATCTGTATTATTGTTTTTCTTTTCCTCTATTATGTCTTTGTTCATATGATCATCACTTTCCTGCACAAGATCAGAAGAACACTCTGAATTCTGAACTCCTTCACTTTCAACTGAATCATCTGAATTCTCTTTCTGTGGGGTACTTCTTGATTCCACAGTCTGTCTGTTTTTCTCATTGTCTTTTGACACACTGGTCTGATCCCGTTTTTGATCTGTTGGTGGCTGGGTCCTACCCTCATCCTCATCAGTTTGTATCTGTTTAACCACACTCTCTGATTCTGTCTCCATTTTTTCAGCCTCAGTTGTGTTCACCGTTTCTGGTTGATCAGTACTAGCTGAATCAATAACATTACTTCCTGAATCTTCATCACTTTTGATTTCTGTCGAATTATCAGCTGAGGACACTGTCACACATTTATCTGATGAAATGTCAGTTTCCATTGAAATACTATTATTCTTATTTGCATCACACGAATCATTTTTTTCACACTCTTCTTTCTGATCGTGTAAATCTTCATCTTCATCATCATCGTCATCATCATCAACTTCATCCGCAGACAGAACAGAATCATCACTCAAACCTAGTTTTTCTTTGCACGACTGTATTGTCTTCTGTAGATTTGTGAGGTAGATTTGTTTAGAGGGCGACATACTACTATCTTGGTTGTGGTCAGACTCTATAACACTGTCATCAGTGTCCATTTTGTCACTGTGATCTGATGTAACATTTGCGTTTGAAATCTCATCGGAAATATCTTCGGAAATCAATGGATCTCTAACAGATTCTGTATTGTCAGACTTCATTTTTTTATCACTTATTGCAGAAATATCACGACTACTTTGATTGTTGGTGTCTTCTGTTTTTGGTTGTGATGCACTTCCTTCTTCACCTTCCACATCAAGTCTATCTGCATTCATTTGTTTAATCTTGTCCTGTACTTTGTCAACAATACTGACCTTAGACTGGTTTTCTGGCTGTTTGATAATCACTTTCCTCTCAATATCTCCCTGCTTAACAATAATTGTATTTGCTGTGGATGAGGGGAGCTTGACCACTTTTATCAGATTGGTAGGAATGACCATTGCTTGACCAACCTGCTTTGGAGAAACTTTTGATGGCAAAACCTGGATACGATTTGTCTGCCCGATTCCAAGGTCGGTTTTCTTTGGTGAACTTGATGTTGCAACAACAGTTTCTGTGCCACTTTGAGTAGCTTCAGCAGTAATGCGTCGTGTTGTTATCATAGTGTTATATTTACTTCGGACAGCATCAGCTGTTTTCAGCATTGCTGACTGTCTCTCTGCCTTCGTTGGACTTTCTGAAGGATTCTTGTTTGTATAAACATGTTTAACTGTATATGATTTGGGTTTAGGTGAGAACTTTGAGTTGTTTGTTGCTTGCCGACCTTTCCTAAATGGCTGCTTCATCTTGTTGTGGAAGTAAACATGATTTTTATCGTAAGGCATCCTAAAACTTGCATATTCAAAATTTCCGAATTTTTCCCTGCAAACAAAAAGAGATGTTAGGCTATTGCAAATTGGAAAGATAAATGTTATACTGTTAAGTTATTTTGCCACAGACTATGAAAAGCAACACTTATCAAAATAGTTTACATTTTAATTTATTACAGTGGCATTTGTTTGCAGATTCCCTATCATGCTTTTTTACTATGAGAAAAACACCACTAAAAAAAAATTTATGGAAATATGTCATCCTTTTTTTTTTTAATTTTCTATCTTAATGGGCACCAGTTCCTTATTTTCTATTAAATGGAATTTTAATTGGCACCAGTACCTTATTTTCTATTAAAATGAAATTTTAATGGACACCAGTTCCTTATTTTCTATTAAATGGAATTTCAATTGGCACCAGTACCTTATTTTCTATTAAAATGAAATTTTAATGGACACCAGTTCCTTATTTTCTATTAAATGGAATTTTAATTGGCACCAGTACCTTATTTTCTATTAAAATGAAATTTTAATGGACACCAGTTCCTTATTTTCTATTAAAATGAAATTTTAATGGGTACCAGTTCCTTATTTTCTATTAAAATGAAATTTTAATGGACACCAGTTCCTTATTTTCTATTAAAATGGAATTTTAATGGGTACCAGTTCCTTATTTTCTAATCAAATGAGATTTTGATGGGTTCCAGTTCCTTATTTTCTATTTAAAATTAAATTTTAATGGGCACCAGTTCCTTATTTTCTATTAAATGAAATCTTAATGGGCACCAGTTCCTTATTTTCTATTAAAATGAAATTTTAATAGGCACCAGTACCTTATTTTCCTGATGTGTATTTCCAGTTCTTCCATAGCATTTTCAAATCCTCCTCTTTTGTTTTTCGCAGGTGTCGGGATATCTTTAGATAACATGTAGACCTGTGATGTGGGAACCCATGATCTATAAAAGAAAACTGATATTCTTCATCTCAAAACACACTATGATGTCTCAGAATGACTTTCATCTCAGAAAAGTTCATATTCATCATAAAACAGCTGAACCCATATTCATGAACCATAATCATGCTTAAATTAAATTCACATTTTGTCCTCAGGCTCAAACTTTTGGTAAAGATATGATGTCTGAATTAATATTTGTTCAAAGACTTGAAGGAATTTTATGAATACTTAAGTGAAAAATCATTTCAATTTTTAGGTTTTCATTTTTTACGGAATTTCATGATTTGTGTTCTTAGGAATGGATATAAAAATGGTACCTTGAACATAAAACTAAATACAGAAAGCTGCAGTTGGTTTTGTACTTTGTTCTTCCTTGAATAATACATCCTTATTGCATTAAGTTTTAAGCACCACCACACATTATAAACATGGTTAAAAACCACTTTCCTTTACCTGGTAATTATCTACACTGATGTGGTGATGTCTTAACAAGGTATTAAATGATTGGAGCTGAACAACATTCATTCTGTCCAAAAGATGGACAATTGTTTGATGTTTAAAATGCCTCCTAAAGATTGTAAATAGACTGTTAAAAAAAATCACAAAAACTCTGATAACGGCCCTGATGAAGTCATACCTTGAAAAATTGTGCCACCAATCTGGAAAAGTAGGGGGATTCCTTGCCCCTGCTCTTATATATATCTCGCCCCCCTCCCCCCCCCCCCCCCCCCCCCCCCACCCACCCACATCCACACACATACTTTTAAACATATATAGGTGTACCTACTTTCAACTGAATTCAGCATACTTCTTTGGTACAATGTTGAAATTATTACCTGTCATGAGCCCCAAAGAATCTAACATCCACTTGGTCGTCTTCCTCTCTTAGCGCCTACACATGAAAAAACGCACGCAAAATAAATAATGTGATTATAAGAATCAACCAGACGATCTTACACAAGCTTCCTATCATATGAGATTGATGAGTCTGACTTGGGTATTATCTATTGGATGGCTATTCGTTTCTATGGAAACAGGTTACATCTCTTCTAGATATTTATTAATTGCTGAAATTTCTTCTTCAGATGTTTTTTCAATGCAGAAGTATTTAAGTCCTATCACAACGACAATATCTATATGCTGGTGTTCAGGTGTGCTGCCAGTAATACTTAAGGTTGTATATGAATCCTACCTTTGCGGGCCAGAACGGGTATCCTTTTAGTTTGGCCCAGACTAGAGTGTGAGGTGTCCTCTACAACAGACAAAAACAACAGGTATCTCTCATACTCTAATTAATATTAGCACAGAGCTCAAGAATCATGTTTGTCTTGCTGTAGTGCAGGAACTCACACAAATGTTAGTCTTTTGTTATTTCCATCAGCATCTACGATAAACTCTATGAATTAAAGAAACTATTTGAATAAGTGTCACCAAATACGTTCAGTAGTAAGAGAGATAAACTCAAATTAGCACAAAAAACCTGATATTGACAACTACGGAATTGGTTCATTAGGTAAAAACATTATTTTTTTCAATTCTAAAAATGTTAACTCCTTCAAGAGGTAAAAATCAGCTTAAAGTTTTGTACTCACCTTCCATAAACAGTGTTATTAACATATAAAATGTATTTCTGGCTCTTCTAGACAGATTTGTCTTTTAGAAATATTGTATTTTTTGGAAATTTACCTATTTTAGCAGAATGGTGAGAAATGATTCCACAGAATTTTGGAATTTTCAATATTTTTTAGCAGAACTTGATTCAGATGTTAAGTAGAACTTGATTTAGATGTTAAGTAGTGATTTAGATGTTAAGTAGAACTTGATTTAGATGTTAAGTAGTGATTTAGATGTTAAGTAGTGATTTAGATGTTAAGTAGTGATTTAGATGTTAAGTAGAACTTGATTTAAATGTTAAGTAGTGATTTAAGTTAAGTAGTGATTTAGATGTTAAGTAGTGATTTAGATGTTAAGTAGAACTTAATTTAGATGTTAAGTAGTGATTTAGATGTTAAGTAGAACTTAATTTAGATGTTAAGTAGTGATTTAGATGTTAAGTAGAACTTAATTTAGATGTTAAGTAGTGATTTAGATGTTAAGTAGAACTTGATTGAGATGTTAAGTAGTGATTTAGATGTTGTTAAGTAGTGATTTAGATGTTAAGTAGAACTTGATTGAGATGTCAAGTAGTGATTTAGATGTTAAGTAGAACTTGATTTAAATGTTAAGTAGTGATTTAGATGTTAAGTAGTGATTTAGATGTTGTTAAGTAGTGATTTAGATGTTAAGTAGTGATTTAGATGTTAAGTAGAACTTGATTGAGATGTTAAGTAGTGATTTAGATATTAAGTAGTGATTTAGATGTTAAGTAGAACTTGATTTAAGATGTTAATGAGTGATTTAGATGTTAAGTAGTGATTTAGATGTTAAGTAGTGATTTAGATGTTAAGTAGTGATTTAGATGTTATGTAGAACTTGATTGAGATGTTAAGTAGTGATTTAGATGTTAAGTAGTGATTTAGATGTTAAGTAGTGATTTAGATGTTAAGTAGTGATTTAGATGTTAAGTAGAACTTGATTTAGATGTTAAGTAGTGATTTAGATGTTAAGTAGTGATTTAGATGTTAAGTAGAACTTGATTTAGATGTTAAGTAGTGATTGAGATGTTAAGTAGTGATTTAGATGTTAAGTAGTGATTTAGATGTTAAGTAGTGATTTAGATGTTAAGTAGAACTTGATTTAGATGTTAAGTAGTGATTTAGATGTTAAGTAGTGATTTAGATGTTGAGATGTTAAGTAGTGATTTAGATGTAAAGTAGTGATTTAGATGTTAAGTAGAACTTGATTTAGATGTTAAGTAGTGATTTAGATGTTAAGTAGTGATTGAGATGTTAAGTAGTGATTTAGATGTTAAGTAGTGATTTAGATGTTAAGTAGTGATTTAGATGTTAAGTAGTGATTCAGATGTTAAGTAGAACTTGATTGAGATGTTAAGTAGTGATTTAGATGTTAAGTAGTGATTTAGATGTTAAGTAGAACTTGATTTAGATGTTAAGTAGTGATTTAGATGTTAAGTAGTGATTTAGATGTTAAGTAGTGATTTAGATGTTAAGTAGAACTTGATTTAGATGTTAAGTAGTGATTTAGATGTTAAGTAGAACTTGATTGAGATGTTAAGTAGTGATTTAGATGTTAAGTAGTGATTTAGATGTTAAGTAGTGATTTAGATGTTAAGTAGTGATTTAGATGTTATGTAGAACTTGATTGAGATGTTAAGTAGTGATTTAGATGTTAAGTAGTGATTTAGATGTTAAGTAGTGATTTAGATGTTAAGTAGAACTTGATTTAGATGTTAAGTAGTGATTTAGATGTTAAGTAGTGATTTAGATGTTAAGTAGAACTTGATTTAGATGTTAAGTAGTGATTTAGATGTTAAGTAGTGATTTAGATGTTAAGTAGAACTTGATTGAGATGTTAAGTAGTGATTTAGATGTTAAGTAGTGATTTAGATGTTAAGTAGAACTTGATTTAGATGTTAAGTAGTGATTTAGATGTTAAGTAGTGATTTAGATGTTAAGTAGAACTTGATTTAGATGTTAAGTAGTGATTTAGATGTTAAGTAGTGATTTAGATGTTAAGTAGAACTAGAAGCTTCTTAACCACAAATAGAAATACCTACACACGTCTCGCTGAACCACTCCTCATTTTTACGAACACAAGAGTTCCAATAACAGTCCGGACACAGCTCTATTTCATTCATCTACAAAAGAAAACACATCTTTAAGTGCAAGTTTCTTTCTAAAAATATATACACAAAATGTTCAGTAAACCTTAAACTAGAAATACACCAATTACAGATCACATACTGATGGTAAATATGTAGGGGTGCATGTTGTGTTGTACTGTACTGTATATCAATGAAATCAACAGTCATAAGACACTACAATCAATTCACTCCATGTTTAATCCTCCCCCCAGAGAATGTGTTACAGTGTCTCAATTCACTCCATGTTTAATCAGCCTCCCAGAGAATGTGTTACAGTGTCTCAATTCACTCCATGTTTAATCAGCCTCCCAGAGCATGTTTTACAGTGTCTCAATTCACTCCATGTTTAATTCTCCTCCCAGAGAATGTGTCACAGTGTCTCAATTCACTCCATGTTTAATCAGCCTCCCAGAGAATGTGTTACAGTGTCTCAATTCACTCCATGTTTAATCAGCCTCCCAGAGCATGTGTTACAGTGTCTCAATTCACTCCATGTTTAATCAGCCTCCCAGAGCATGTTTTACAGTGTCTCAATTCACTCCATGTTTAATTCTCCTCCCAGAGAATGTGTCACAGTGTCTCAATTCACTCCATGTTTAATCAGTCTCCCAGAGAATGTGTTACAGTGTCTCAATTCACTCCATGTTTAATCAGCCTCCCAGAGCATGTGTTACAGTGTCTCAATTCACTCCATGTTTAATCCTCCTCCCAGAGAATGTGTTACAGTGTCTCAATTCACTCCATGTTTAATCAGCCTCCCAGAGAATGTGTTACAGTGTCTCAATTCACTCCATGTTTAATCAGCCTCCCAGAGCATGTGTTACAGTGTCTCAATTCACTCCATGTTTAATTCTCCTCCCAGAGCATGTTTTACAGTGTCTCAATTCACTCCATGTTTACAGTGTCTCAATTCACTCCATGAGAATGTTTAATCACAGAATGTGTTACTCAATTCACTCCATGTTTAATCCTCCTCCCAGAGAATGTGTTACAGTGTCTCAATTCACTCCATGTTTAATCCTCCTCCCAGAGAATGTGTTACAGTGTCTCAATTCACTCCATGTTTAATCCTCCTCCCAGAGAATGTGTTACAGTGTCTCAATTCACTCCATGTTTAATCCTCCTCCCAGAGCATGTGTTACAGTGTCTCAATTCACTCCATGTTTAATCCTCCTCCCAGAGAATGTGTTACAGTGTCTCAATTCACTCCATGTTTAATCAGCCTCCTAGAGCATGTGTTACAGTGTCTCAATTCACTCCATGTTTAATTCTCCTCCCAGAGAATGTGTCACAGTGTCTCAATTCACTCCATGTTTAATTCTCCTCCCAGAGCATGTGTTACAGTGTCTCAATTCACTCCATGTTTAATCAGCCTCCCAGAGAATGTGTTAGTGTCTAACTTACATACAATGGTACTAGACGATTGTCTTAGTGTCTTAGTGATAAGCACTATTATTGTTATTACTTGTACGACCATCATTTTCATCTGTTAAATACAGATAGGCCACACATACCTCATGCTTACAGATCTTGATGATCATCTTGGCACTACTTGTGAGTTTATGATGAGCTACAAAACAAGTATTGAATCTTTAATGGATCTGTCAGTTATTACCCTATAAATGGTAATATCAAAGTGAAGGGAAAAATGGGAAATAAAAAAGTAATGTGTTACAGTGACCAGTAGGTACACTATAGCTGTACAAATCAAATACTTAAAGAGAGCCAATGCCTGTTTGTTTAGATTTAAAAACGTTAAGTCATCCTTGTATACCAAAAGGTATGCAAGACATGACAGCATCTCTAAGATCAAGAAGGCGCTGGGTCATAATGTAATCCTGGTAAAATACTAGCCACAATATACTACTTGGCTGGAGAGAACTTCTCTTTAGCTCAATTGAATGAGCATCAGACTAGTAAGTCAGGGATCCTGGGTTCGATTCCTAGCAGAGGCATTGAAATAAATAATGACCTCTATTACAATAACAAGCCAGGATTGTAGCTATAGTTTTATTGATTATGATACTCTGGACTCAAATTTCCCGTGTTAATCAGATAAAGGTTTATATGTATCCTGTGCTAACCAACTTGCACCATCAAAATTACAGACATTTATTTCATGCCTCTCCAAATGTAGGTGTTTTCCTTAAGCACTGAACTGCTTTCAGTTGCTATTCATGGGTATGTGAACACCAACAGAATATGGGCAAATTCAATGAAGCGCGTCAGTTCTTCAAGTTAAATTTCCATTTATCCTGGCGGCATTCATACCCCCATGAATGACAACTGAAAGCTGTTCATTGCTTATATTTATTGTTTTCAATTTTTATCTGATTATTAGGGAATACAACCTCAGTTTGCATACATTACTTGCAGCATTCCTATGCTGTTGGCAGTTCATGGGCTAGTAATACACAACTGTCAACAATTTCAATACCATATAATGATAAACATATGTGAATTATCCCTAAACAGATTGACTGAAGGGCAGGTTGTTGAATAGCTCTGATGTAGTTTCACACTGAAGAGCTCGGATGAAGGGGAGATGACAGCATCAGCAATAAACTCACTGCCATTAAAGATAATACAGTTGTGTAGGATCCACTTTGCATCAGCTAGAAAGGCCTCTGTACAACCATACAACTTCTTTTTGATGTTCTGAAAAGAAAGAAAGTTTTCATGATGTCTGTACATGTGTTGTTGGGATTTAATTTCAGTTTATTCGCAGTCATTAAGAGAACACAAATAATATACACAGTAAATATCTTACAGTGAATCACAATTTTATAAAAAGTATGTTATATACCCATGGGTATATGAATAACAATTTAAAAACATGCTCGAAATTTAATCTTCAGACCTGATCAGAAAAATATTTATGCTAAGCAAAATGAAACAACCTTATACAGCATGTTCTTTTAGTCCTACGTTTATAATACATCATCATGTCTAATATAATCATCACTCAAACTCTGATGCAACATGATTGGTTAATGAAAATGATTTAAGGAAGAACATGGGTAACTACATACCCTCCATGAATTTCTCACATGCATACTTAGCCAAGAGAATGATTGCATAATGTAATTGATCCAGACAAGTCATGAAAACAACATCAGATTTTACCACAAGACAGCAACTTTTTCATTTTTAATGATACATGTTTCAATAAATCATAACATTTTTGCAATTTTTCAAATCTGTACGAATTAGAAGAGGGATAACTCCATCATGTTTTGTTGGAAATTTGCTGCAGTAAACACAGGGATTAGAGCCAACGACGTGGTGCTAGGTGTAAATTAGGGCGTTTCTGATATCCCTTCCTACAGCATATAGTGATTACACTCTCATGAATATATGTATTCAACACTCAAGACTGGGATAGCATTAAAACTGACTGTCGCAACTGTATAGTCATCCCCTTGCTTTTTATCAACTGAGAGAAAAAAATATTATTTGTGGTAACATTTAAAATATTCCTATGCTACAAACAGAACATTATTTGCAGTGAACTAGGGATTAATATTTTACCCTCTCAAGCTGGCCAAGGTCCATGGCATTGTAGATATAATCTGTATAATAAGGGACAGCATTAAGGTCAACTGGCTTCATAAATGGGTCACTCTACAAAACAAATGACATCATCAATAAATAGATACATAAACAGGTCACTCTACAATTGACATCTTCAAAAATTAATCACTATGAGTATCCATACAACCACTTAGCTCTGAAGTCTATAAGTTTATGCTGGATTAATCTAGTACAGGGGCTTGCAGACCTACCAGTTTGTCTTCACATTTAGAGGTAATATTTCAGACACATATCATTACCGACCACCACAATACATTAAAATATAGCTAGGTTTAAAAAGTTTCCATCAAAGCTTGTAGTCAAGAACATAAGATAAATAGATTTATTCATATTTCATAAGTAGACCTTATTGGTCTAATCAGTCCAATTGATGAATGAAAAAAGCCTAGATCACTATGCAAAACACACTGAAATAATTAACTTCACAAAAATTGATGATGTCACCTCACAAAAATAGATGATGTCATCAATACTTGTGTAATATATAACTCACCCCTTGGTGTGTCATTCTTTCCAGTGCATACTTCAGTAGTGTACACAGCGTATCTATACTTATCATAGACATGGCCTTTGAACGAGTATCAATACACTCTGCTCTCATTATCTTCTGCAAATACAAATAACAAATATCTTCATCCATAGAAAAAACTATGTACCATTTGTTAATTATCAGCTTGGTTGGTACAGGAAAAATAATTCCTTTATGTAATAATTTCTAATGTTGTTGTAACGTATGTATATTGTGTAGGGTTTTTATTGGAAGTGTGAGGCATAAAAAATAGTGTTTGGTTTGTTTTTGCTTTTCTTTCAACAAAATCTTTTGAACTAACCCCGATTTTTTAAAGTAATTTGAATTTTTCAAAAGGTTTGTTTTCATTATTTTGTTCTATCCTAAAAAATAAAAACCTATATCATAAATATAGTCACAGACAGAAAGCAATACATACAGTACGTATTTGTAGCCTCAAAGAAAAGCTGATCATCTCCTTTTTTTACTGAACATTGGGTAAATATAACACAGAAAGCAATCACTGAGTGAAGCATTAGAGAAAATATTATCATAACTCCAGACAACAGAATTCTTAAATCTTTCACCTCTTTCATCTTATCAGTAAATAACGTTAAAGTTAACAGTAGAAAAAGTAACCACAGTGAACGAGAATTTTATCCTCAGGATTTTGGCCTGGTAGAGCAAATCATTGTTTTCTCAGTGGAGTAAGTTCAACCTACCTCACACTCTGGGCAGACCCAGTCTTTAGGAAGCTTGAGCCCAAGGTTTAGACATTTGGTATGGTACACACGTGGACACAGTTCACAGCAGATCACTGTCCCTTCCTTGTGACAGAGCCAACAGAAATAGTCATTTCTATTGTCCTACAACACAAGTGCAATCAAGGGTCAGTTGAGGATTGTCCAACAGCAAAGTATGTCAAGAATGGTCCTAAAACACAAGTATTTTAAGAATGGTCCTAAACCACAAGTATCTTAAGAATGGTCCTAAAACACCAGTACATTGAGGATTGTCCTAAAACACCAGTACATTGAGGATTGTCCTAAAACACCAGTACATTGAAGATTGTCCTATAACACCAGTACATTAAGGAAAGTCCTAAAACACCAGTACATTGAGGATTGTCCTATAACACCAGGACATTAAGGAAAGTCCTAAAACACCAGTACATTGAAGATTGTCCAAAAACACCAGTACATTGAGGATTGTCCTATAACACCAGTACATTGAGGATTGTCCTATAACACCAGTACATTGAGGATTGTCCTAAAACACCAGTACATTGAGGATTGTCCTATAACACCAGTACATTAAGGAATGTCCTAAAACACCAGTACATTGAGGATTGTCCTATAACACCAGTACATTGAGGACTGTCCTAAAACACCAGTACATTGAAGATTGTCCAAAAACACCCGTACATTAAGGATTGTCCTATAACACCAGTACATTGAGGACTGTCCTAAAACACAAGTATCTTAAGAATGGTCCTAAAGGCCAGTACATTAAGGAATGTCCTAAAACACCAGTACATTGAGGATTGTCCTAAAACACCAGCACATTAAGGAATGTCCTAAAACACAACTACATTGAGGATTGTCCTAAAACAAAAGTACATATCACATATTATCCTAAAACAAAAATTTGAAAGATTTTAGTTGCAGTGGGAACTAATCCTAAAAATAAACTAGGTTTAGTTTAAACATCTGTAAGTATGGAGGTACCTCTCCAGATCCATCATTGCGTCCAATTTTGCGACGTTTGGGTGGAACTGTTTGTCCTCCTGGGCCCTGAGAATGAATTCCCTCTACCACTCCTGTATGACCACGTTTTCTGCCACTGCTACTCGTGGTGGGAGAGCTGGAGGGTGGCGTCGTTGGTACCTCTAGGAAATTAATGAATCGGACATCAAATATTTATGAGAAATGAATATTTATTCCAAGAAATCTTAAATGTTTCAATAGTAATGGCCCAGATAAGAATATACATTTTACACCTATTTGACCTCTGACCTAGAGGTGATGATCATAATGTAGACATAATTTTAGTGCACTGCAAACAATTTGTTGGCGATAAAAGTTATTCTCAAGTTTCATAAAGATATTTTAAAGGGTCATATGAGTTATGACTGAGAGTATGTTTAAAAACAACAATAACAAAAAGAACCGTTATTAAACAGGCAATCTTTTTATCATGACAAAGTGAGAACCATAATCATTTGGTCCTATTTGATGAATTATCTACAGGAACTTTATCTCAAAGTCACATGTACAGTAAAGACCTGCGTAATGTGTGCACCTATGTAATGTGCACAGACAGGTACTTTTGAAGATGAAAATGGTGGAAAAAAAAGCTTCTACTTGCATAATGTGCGTACTCTAAAATTCTGTCAAAATTGATCTCCAGGAGTCAAGAAGTTGATCTTGGAATATCCAGCCAACATGTCAGACCAACGATATAAAGTCCAACACTTGATAGTATTCTCATCAAAATTTGTTTTCATCTCATTTACTGACTTTTAATAACCTTCTGTTTAATTACAACGTAATGTTTGTGCATCTTCTCGTTTGATTTCTTTGACATCAGACGTATATTGCTGTCATTCACTTCCCTATCCAATTATTCATTATCTATCTTACCTACACAAGCAATTGTCTTCAAGTGTTAGGTGTTAAAATCACAGGTAAATGTCATTATCTACCTATTCATGACCAAACCAATTAAATACGATCCCCTAAAGTCAATTTTTCTTTCATGTCTCGCTGTCACATCACGTGCGCAACAACTGACATAAATTGAGGCCCCAAATCTGTATATGTAAGCAATCAGTATAAGGAGTACAGAATAGAATTACACAGAATTTATTGTGCAAAGACTATTCCTTCTTCATTATTAGACGCTATATTCTTCGTAAGCCTCTTAAGGTCAATATTAATAAATAATGAATTAAACCCATGGTCCAATGATAAGTCTCAATCCACACTCCTCATACTTATATGTCAACGCTAGCTTCTGTTGGTACATCTACACTCCGCATACTTATATGTCAACGCTAGCTTCTGTTGGTACATCCACACTCCTCATACTTATATGTCAACGCTAACTTCTGTTATTACATCCGTTGATATATCCACACTCTGCATACTAATATGTCAACACTAACTTCTGTTGGTACATCCACATTCCTCATACTAATATGTCAACACTAACTTCTGTTGGTACATCCGTTGATATATCCACACTCTGCATACTAATATGTCAACACTAACTTCTGTTGATACATCCACACTCCGCATACTAATAAGTCAACACTAACTTCTGTTGGTACATCCACACTCCGCATACTAATATGTCAACACTAACTTCTGTTGATACATCTACACTCCGCATACTAATATGTCAACACTAACTTCTGTTGATACATCTACACTCCGCATACTAATATGTCAACACTAACTTCTGTTGGTACATCCACACTCCGCATACTAATATGTCATCACTAACTTCTGTTGATACATCCACACTCCGCATACTAGTATGTCAACACTAACTTCTGTTGGTACATCCACACTCCGCATACTAATATGTCAACACTAACTTCTGTTGGTACATCCACACTCCGCATACTAATATGTCAACACTAACTTCTGTTGATACATCTACACTTCGCATACTAATATGTCAACGCTAACTTCTGTTGATACATCTACATTCCGCATACTAATATGTCAACACTAACTTCTGTTGGTACATCCACACTCCTCATACTAATATGTCAACACTAACTTCTGTTGGTACATCCACACTCCTGATACTAATATGTCAACACTAACTTCTGTTGATACATCTACACTCCACATACTAATATGTCAACACTAACTGCTGTTGGTACATCTACACTCATGGCTTCTGCTCTGTTGCGATATCCGAAGTGAAGTCACAGGTAATGTATAGGTTGTCTGTGACAACACAAAGTCACAGGTAACACAGAGGTGTTGTTTTATGATGTCACAATGTCACAGGTAATGTAAAGGTGTTGTTTGCAATGTCACAATGTCACAGGTAATATATAGGTGTTGTTTATGACAACACAAAGTCACAGGTAATGTAAAGGTTTTGTTTGTGATATCACAAAGCCACAGGTAACACATAGGTGTTGTTTGTGATGTCACAAAGTCACAGGTAATGTAAAGGTGTTGTTTGTGATGTCACAATGTCACAGGTAATGTAAAGGTGTTGTTTGTGATGTCACAAAGCCACAGGTAATATATTGGTGTTGTTTATGACAACACAAATTCACAGGTAATGTAAAGGTGTTGTTTGTGATTCACAAAGTCACATGTAACACAGAGGTGTTGTTTGTGATGTCACAATGTCACAGGTAATGTAAAAGTGTTGTTTGAGATGTCACAATGCCACAGGTAATATAAAGCTATTGTTTGTAATTTCTCAAAGCCATCAGTAATGTCAGACATTATTTGTGATTTCACAAAATTACATGAGGTTAATGCAAGGCGGGTTTCCAAATCAAATTAAAAAGCAAAGGGAGAACAGGCAGACATCCAAACTCAACAAAGAAAAATCTATTGTAGGGCATTTTTATCTGTATATAAGTCTAAAGGTATGCTAGTTAATGGATGCAAATATTCATAAGTCTAAAGGCATGATAAGATTAAACTAAATGAAACAGTCGAAACAAACAGTAAGGAACTGAAACCATGAACTTGGCATTAAGTTTTCCAGACATTACTGCTAAAACAAAACATAGATAAAACAAGGACTTTGATAAAATACCACCCAGATCTATAGGAGAAGTGTGGAGATACCCTTAACCATCACACAGTATATGTAGACTTATACCAGGAAAAAAATTTAGAAATTGCACCTGGATATTTTCTAATAGAGTGTCAATGAAACAAATACTGATACAGCATATCAAAACACACAGCTGATACTTTTAAAATACAGTAGTCTCATCATAATGATTTTCGTGTTTAAAGTATTGCATTCAAATAAGTGAAAAAAGATTATTGTACCAATTTCAATATGGTTTACAGTCATTTAAAAATTAACACGTGTTATGTTACCATACTAAGCAGTAACGCTCCAGGAGTAAATCCCTTTGATGGACAAAAAACCACACATTACATACCATATATGGCACACATTAGAATACTGTCTTCTGTGAAGTTTCAAGAAAATTGCTCAAAGTTAAATCTATGAATATCTTCATAATTACCAATTTTTGCTGGCTAATCTTAGTATCCATTACACCATTGGCAAGTTTTTGATTTTGAATTATAGCCAATGAGTGAAATATTGCTGAAAAGTCATCTATCAAACTGAAAGATTTTTATAAAGAACAATGAATATGTGTTTGTGTAATTAGATTCCATAGTACCATTACAATCCACAAAGATGGTGATAGTACAATTTCAGTAGTTAGGTTACAGCAAACATATAGCAGTCCTCCTTTATTTCAGCACCTTTTGCACTGAATGTACTTCACTAATTATCACTTCTCTATGTTGTCAATAGGAAATTAGTGTGAATGCATGAATTTATCATTGTATTGTGTTGTAGAAATAAGAGATCAAAATTTCATTGCACCCAATTATATACATTAACAGTAAGGTAAGTATATAGGTAATTATATGTTTTTTATATTCCGAATATATTATCTCTATACATCACGATTCTCAAACTTCATCTTCTGCTTTCTGTATTTTCTATGGCTATGTCAGTTTCACATTTAAAATATATGCTCCACCAAGATTGTCTAAAATTTTTTTTTTTTCATTTATTTTTTTTTTCTCCAAGTTCACAAAATACGATACAATTTATTTTTTTTTTCTCCAAGTTCACATAATACGATACAATAGTACAAGTAGTATATTCATAATTGATGTCAACTCTCACATATGTGTAAGTAATTAATACACTTGTCAAACATGATATATATATCTATTTTTTTCATTTCTTATATACATCTACTGATCTAAAAAAAAAAAAAAAGAGACTGTCTAAAATGCTTTACATAATCACTTACCACTAGCATATTAGTAGAGTTATCACATTCAACTTGTAATTTCTAACAAAGGAAAACATAGTGTGTTAAATTTAGTATAATGATATCACAATGACATTAAAAAGAACCACAAATTGTTTCATTTATTCAAAAACATACAGGTCACCTGACTGTGTCGTTGCTATCCAGAAAAATTGATCTTAATTGAAGCTAATTATAATGTGAGTTGCTGGAAAGGACCTATCTTTAACAAAAAAGAAACTAACAAGACTGACCCGGAAAATCTTCACATGACATAAATTTCTATGAATAGTAACAGTGACTGAGACAATAAAGCCCTAAAAACATGAATCTGTTAAAGATATATCTTAAAATAGTTTGATCAATATCCTTTACGAAATAATATCATTCAATGTGAGAATTACTGAATTATACAGCAATGAATTTGACTTTGACCTTCGACCCTGAAAGAGTATCTCAACTTAAATATTGTCATAGCTGACATCAGATCTTTTCAGAAATGATGTACAATGATTGACAGAGAGAGATTGATGAGACTGGAAGCTGAACAGGGCAGGAGGGAATATATTATTGAAAAAGAGTTTCTTTAATAATGAATCCATGCAATTATTTATAAATAAAACCTTTAGATTAAGTTTGCTAAAAATAAAATACATGCAAAAAACAAAGTGATTTACATAATTCTGATTTCCTGATTCATCTTCAGAAACATGTTACAAAGGTCTTAATGACTTTGTAGTAACCAAGTTCCTTGAGATTAGACTGAAAATCAATATGTTCACTGGAAACAGACTAACAGTTTCCATCTTGTTGGTTCTGGAAACTTTGAGATAAAAGAGTTCACTGTAGATTAAATTCAAATCAACATACGTTGTAGACTGAGGTGGTGTCGACGCATAAACAGGTAACACCAATTCAGCGAGGCCTTGAAGTTTGGGTCAGGGTACTTGGTTTTACAGAGCTCTGCTGCGTGATTTCTTATATCTGTTGACCCCACATCAATACCGTCTTCTTTACAATCACGGATCCAAGCATACAGTTCTTCCTCCAAGTTTGGATGTGAAGGTTGTTTACCTCTGTTTGCCCGTTTGCTGGCAGGCATGGCCGCTAGATCATCTTCCAGTCTCCTCCAATTACGTACATTGGATTCCCCGACATTGAACCGACGTCCAGCTGCTCTGTTTCCAAACTTTTCAGCAAAGTCGACGATTTTGAGTTTCTCTTCAGCTGTCCAGGAATCATGAGACCTCCCACTGACTGCCTGGTCTAGGTTTGGGTCTACACAACAGGTTGTATTACCAAATAATGAGTCACACATAAGGATATATATGATAGAGGATCTTACACAAGTTTCCATTCATAATATTACTCAGTTTCATAAACTTCACATGAAATGGAAACAAATATAAAATTCTGTTTATCACATAACTTAGGTATATACTTTTGCAAACATTCATGAAAATAGTATCTTATTTAATTGATACAAAATTCAAAATGGCGATATTCTCTTTATATTTACCCCTTTCTTTGGTGATGTCACAATACATATTATGACACCACTATGGTAAAATGGAAACCTTTAGCCAATCACAACTCTGCTGGGTCATATCATACCAGAGAAATGTCAAGAATTTCTATAATCAGAATTATTCTACTGATAAGATGGTAGTTATGTGATAAACAAATATTGGATTACAGCTCATAACTTGATATTTATGAAACAGTTTATTAGCAGGCATGGGACCTAATAGAGAATTTTTTCCTAGATAAAATCAAAAGTGAGCAACAAATTATAATCATATGATAAGAATGACTGATCTTTTTTGTTATACCCATTGGTGTAATGGCGGAAATCATGGAGTTGGTTAAGTAAGTTAGCCCATCAGTGTCTAACATTTTTTGGAACATAAATCATCTATAAAGATATTTCAATATCTGGTTAATGTTACACACTTATAAAACACCAAAATAAGGGATATAAAAGAAAATTGTTAAAAATCTTACACAAAGGAGGACGAAAGTTAAACAGTCTAGCGAGATCTTAAGTAGAGAGGACATAAGTGAAACTTAATGATTTAGCCAATCAAATGACACAACTGACAATTCGGGTGACTGAACCATTAGTGTTCACTATTAAAAAGCACAGTAGCCATATCAACAACTAGAATCTTTAATAAAAGTCCTGGGTATTAATATGAAACAATTTGTGATTCTTAGTATACCAGGATTATGACTAATGCTAATACCATTGGGTATAAAGCTACTTACGTACAGAATGTTTCGTAAGATAAAACTCACCTACCATCATAAACATATATTGGGTATAATGCTACTATTTATAGAATGTTTAGTGCGATAAAACTCACCTACCATCATCAACATATATTGGGTATAATGCTTCTTACGTACAGAATGTTTAGTGCGACAAAACTCACCTACCATCATCAACATATATTGGGTATAATGCTACTATATATAAAATGTTTAGTGCGATAAAACTCACCTACCATCATCTACTTTCTACTTTCAAATGTCAACAATGCAGTATATTTTGGCTAAAGTAGCAGACACAAACAAAAGAAGAAAACATCTCCCACATGACATCCTATGTATACCTTATCAGTTGATAACCTACAATGACGTGAGATTGCCACATCCAATCTTATCAAATTAAATGTTGGTATCTGGAACATATCAATTAGTTTTGTTGGCTGTGTTAACTGCCCTTTGAGCAACAATTGTGATTTTGAGGCAAGGTTTCCTTGTAGCAGCTGGTGCCTACCTCACATAGCAACATACCAGACAGACTGACACATGTCTTCCAGAAAAATTACATGGACAAGTGTCTTGCCCTTGAACACAACATCAGCAGACTGGTCCAATTGTCATGTAGCTTACTGAGAAATAAGCTACTACAGGTAGGAAGCATCAAACCACGTGACTCAAATCTTCATCTAAGGTAACGTAGGTCAACACTCTCGCAACTAAGCTATCACGTCCCCTCTGCGCCTGACCACGGTTCAAGTCAATTAATTCTTTCAAGCCAATATAATTTAGATGACCCTCCTTCAGACTCAACTTGCAGGTTAAAGAAAAGTATTAAAATAGACACACAATTCATTCAGCTTAAAATTGGTGTTCTTTCGAAAACCTGCATTGCAAATTACCCCCCCAGATATATCAATTACCCCCCAGATATATCAATTACCCCCCAGATGTCAATTACCCCCCAGATATATCAATTATCCCCCAGATATATCAATTACCCCCCAGATATCAATTACCCCCCCAGATATATCAATTACCCCCCAGATATATCAATTACCCCTCAGATATCAATTACCCCCCAGATATATCAAATACCTCCCAGATAGATCAATTACCCCCCAGATAGATCAATTACCCCCCAGATATCAATTACCCCCCAGATATCAATTACCCCCCAGATATATCAATTACCCCCCAGATATATCAATTACCCCCCAGATATCAATTACCCCCCAGATATATCAATTACCCCCCCAGATATATCAATTACCCCCCAGATATCAATTACCCCCCAGATATCAATTACCCCCCAGATATATCAATTACCCCCCAGATATATCAATTACCCCCCAGATATATCAATTACCCCCCAGATATATCAATTACCCCCCAGATATATCAATTACCCCCCAGATATATCAATTACCCCCCAGATATATCAATTACCCCCCAGATATATCAATTACCCCCCAGATATATCAATTACCCCCCAGATATATCAATTAGCCCCCAGATATATCAATTACCCCCCAGATATATCAATTACCCCCCAGATATATCAATTACCCCCCAGATATATCAATTACCCCCCAGATATATCAATTACCCCCCAGATATATCAATATATCAATTACCCCCCAGATATATCAATTACCCCCCAGATATATCAATTACCCCCCAGATATATCAATTAACCCCCAGATATATCAATTTCCCCCCCAGATATATCAATTACCCCCCAGATATATCAATTAGCCCCCAGATATATCAATTAGCCCCCAGATATATCAATTACCCCCCAGATATATCAATTACCCCCCAGATATATCAATTACCCCCCAGATATATCAATTACCCCCCAGATATATCAATTACCCCCCAGATATATCAATTACCCCCCAGATATATCAATTACCCCCCAGATATATCAATTACCCCCCAGATATATCAATTACCCCCCCCCAGATATATCAATTACCCCCCAGATATATCAATTACCCCCCAGGATATATCAATTACCCCCAGATATATCAATTACCCCCCAGATATATCAATTACCCCCCAGATATATCAATTACCCCCCAGATATATCAATTACCCCCCAGATATATCAATTACCCCCCAGATATATCAATTACCCCCCAGATATATCAATTACCCCCCAGATATATCAATTACCCCCCAGATATATATCAATATACCCCCCAGATATATCAATTACCCCCCAGATATATCAATTACCCCCCAGATATATCAATTACCCCCCAGATATATCAATTACCCCCCAGATATATCAATTACCCCCCAGATATATCAATTACCCCCCAGATATATCAATTACCCCCCAGATATATCAATTACCCCCCAGATATATCAATTACCCCCCAGATATATCAATTACCCCCCAGATATATCAATTACCCCCCAGATATATCAATTACCCCCCAGATATATCAATTACCCCCCAGATATATATCAATTACCCCCCAGATATATCAATTACCCCCCAGATATATCAATTACCCCCCAGATATATCAATTACCCCCCAGATATATATAATTACCCCCCAGATATATCAATTACCCCCCAGATATATCAATTACCCCCCAGATATATCAATTACCCCCCAGATATATCAATTACCCCCCAGATATATCAATTACCCCCCAGATATATCAATTACCCCCCAGATATATCAATTACCCCCCAGATATATCAATTACCCCCCAGATATATCAATTACCCCCCAGATATATCAATTACCCCCCAGATATATCAATTACCCCCCAGATATATCAATTACCCCCCAGATATATCAATTACCCCCCAGATATATCAATTACCCCCCAGATATATCAATTACCCCCCAGATATATCAATTACCCCCCAGATATATCAATTACCCCCCAGATATATCAATTACCCCCCAGATATATCAATTACCCCCCAGATATATCAATTACCCCCCAGATATATCAATTACCCCCCAGATATATCAATTACCCCCCAGATATATCAATTACCCCCCAGATATCAATTAGCCCCCAGATATATCAATTACCCCCCAGATATATCAATTACCCCCCAGATATATCAATTACCCCCCAGATATCAATTAGCCCCCAGATATATCAATTACCCCCCAGATATATCAATTACCCCCCAGATATATCAATTACCCCCCAGATATATCAATTACCCCCCAGCTATATCAATCCTAAACTATCCCAGTGATGTTGTAAGATATGTAGTGATTATGCCGTAGCAGAGTATGATAATTTCACAGACCAACTGTAATAAGTTGCAGAGAAATCAGCCATCAGAATTAAATAAATTAAGCAGAAACCAACTGCCAAAGTGACAATGACCATGACATTAATTCTTTACAGGAAATCAAAGCAAGATATATCGTGAAAGAAAATTTTGTTTGGGGTTTCCTGAAATAAGTGCTGTGTGAGGCATCATTCTATCTACCAAACTGGATACAATTTATAGTAAAATGACCTTGACCCCAGACATTTGCACCTAAATAAAAAGCAATGCCGCAAGCAAGTTGTTAATAAATTTGCAAAGAAAGCACTAAGAAGTGTCTTGTATAGAGATGAAATTGTTAAGGACAGACAGGCAATAGTAATATCCCTTTCCGATCTTAAATCTGGGTATATAAACGGAAAATGTATCGAAGAATGGCAAGGATAAATGTTTAATTTGGATACTAATCAAAGTGAAGATAAATAAATAGATTTTTATTAGGTAACTTACCTTTATGCATCAGATTTTGGTTATTTTCAATCTCCTTGGCCACGGCAACAGTGTATGTGCCATTCATATGGATACTGCCTGTTGAGAGGCGTGTCCGTATACCTCGACTTCCAGCAGCGGGTGGAGATTCTTGTATCTGTTCAACTGTAAGATACAACAACAATACCATTTGATCAGATCAGTCCTAACTATGAATTCACCATTGTTGTCCTGCAATAACCTAGGGGAGCCTAAACATCTATTTACTCAATATTTACTGAAACTGCATTAGAAACACAAACATAAAAAGAAAAAAAAAATACTGTTATCTTAACAGAATCTTAATTCAAACTCAAATTTGATGAAGCTTGGGGTAAACATGAACAGAGAAATATTTACCCCAACACACCTAAAACAACAATATACAGACATATGAATACCACACTCTCAGCTATGATACCTTAGTATAAATGCAAGGTCTGAAAAAGGTCATATGGAAGTAATGAAGACTGCCGAAGACATCAAAAGTAGGAACACAGACAACCAATGACATCAAAAGTAGTAACACAGACTACCAAAGTCATCAAAAGTAGCAACACAGACTACCAAATACATCAAAAGTAGCAACACAGACTACCAAACACATCAAAAGTAGGAACAGACTACCAAACACATCAAAAGTAGCAACACAGACTACAAAACACATCAAAAGTAGCAACAGACTACCAAACACATCAAAAGTAGCAACAGACTACCAAACACATCAAAAGTAACAACAGACTACCAAACACATCAAAAGTAGTATCACAGACTACAGACTACCAAACACATCAAAAGTAGGAACAGACTACCAAACACATCAAAAGTAACAACACAGACTACCAAACACATCAAAAGTAGTATCACAGACTACAGACTACCAAACACATCAAAAGTAGGAACAGACTACCAAACACATCAAAAGTAGTATCACAGACTACAGACTACCAAACACATCAAAAGTAGGAACAAACTACCAAACACATCAAAAGTAACAACATAGACTACAGACTACCAAACACATCAAAAGTAGGAACAGACTACCAAACACATCAAAAGTAACAACACAGACTACCAAACACATCAAAAGTAGGAACAGACTACCAAACACATCAAAAGTAGTATCACAGACTACAGACTACCAAACACATCAAACGTAGTAACACAGACTACCAAACACACCAAAAGTAGGAACAAACTACCAAACACATCAAAAGTAGGAACAAACTACCAAACACATCAAAAGTAGCAACACAGACTACCAAACACATCAAAAGTAGTAACACAGACTACCAAACACATCAAAAGTAGTATCACAGACTACAGACTACCAAACACATCAAAAGTAGTAATACAGACTACCAAACACATCAAAAGTAGTATCACAGACTACAGACTACCAAACACATCAAAATTAGGAACAGACTACCAAACACATCAAAAGTAACAACACAGACTACCAAACACATCAAAAGTAGTATCACAGACTACAGACTACCAAACACATCAAAAGTAGGAACAGACTACCAAACACATCAAAAGTAGTATCACAGACTACAGACTACCAAACACATCAAAATTAGGAACAGACTACCAAACACATCAAAAGTAACAACACAGACTACCAAACACATCAAAAGTAGTATCACAGACTACAGACTACCAAACACATCAAAAGTAGGAACAGACTACCAAACACATCAAAAGTAACAACACAGACTACAGACTACCAAACACATCAAAAGTAGGAACAGACTACCAAACACATCAAAAGTAGTATCACAGACTACAGACTACCAAACACATCAAAAGTAGGAACAGACTACCAAACACATCAAAAGTAGTATCACAGACTACAGACTACCAAACACATCAAACGTAGTAACACAGACTACCAAACACATCAAAAGTAGGAACAGACTACCAAACACATCAAAAGTAGCAACACAGACTACCAAACACATCAAAAGTAGTAACACAGACTACCAAACACATAAAAAGTAGTATCACAGACTACAGACTACCAAACACATCAAAAGTAGTAACACAGACTACCAAACACATCAAAAGTAGTATCACAGACTACAGACTACCAAACACATCAAAAGTAGGAACAGACTACCAAACACATCAAAAGTAGTATCACAGACTACCAAACACATCAAAAGTAGTATCACAGACTACAGACTACCAAACACATCAAAAGTAGGAACAGACTACCAAACACATCAAAAGTAGTATCACAGACTACAGACTACCAAACACATCAAAAGTAGGAACAGACTACCAAACACATCAAAAGTAGTAACACAGACTACCAAACACATCAAAAGTAGGAACAAACTACCAAACACATCAAAAGTAGTAACACAGACTACCAAACACATCAAAAGTAGTATCACAGACTACAGACTACCAAACACATCAAAAGTAGGAACAGACTACCAAACACATCAAAAGTAGTATCACAGACTACAGACTACCAAACACATCAAAAGTAGTAACACAGACTACCAAACACATCAAAAGTAGGAACAGACTACCAAACACATCAAAAGTAGCAACACAGACTACCAAACACATCAAAAGTAGTAACACAGACTACCAAACACATAAAAAAAGGGAACACAAACTACCAAACACATCAAAAGTAGTAACACAGACTACCAAACACATCAAAAGTAGGAACACAGACTACCAAACACATCAAAAGTAGGAACAGACTACCAAACACATCAAAAGTAGCAACACAAACTACCAAACACATCAAAAGTAGGAACAGACTACCAAACACATCAAAAGTAGTATCACAGACTACCAAACACATCAAAAGCAGGAACACAAACTACCAAACACATCAAAAGTAGCAACACAGACTACCAAACACATCAAAAGTAGCAACACAGACTACCAAACACATCAAAAGAAGGAACACAGAATACCAAACACATCAAAAGTAGTAACACAGACTACCAAACACATCAAAAGTAGTATCACAAACTACAAAACACATCAAAAGTAGGAACACAGACTACCAAACACATCAAAAGTAGGAACAGACTACAAAACACATCAAAAGTAGTATCACAGACTACCAAACACATCAAAAGTAGGAACACAGACTACCAAACACATCAAAAGTAGTATCACAGACTACAAAACACATCAAAAGTAGGAACACAGACTACCAAACACATCAAAAGTAGGAACAGACTACCAAACAAATCAAAAGTAGCAACAAGCAACACAGACTATCAAACACATCAAAAGTAGGAACACAGACTACCAAACACATCAAAAGTAGCAACACAGACTACCAAACACATCAAAAGTAGCAACACAGACTACCAAACACATCAAAAGTAGCAACACAGACTACCAAACACATCAAAAGTAGTATCACAGACTACCAAACACATCAAAAGTAGGAACAGACTACCAAACACATAAAAAAAGGGAACACAAACTACCAAACACATCAAAAGTAGGAACACAAACTACCAAACACATCAAAAGTAGGAACAGACTACCAAACACATCAAAAGTAGTAACACAGAATACCAAACACATCAAAAGTAGCAACACAGACTACCAAACACATCAAAAGTAGCAACACAGACTACCAAATACATCAAAAGTAGTAACACAGACTACCAAAGTCATCAAAAGTAGCAACACAGACTACCAAACACATCAAAAGTAGCAACACAGACTACCAAACACATCAAAAGTAGCAACACAGACTACCAAACACATCAAAAGTAGCAACACAGACTACCAAACACATCAAAAGTAGCAACACAGACTACCAAATACATCAAAAGTAGTAACACAGACTACCAAAGTCATCAAAAGTAGCAACACAGACTACCAAACACATCAAAAGTAGCAACAAAGACTACCAAACACATCAAAAGTAGCAACACAGACTACCAAACACATCAAAAGTAGCAACACAGACTACCAAACACATCAAAAGTAGCAACACAGACTACCAAACACATCAAAAGTAGCAACACAGACTACAAAACACATCAAAAGTAACAACACAGACTACCAAACGCATCAAAAGAAGGAACACAGACTACCAAACACATCAAAAGTAGGAACACAGACTACCAAACACATCAAAAGTAACAACAGACTACCAAACACATCAAAAGAAGGAACACAGAATACCATACACATCAAAAGTAGGAACAGACTACCAAACACATCAAAAGTAGCAACACAAACTACCAAACACATCAAAAGTAGGAACAGACTACCAAACACATCAAAAGTAGCAACACAGACTACCAAACACATCAAAAGTAGTATCACAGACTACCAAACACATAAAAAAAGGGAACACAGACTACCAAACACATCAAAAGTAGTAACACAGACTACCAAACACATCAAAAGTAGTAACACAGACTACCAAGCACATCAAAAGAAGGAACACAGAATACCAAACACATCAAAATTAGTAACACAGACTACCAAACACATCAAAAGTAGGAACACAGACTACCAAACACATCAAAAGTAGCAACACAGACTACAAAACACATCAAAAGTAGCAACACAGACTACCAAACACATCAAAAGAAGGAACACAGAATACCAAACACATCAAAAGTAGTAACACAGACTACCAAACACATCAAAAGTAGTAACACAGACTACCAAACACATCAAAAGTAGCAACACAGACTACCAAACACATCAAAAGTAGTATCACAGACTACCAAACACATAAAAAAAGGGAACACAGACTACCAAACACATCAAAAGTAGTAACACAGACTACCAAACACATCAAAAGTAGTAACACAGACTACCAAACACATCAAAAGAAGGAACACTACCAAACACATCAAAAGTAGTAACACAGACTACCAAACACATCAAAAGTAGGAACAGACTACCAAACACATAAAAAAAGGGAACACAAACTACCAAACACATCAAAAGTAGTAACACAGACTACCAAACACATCAAAAGTAGGAACACAGACTACCAAACACATCAAAAGTAGGAACAGACTACCAAACACATCAAAAGTAGCAACACAAACTACCAAACACATCAAAAGTAGGAACAGACTACCAAACACATCAAAAGTAGTATCACAGACTACCAAACACATCAAAAGCAGGAACACAGACTACCAAACACATCAAAAGTAGCAACACAGACTACCAAACACATCAAAAGTAGAAACACAGACTACCAAACACATCAAAAGTAGCAACACAGACTACCAAACACATCAAAAGTAGCAACACAGACTACCAAACACATCAAAAGAAGGAACACAGACTACCAAACACATCAAAAGTACAAAACACATCAAAAGTAGCAACAGACTACCAAACACATCAAAAGTAGCAACAGACTACCAAACACATCAAAAGTACGAACAGACTACCAAACACATCAAAAGTACGAACAGACTACCAAAGATATAATGAAACTGATATTATACAAATGAATGGCACCATATAAACCCATCTTGTGATGTTCATTGTACACAAACCATATCTTCTACAGCAAAGTCAAAATAAAATCAAGACCACATTGATGTATAAACCTTTATCTTTCTCTTTTTCTCCGTCTTTTTCTTTCTCTTTTTCTCCGTCTTTTTCTTTCTCTTTTGGCTTTTCAACATCCTTTGGCTTCTCTGCTTCCTTCTTAGGTAAGATTCGCTGCAGTTCTCGGCGTCTTCGCAGGGATATAGTATCTGTAAATGAAAAGCTCATTTGAAACAGCTTCTTGAAAAAGTATAAGGCACATGTATAGGGACAATTTCTTCAAAACACTGAATATCAATCAAGACTTGATTTTGAATCATTTGACACCAGTTAAAGAATATATCAATCTCCAGTTATAACCTATCAATCAATCTCCAGTTATAACCTATCAATCTATCACCAGTTATAACCTATCAATCTCCAGTTATAACCTATCAATCACCAGTTATAACCTATCAATCTCCAGTTATAACCTATCAATCTCCAGTTATAACCTATCAATCAATCTCCAGTTATAACCTATCAATCAATCTCCAGTTATAACCTATCAATCAATCTCCAGTTATAACCTATCAATCAATCTCCAGTTATAACCTATCAATCAATCTCCAGTTATAACCTATCAATCTCCAGTTATAACCTATCAATCTCCAGTTATAAACCTATCAATCAATCTCCAGTTATAACCTATCAATCAATCTCCAGTTATAACCTATCAATCTCCAGTTATAACCTATCAATCACCAGTTATAACCTATCAATCAATCTCCAGTTATAACCTATCAATCAATCACCAGTTATAACCTATCAATCAATCTCCAGTTATAACCTATCAATCAATCACTAGTTATAACCTATCAATCACCAGTTATAACCTATTAATCACCAGTTATAACCTATCAATCAATCTCCAGTTATAACCTATCAATCTCTGTTATAACCTTCAATCCAGTTATAACCTATCAATCAATCTCCAGTTATAACCTATCAATCAATCTCCAGTTATAACCTATCAATCTCCAGTTATAACCTATCAATCTCCAGTTATAACCTATCAATCAATCTCCAGTTATAACCTATCAATCAATCACCAGTTATAACCTATCAATCAATCACCAGTTATAACCTATCAATCAATCTCCAGTTATAACCTATCAATCAATCTCCAGTTATAACCTATCAATCACCAGTTATAACCTATCAATCAATCTCCAGTTATAACCTATCAATCAATCACCAGTTATAACCTATCAATCAATCACCAGTTATAACCTATCAATCAATCTCCAGTTATAACCTATCAATCAATCTCCAGTTATAACCTATCAATCAATCTCCAGTTATAACCTATCAATCAATCTCCAGTTATAACCTATCAATCTCCAGTTATAACCTATCAATCAATCTCCAGTTATAACCTATCAATCTATCTCCAGTTATAACCTATCAATCAATCTCCAGTTATAACCTATCAATCAATCTCCAGTTATAACCTATCAATCAATCTCCAGTTATAACCTATCAATCAATCTCCAGTTATAACCTATCAATCAATCTCCAGTTATAACCTATCAGTTATAACCTATCAATCTCCAGTTATAACCTATCAATCAATCTCCAGTTATAACCTATCAATCACCAGTTATAACCTATCAATCAATCACCAGTTATAACCTATCAATCAATCACCAGTTATAACCTATCAATCACCAGTTATAACCTATCAATCAATCTCCAGTTATAACCTATCAATCACCAGTTATAACCTATCAATCAATCTCCAGTTATAACCTATCAATCAATCTCCAGTTATAACCTATCAATCACCAGTTATAACCTATCAATCAATCTCCAGTTATAACCTATATCAATCTCCAGTTATAACCCTATCCAGTTATAACCTATCAATCAATCTCCAGTTATAACCTCAATCAATCACCAGTTATAACCTATCAATCTCCAGTTATAACCTATCAATCAATCACCAGTTATAACCTATCAATCAATCTCCAGTTATAACCTATCAATCTCCAGTTATAACCTATCAATCTCCAGTTATAACCTATCAATCAATCTCCAGTTATAACCTATCAATCAATCTCCAGTTATAACCTATCAATCAATCTCCAGTTATAACCTATCAATCAATCTCCAGTTATAACCTATCAATCAATCACCAGTTATAACCTATCAATCAATCTCCAGTTATAACCTATCAATCTCCAGTTATAACCTATCAATCTCCAGTTATAACCTATCAATCTCCAATCTATCACCAGTTATAACCTATCAATCAATCTCCAGTTATAACCTATCAATCAATCTCCAGTTATATCCAGTTATAACCTATCAACCAGTTATAACCTATCAATCAATCTCCAGTTATAACCTATCAATCAATCTCCAGTTATAACCTATCAATCTCCAGTTATAACCTATCAATCAATCTCCAGTTATAACCTATCAATCAATCTCCAGTTATAACCTATCAATCAATCTCCAGTTATAACCTATCAATCTCCAGTTATAACCTATCAATCAATCTCCAGTTATAACCTATTAATCTCCAGTTATAACCTATCAATCAATCACCAGTTATAACCTATCAATCAATCTCCAGTCTCCAGTTATAACCTATCAATCAATCTCCAGTTATAACGTATCAATCAATCTCCAGTTATAACCTATCAATCTCCAGTTATAACCTATCAATCTCCAGTTATAACCTATCAATCAATCTCCAGTTATAACCTATCAATCAATCTCCAGTTATAACCTATCAATCAATCTCCAGTTATAACCTATCAATCAATCTCCAGTTATAACCTATCAATCAATCTCCAGTTATAACCTATTAATCTCCAGTTATAACCTATCAATCAATCACCAGTTATAACCTATCAATCTCCAGTTATAACCTATCAATCAATCTCCAGTTATAACCTATCAATCAATCTCCAGTTATAACCTATCAATCTATCACCAGTTATAACCTATCAATCAATCTCCAGTTATAACCTATCAATCTCCAGTTATAACCTATCAATCAATCACCAGTTATAACCTATCAATCAATCTCCAGTTATAACCTATCAATCTCCAGTTATAACCTATCAATCAATCTCCAGTTATAACCTATCAATCAATCTCCAGTTATAACCTATCAATCTCCAGTTATAACCTATCAATCAATCAGTTATAACCTATCAATCACCAGTTATAACCTATCAATCACCAGTTATAACCTATCAATCAATCTCCAGTTATAACCTATCAATCTCCAGTTATAACCTATCAATCAATCTCCAGTTATAACCTATCAATCACCAGTTATAACCTATCAATCTCCAGTTATAACCTATCAATCAATCTCCAGTTATAACCTATTAATCTCCAGTTATAACCTATCAATCAATCACCAGTTATAACCTATCAATCAATCACCAGTTATAACCTATCAATCAATCTCCAGTTATAACCTATCAATCAGTTATAACCTATCAATCTCCAGTTATAAATCAATCCAGTTATAACCTATCTCCAGTTATAAATCAATCTCCAGTTATAACCCAATCAATCTCCACTTATAACCTATCAATCACCAGTTATAACCTATCAGTTATAACCTATCAATCTCCAGTTATAACCTATCAATCAATCTCCAGTTATAACCTATCAATCAATCTCCAGTTATAACCTATCAATCTCCAGTTATAACCTATCAATCTATCACTAGTTATAACCTATCAATCAATCTCCAGTTATAACCTATCATGTGCTGGTTGCTGTTTGTTACAACAGTATTAAATACTCTATTTAATTGCGACAGTATAACGCCTGCCACCCTGTTATATCGTGACATCAAAATACTTTTGCTGGCTGTTCCATTGTTCCTGTTGTTCCCATTGTTCCCATTAATGGATTTATTCCGTCATATTAAACAATGTATTTTGCTCAAATGTTGTTATCATGTAAATACATTTAGAATTAATATAACTGCCTGATTATCCTTCCCACCATGGCCAATTTCTAATGAAATCCCGGTTTCATAGCACTTGCCAGTAGCCCACTTGATTTTATATCCACTGTAATTACATTCAGAGAACACATGATTGTTTGAATAATTCAACGGCAGATAAATACAATAAAACATTATGGATGATGGTGGTCATCATACATCATAAAGACATAATTTGTACCTTAAAGATTTATTTGTTTCACAAGGATAACAAACTGTCGTTTAACTAGTGCCTAGTTTTTTTCCTCAATAAGTAATTAGTATGTGTCAAGAAAATAAATAACAATATAGGTCAATCATTGCCATTTTGAAATTATCCGTTAAAACTGAAGCTTCATGTTTTCAATGTTGTTATATTATTATGACATTCTTAATGGCCTGTCAACACATAAAAGGTCATTAGGGCCATCAACCGGTAAAGTTTTTCAATATATAATTATCAATATATTGTAAAATCATTAATTATCATGAGGGAATTATCAACTATTGGTCACAGTGCACAGCTACTGTTCGCGAAAAAATTGGCATAACTGTCTAACTAGACAGGAATTCTAAAAGATATCACACAATCGTGGTTAATTCTGTCAATATGTCAGCAAAAATTGTTCATGTGAAGTATTAAAATTTTTGAGAACAAGGTTGTGATATAATATGTTACATTTATTTTCTGTATATGTTACGCTACATTTATTTTTGAATATGGTAAAAAATTTCCAACTTCACTACCGTAAATACACATGTAATGTGTGCAGTTTCTTTTGAAGCGGCTGTGCACAATATGTAGCTATAAGGTTTTCAAATTTCGTGGAAAAATTGAAGATTCGGCGAGGCCGCCATCAATGGTTGTTGAGATTATCTAATATGCATACCTGACACAAATGTATTTAACAATTTATTTATGAACAACAATAATAAATAAGATAATTACTGTGTTTATAATAATGCAAACTGAGTTGATATCATGCAAAATCAGGGAGGGTTGCTCACATTATATAAGTAGAAGCCTTTTTTTATATTCTCAGCCCCGAAAATACCTGTGCACAGTGTTTATGTGCACATTACACTGGTTTTTTACATTAAATTGTCCCTTAAACTAACATTATAGATAAAATTACCCCACTACAATGTTCACTCATGTTCAGCCTCGATTACTAACCCACCTTGTGTACAAATCAATGTAGCCAACATTTCAAATGTGTAAAGAAATTAAATTGAAATATAAAGAGACAAACTTCTCATACAAGATTTTCATAATATATTATATTTCAAATCTGATATCAAAATGAATTAATGAAATCTGAAAGTTGGGTGGAAACATATTGCTGAACATTGAAATATTATATCATTTATGTAGACAAAAAATTATCCAGGGTAAATTTTAAATTCCATGAAGAGATCCAGATAATATGAATTCTTTTATCGATTTTCAGTACAGGCCATTTTTTTTTTAATTAAATAGAAAAATAAAATTTACACTATCCACTTACTTGAATTCTAGTTCAGTGTCATACAGCTGTAATACTGTTTAATTTTCATTATTACTGCAGGTGACATGACTTATTATCAAAGCAAAGCACATTCAGGCTTGGACCAGAAGCTGGATTTTAAAAGCTTAAAGTATTCAAAAATATGAAAGTCTTATAATTTACATATCTATATATTTTACAGATTTAGTTGTATTTATAATGGTGTAACAATGTGCCTGTAATGTTTCAATTGTGTACAATTTTATGTCTGATTTTCATTTTCCCTAAATTGTTTTCAATAAGTAAATTGCTTTTTGACTTCAACAGAGTAAACAATAAAACTATGTGTAATCAGCATGAATTTCAACAGACACTACTTGAAGGGTCATCAATAGTACAATTTTACATTGTACTTATAATCTCTATAGCCACTCACTCTCTCACTGCCAGCAAGACAGTGACACAATGACCCCCTTTAACAGCCCAGCCAACCTGTGTATCATGTGTAAATACGAGGGGCTCCTTAAGGGAAATTCTTGTCACAATATTTCACAGCACCACTATCAGTTGTAAGCACCATAACCGGAGTCGGAAGTACTTTAGCATCAACTAACAATTCTTCTCACACTGGCTGATTGAATGGAACACCTATAGTGTGAAAAACTTTCTACAGAAAATTGTGAGGTCCTTAATACAATTGTTCTATCCTTTGTGAAACACCTAGTAGAGAGTGTATCATTATGAATTGTCCATGTAGTGCTGGATGTGTTTAAGTGTGTCAGTCAATTTTCTGGTAATGAATTTTCCGCAAAGTTCTCTTGATAAATAGCATATTGTCACTACATCATAATGAATATTTTTTTATGAGAAATGCAATATATGTTTTAAACACTATGCAGACTGTTCATAAAACACCTTTGATTCACAGAAGTCTTTTCAAGCATGAAAAAAATTAATTGGGAAGAAGTTTCATTTACAGTAATATCGTTCATTATCTTTTACTTCCCTTCTTTTCCTTTCTGTTTTTCTTTCTTTCTTCATTTGATTATTTATCAGTATTACATTATATTCATTACATTTCATGGATTAATCTATCATGTTACAGTTTATTTTCAACTGTTTCCCATTTTGAACCTAAAAATTGTAATTGAAAAAGAATTACATCATGAAATATTTTTTGGTCTTGCTCATGGTTTAAATTATAAATTTTGGCAAAATAAACCAAACATATGGTAGAGAGAGTGTTTTAGCATCTATAGTCTGGATCAACTGGGTGTAGCCAGTAAGGAAATGAAACATACACAACACCACAGTAGACTGTAAAACTTTATATAATGTCATCTGTATAATGTTTACATACCATATACTGTAATATTTGTGAGAGATTACATGACATTCTGCATGAAAACTCTGGGCAGAATACAAGGATGAAGATTTGGTGTGGGAGGTGAGAGGTGGTGGGAAGGGAGTGTGTGGGTTATATGACTGAGATTTGGTGTGGGAGGTGAGAGTTGGTGGGAAGGGAGTGTGTGGGTTATATGACTGAGATTTGGTGTGGGAGGTGAGACTTGGAGGGAAGGGAGTGTGTGGGTTATATGACTGAGATTTGGTGTGGGAGGTGAGAGTTGGAGGGAAGGGAGTGTGTGGGTTATATGACTGAGATTTGGTGTGGGAGGTGAGAGTTGGAGGGAAGGGAGTGTGTGGGTTATATGACTGAGATTTAGTGTGGGAGGTGAGAGTTGGTGGGAAGGGAGTGTGTGGGTTATATGACTGAGATTTGGTGTGGGAGGTGAGAGTTGGAGGGAAGGGAGTGCGAATGTTATATGATTGAGATTTGGTGTGGGAGGTGAGTGAAGGGAGTGAGAGTGTGGAAGGGAGTGTGTGGGTTATATGACTGAGATTTAGTGTGGGAGGTGAGAGTTGGAGGGAAGGGAGTGTGTGGGTTATATGACTGAGATTTGGTGTGGGAGGTGAGAGTTGGAGGGAAGGGAGTGTGTGGGTTATATGACTGAGATTTGGTGTGGGAGGTGAGAGTTGGAGGGAAGGGAAGGGTGTGCATGGGTTATATAATTGAGATTTGGTGTGGGAGGTGAGATTTGGGAAGGGAGTGTGTGTTATATGGAGAGTGTGGGAGGTGAGAGTTGGAGGGAAGGGAGTGTGTGGGTTATATGACTGAGATTTGGTGTGGGAGGTGAGAGTTGGTGGGAAGGGAGTGTGTGGGTTATATGACTGAGATTTAGTGTGGGAGGTGAGAGTTGGAGGGAAGGGAGTGTGTGGGTTATATGATTGAGATTTAGTGTGGGAGGTGAGAGTTGGTGGGATTTGGTGTGGGAGGTGAGTGTTGGTGGGAAGGGAGTGTGTGGGTTATATGACTGAGATTTAGTGTGGGAGGTGAGAGTTGGAGGGAAGGGAGTGTGTGGGTTATATGGCTGAGATTTGGTGTGGGAGGTGAGAGTTGGAGGGAAGGGAGTGTGTGGGTTATATGACTGAGATTTAGTGTGGGAGGTGAGAGTTGGAGGGAAGGGAGTGTGTGGGTTATATGATTGAGATTTAGTGTGGGAGGTGAGAGTTGGTGGGAAGGGAGTGTGTGGGTTATATGACTGAGATTTAGTGTGGGAGGTGAGAGTTGGAGGGAAGGGAGTGTGTGGGTTATATGACTGAGATTTGGTGTGGGAGGTGAGAGTTGGAGGGAAGGGAAGGGTGTGCATGGGTTATATAATTGAGATTTGGTGTGGGAGGTGAGAGTTGGTGGGAAGGGAGTGTGTGAGTTATATGACTGAGATTTAGTGTGGGAGGTGAGAGTTGGAGGGAAGGGAGTGTGTGGGTTATATGACTGAGATTTGGTGTGGGAGGTGAGGTGTGGGAGTGTGTGTGGGTTATATGACTGAGATTTGGTGTGGGAGGTGAGAGTTGGAGGGAAGGGAGTGTGTGGGTTATATGACTGAGATTTAGTGTGGGAGGTGAGAGTTGGAGGGAAGGGAGTGTGTGGGTTATATGACTGAGATTTAGTGTGGGAGGTGAGAGTTGGTGGGAAGGGAGTGTGTGGGTTATATGACTGAGATTTGGTGTGGGAGGTGAGAGTTGGTGGGAAGGGAGTGTGTGGGTTATATGACTGAGATTTAGTGTGGGAGGTGAGAGTTGGAGGGAAGGGAGTGTGTGGGTTATATGACTGAAATTTGGTGTGGGAGGTGAGAGTTGGAGGGAAGGGAAGGGTGTGCATGGGTTATATAATTGAGATTTGGTGTGGGAGGTGAGAATTGGAGGGAAGGGAGTGTGTGGGTTATATGACTGAGATTTAGTGTGGGAGGTGAGAGTTGGAGGGAAGGGAGTGTGTGGGTTATATGATTGAAATTTGGTGTGGGAGGTGAGAATTGGAGGGAAGGGAGTGTGTGGGTTATATGACTGAGATTTGGTGTGGGAGGTGAGAGTTGGTAGGAAGGGAGTGTGTGGGTTATATGACTGAAATTTAGTGTGGGAGGTGAGAGTTGGAGGGAAGGGAGTGTGTGGGTTATATGACTGAGATTTGGTGTGGGAGGTGAGAGTTGGAGGGAAGGGAGTGTGTGGGTTATATGACTGAGATTTGGTGTGGGAGGTGAGAGTTGGTGGGAAGGGAGTGTGTGGGTTATATGACTGAGATTTAGTGTGGGAGGTGAGAGTTGGAGGGAAGGGAGTGTGTGGGTTATATGACTGAGATTTGGTGTGGGAGGTGAGAGTTGGTGGGAAGGGAGTGTGTGGGTTATATGACTGAGATTTGGTGTGGGAGGTGAGAGTTGGTGGGAAGGGAGTGTGTGGGTTATATGACTGAGATTTAGTGTGGGAGGTGAGAGGTGGTGGGAAGGGAGTGTGTGGGTTACATAAATGAGATTTGGTGTGGGAGGTGAGAGTTGGAGGGAAGGGAGTGTGTGGGTTATATGACTGAGATTTAGTGTGGGAGGTGAGAGGTGGTGGGAAGGGAGTGTGTGGGTTATATGACTGAGATTTAGTGTGGGAGGTGAGAGTTGGAGGGAAGGGAGTGTGTGTTATATGACTGAGATTTGGTGTGGGAGGTGAGAGTTGGAGGGAAGGGAGTGTGTGGGTTATATGACTGAGATTTGGTGTGGGAGGTGAGAGTTGGTGGGAAGGGAGTGTGTGGGTTATATGACTGAGATTTGGTGTGGGAGGTGAGAGTTGGAGGGAAGGGAGTGTGTGGGTTATATGACTGAGATTTGGTGTGGGAGGTGAGTGTTGGAGGGAAGGGAGTGCATGTGTTATATGACTGAGATTTGGTGTGGGAGGTGAGAGTTGGAGGTAAGAAAGGAGGATATGGTCCTCTTTCAGCCAGCTAGCCTAAAGCTACATTATAGCTATTACTGACATCAGAGTTGGGAATGACTTTGATCATTTGATGAATCACTACAATTTTTTTTATTTTAATACCAATTAATTTTCTTTTCCTATGTTAAAGAAAGATTTTGTCTACCTTAATTTTGAATACCTGTAGTTAATCAGAGGTGTTTCTCACTTATGTATGGTGTATATCTAATCTATTTTGGTATTTTGGATGTGTATGACATCTTAATGATTAAATTATCATGAAACTCTATAACATAAGCACGGAATTTCATTTCTGATTTCATTATCAAGTTCTAAATTCTATAATAATTGAATGGGATTCCTTTTCAATGTATGACGTTCACTTATTGTTTCGGATTATTATCATGATAAAGATGATACTGTTTGCCTCACCTCTGCTGTTCTCCCCACGCCCTTGACTCATGGTGGATCTGGAGACAAAACAATAAAAACAGTATTAACTGACCAACTCCATCAAAACAATATTACACAACTATTACTACAAGAATTACACATAAAAATGTCTTGTCCATCCTACCGTTACTGTATTCTCAATAAACTGGAACTTCTTCTGTGACTTTTTGTCCCAGGTGAGACAAACCCATATTTAAAACTTTTATAATATAAATCAGTACAGCACAATTTTCTTGATTAGATTTTTGTTATATCTAAACATAAACATTTTCTTTATTTGTAGATGTTTTGAAGATACGGTACTTCCACCATGTTCAGATTTCAGGAATGAAACTCAACAAACTGTGCAAGTGTGTCATGGCGTTGAATTACAACTTGATGACTATCACACAAATGTGCTTCTAACAAAAAAGACTTCCATCTGACCCTGGATTACAAGGACGAAATGAAAAAAAAAAGGCTTTTGAAAGACAGCAGTCTAAATGGATTTTTAGTTTAACCGTCAAACATAAAACTTCTTGAACACAATATTATTAAAATGTACACAAGATGAAGACCACTAAATACTGGTTGCATGATCGGTGTTGATATCACATATGGACTTCATGTAATTAACAGTGGGGATTCTCCTTAAGGGAGGTAATACACACTTACCCTTGTTAACCTCATTTTACCGACTTCACCAGATGTCCTGGCTGTGAGATACCTATGGGTACAGTGGGGATCCTAACCTTGTTAAAATGTAGGCAGATTTCAGCACCAACATGATATATGGTCAAGTCATTGTGATCTTGTATATTCTATATCAGACAATTTTAAATTTATGGAAAACTAAATCTATGTTACATGTATCTAAATCAGGAGGATTCATCATAGAACTCTTGGACAGTGCTGTCCTACTGAATAAATCCATGCCAAGCTGGAAGATTTTGATGAATAAATGTCACCTGTACACACGTATATTACAAATGCATTTGTGATACATCTGTAAAATTCTAAATATCTACAGATATACATGTAATCAAATGGCCAATCCTTTGTGTGTTTCTTGTGCAGTCATGTTTGTTTTGTTTCTGTGCCTTAAAATTTCATTTATATAATGTTATTTGTATTTTCGATAAATTTTGGACATTACACACCAACAAGCTAAGAGGTTTAGGTGCACAGAGTCACAGAAAACCTGCTGTGCTGACCTGGTCTCCGGACACTTTTCAGAAACATTGTTTTGTAAATAAGACACATTTTCGGAATTCCAATGCTCATCTGACATAAAACACATGAAAAGACAAGTCCTATGAAATCTATTGACTTAAGTCTGGTTTACTAGCTAATCAATTAATGTAGATGTTTTTATTATTGACCCATGATACATGACACAGGTCTGGACAAAATGCAACAAACATCATTAAACCTGTTGATTTTCTGTTAATCCTTATAACACTACCGTAGGAACTCAAAACCATAAATACTAAATTTTGTACTCCTTAAGACTTAAAACGGCTTCACATATCAAATATATCAGAGTGCTTGCAAACTAAATAATCTTTGCTTGAGGGTTGAGATCCCCTATCTCATCCAGAAGAGGGTTAATCATTATTTTCCTCTATCCCTTCTTGTAAATTCTTATATATCTAATATTGTGTTATATTACACAAGAGTTTCCCTTGTCAGGATTGGTCACCTGTGGATCTAACAAGTGGACTCCACGTTTCCTAATTTAGAACAACAGAACCATATTAATTTCACGTTTCTAAATTTTCAGCAACGCGTCCATAATGACCTCAGAATATGCAAATAGTTTATGATATACTAGTCTAGGTAGTTCTTTGTTAAAGGGTTTTCCAATTTTTCTATTCTGTTGTGAATATTTGTTTTAGTGTAGTTTGAAGATAAGACTATTTCATAACTATATACAAGGCAATAATCAAATTACCAGTATATATGTAATAAAAGAATAAGGATTTTCTATTTCAGGCGATATTGTGTTATACTGACCTGCCTGGTAGAAAAAGTATAGACTGAGGGCAATTTTTTTCAACCAGCTCAATGTTACATCATATTGACCTCATCAAAGGTAATACCATATTGACCACATCAAATGTAACACCATATTGACCTCATCAAAGGTAATACCATATTGACCACATCAAAGGTAACACCATATTGACATCATCAAAGGTAACACCATATTGACCTCATCAAAGATAACACCATATTGACCTCATCAAAGGTCAATAATTGATAAATAACAATACTTGGAACTGTTGATGTAATATTAATTATTGCCTTGATATCACATGATTGTTGACAGCTGAATCTCCCCTTTCCCATCCCAGTGTATGACAACAGAAGTATCACTCAGTCAAGTGGGCAAGTCTGTCTAGGCATATGTAGGTAACAGAAACAATGATCCCAGTCACGGACTGTCCTGTACTCTGCTGTTGTTGTGTCCACGGGCAAGACACTTTACCCTATTGCCTGTAATATATAGCATGTGGTGTACCTCCAGCATGACATTCAGTGAGGTTGCCACCATACTAGTAGACCCTGTCTCAAAAAGACTGTTGCTGTTCACAAGATATATTAAACTCATTAAACAAACAAGGAAAAAGCTTTTACAACACATTAAGTCATAGAAATAATGCTTGTTGGCCTGGATGGCAAGGCAGAGGGGTTCTTGAGGAAATAAATTAGAGGACCAAGAGAAAGTCAAAGTAGTCATAATGCAGGCAGCGAACTCTCCTATCCAGACTATATGTACCGGTAGCTATTTATTCTAATCTGGGAATCAAACACTGTCTGTATTTGGTAAAAGCTGAGTACATAAAGCCCCTCTTACTTAAGGCTTCTAGGTAAGACAAGGTATGATGTCATAGATAGTGGTCTTACAAGGGTCTGATTACATGAGAACACTTCCAAGAAGATTAATGAGATGGACCTAATAATGATATTGTGCATCATATTCTCATTCTAGATCAGAATTAAATCAAGATTTTCAGTTTTCTAAAGGCCTGCATCTTCAAACAATCTGTTAAAAAAAATAAATGATATCTGTGCATTTAGCCTCCGAGAACCAAAATAAGCAAAAAAGTTATAATCAAACCACGATATCTGACAAACCAATGTTCTGTAAGAAGAATCTAACTTGTTTAAATTATCCATGATCTGGTGATACCAGTAACCAACACAGAAGGGCTTACCATGTATATATATACATGTGATTGGTATCATCAGGTTGCTATATATAGGCGCCCAATCAAATTTGCTCAATGTGACATCTTACTCTGTGGGAGGGGAGCATTAGGGTAACTGTTTTAATATATTTCCTGTCATTTCAATAAACTGATTGGTCTCCATGTAATGATATGTAATAACCATATATCTTTCAAACAAGTGTAGAATTTCATTTCCTAACTTATCAGATCTGTCCAATAACATCAACTCCAAAAATGAAATTAACACATCAATTATTTCTTGTAATTAATTTTTTTTTCTCTTTTACATTTTTTGCCTAAATGTGATGTTATATGACAATTACAATTTAAACAGCTTTGTAAATGTTGCTAAATCTAACCCCACACAGGTTTAAATATCCCAGCTTAACATGAACAGAAAATGCCCTGAAGAAGAACAGATGAAATATGGCATTATTTTGGTTGTCATGGATATTTATTGTCTGCCAGTCATTGAACACCAAAAACGTATGCAGGATGTTAGGAAAGACTTCTCTGAACAGCTTTGTATATCATATATATATATATAGAATTACTTATGTCACTGGATTTCCTTCTGGTGGCGACCTATCTATTGATTTATATGAATTTTGTATAACTTTATGTGACAATATTCTACATATATATAAAGCTTATTTTGATTGAGAACATTAGTACATAACCTTGACTGTCAGAATGCTAAACTTGATGAAAAATTACACTTTAAGATCATCTGTGTTCAACACATACTTATATTCAAATGGTATGAAATGTATAATTTAATGTAGTTATTATTTTCATGCGTTCTGAATATTAATAACATTAGATTTACAAATTCCACATGTTAGTATGTCGAGTCATCCATAAGAATTATCATATCAACCATTAAAACAGTACCATCACAAAATATGTATTACATGTTCCTTCACAGCTGTCATCCATAATGTTAATTATGACATAGTAATTAATCTAAGCATGGCTATTTATATAATACTGATGTGACAATGTTGGTCCTATATATATTTATATGATTCTAGCTAAATATCCAACCTATTTTAGTTCTGTGTTAACTTTCAGTATTAGTGACCCCCTGTTACACTGGGCAGCAGTGAACTAGTGTGTATGTATATATATAAGTAACACATGTAAACAAGTACAATAACATAGTTATACCTTTAAATACTACCCCTGCAGTATAACCCTGTGTTTCTGTTAAAAGTCTGCAGTAAGTCGGGGATTGTCAAACTATCTCAGTCTTCTATACAGCCCTCCATCTTGTCTGTGTACTTCTGTATAGCTGGCAGACACACATGTGCTTAAATGTTCTCTTGTGACCTTCACCCTGGCTCAGCCAGGCATATAGATTGCAGCTGTACATATCTCTCATCAAGTGTCAAGTCTGACTCAAGTGGGCGGGGCTTACCTCAAAACCTGTATTGATTCAATGGCTGTAGCCATGGTAACCTGGCTCCCATTGGCTATGTAGGGGAGTGGTTATAAAAGGTCTTTATCAAAAGACTTTTGTTGAAATGTGAAGCTTGAGGGGCCTCCCAAGGGGTTTTCTCTAATATTCATAACAAAATGATGTACTAAATTTCTGACACACAAATCATATTTTAAATATCCCTGTGAATATGTTTGACTGCAGTATGGTTGAAATAAATATTTGCATGCATTTTACTTCAAAAACAAAACATAAATAAATCAACAGACAAATTAAATGACAATTTTTCTTTTCTGTTTGAAAACAAAAGACATTTTCATAATACATATTTTATATTATTATTAATAGTCTACCATTTTCTTTGAGCAATCACCACTTTCAATATACTTTCTTTTCCAACTAAACTACAATAAGTTTTTTCATGGTGAACTAGGAGCTTGAGTGATACTGAAATGTTTAAATTATACAATATTGCAGCAGAATGTATAATTGAATTATATACTTTGTACAACCTGATTATAGAATGCCCACACACAGATTTGACAATACATAAATACATAACACAGATGAATTATTCTAATATGGTTTTTAACAAAGGAACACAAATAAGCTTAAAATTGAAAATCATAAACAAATGTTACATAAAATTACATGTAACATGTCAGGTCAGTGTTGTCAACTTCAAGTCATCAAGTATATTGGGTCCTTTTTAAAGCAAATGTGGCACGGTTTTTTTAACTGTCATTTCGCAAAAAGACCTTATAATCAATTTTATCATAGACATCACATCTGTATGTGTTTAGGTGATTATTTTGTCTATAAAAGATACAAAAACTGATTTTTAATTTTTCAAGACTTCAATTTTTAAAATATCCGTAGATTCTAGCATTCGTCAGCATTTAAGAAAGCCATATTATGGCCAATATTAGGTAGACCTCATAAAATCAGGTGAGCTGGTGAGACTGGTTTACAAAACAACAACATTCAATTATTGATACTCAACATGGACTCCATAAAACTACCAAATTTAGCCTGTTTCATTCATTCATGAATCTGACCAAATTAACATTGATATGGGCGTAAGATTATGCACCTTTATAGATTCTGTAAAGACCCTTTCACGTATTTGATGCTACACTTTAAACAAAAGTAATCAGCTTTGCTACAGATTCCAGATTTGCAGAATATATATTGATATAAAATGACAAATTTAACATGACCTGCTTTGCAGTTCATTAAATTTGTCTCGTAAGCAACTCGAATAATCACCTCATGAAATCGACAAAATCTGGATTCAATACTAAAATGAGATTATTGAAATACTATCAAAGTCCACAGCAGCAGTAGTGTTATTCAATAACTGTCAAGTCTGAAAATTCTTCTGATTTAAAGTTATGAGACAGAAATTCTGTCTACTTGGGTAAAAACCACTGGCCAATTTTCAACCAGAAACAGAAAAAATGCAAAAATTTCTGATGTTCTTATGACAGAATTTCCATGTATGCATAAAGTCCATGTGGATAGATTTCAATCTTCTCAAATCCTAGTGTATTCCTTTTTCTGCTGAAGCACACCTGGATTTGTGTCACTCTCTTCTTTTAGGATGCTAATTTTTGATTTAGTAACACTAATGACACAATCTTTAAATCTATTAAGAGATTAACTCATTAGAGTGCCCCTCTCTTGACTGACAACAACTCTCTACTTCTTTGTCAACAAAGAAACCAACAGGAACAAATTGCCACTAGAAAAATGTAAAGCTGAATAAAAATGGTCATGATTCAATTCAATTATGGTGAATTTCACATTTCTAAAGAGTAGCATTCCAGCTTCCAGCTTCTGGGGTTAACATACCCCACAGCTGACTAAATATTAATGGGCTTGTTTGCAGTATCACTTTAATTTCCATGATTAGTTATCAACATCTGATTGAAAATCTTGCCACACAAGGATTTTAGCATTACAGGATAATGTGCTTATTGTTCATCTCATTTTATGACAGTAGTTGGGATTGACCAAACATGACATCTGTTGTTGATGAAGAGGAGGATGCTTACCCTTCCTGGTCTTATTTACCTTGTACTCCACTATAACGACCTGCTTACTGTTGAAGGATCAGTTATATGTCCAGGCGAAGACGTGATGAAGTCATCTATGTTGGAGTCCTACATTCTCTTGGAGATCTATGACATTACTGTTGAAGGATCAGTTATATGTCCAGACGAAGACGTGATGAAGTCATCTATGTTGGAGTCCTACATTCTCTTGAAGATCTATGACATGGATGATGACGATATTGTGGTGACAAGTTGAGAAAACATATCTTTACATTGTACGGATTATCTATATATGTGTCTTCTCTATACTACTCAGTAAAACAAGACACCACTGTATGTTTGCATGTCTAGTGTGTCCCGTGCAGTCGAAATCTTAACAAAGAAAGCAGAGTGTTGAAGTTAACATTTAAAGACCTAGCTTTTGACTGACCTCCTGACGCTTCCATAGGGAATCAACAAAATACCCATCCTTGCTGGAATCCGACTTCCAACGCCCGTGCCTCTTAAGGCACCTTTCACTCTCATTATTGTTTGCAGCCACTGAAGCCCCACCTGAATGCAAGGAGTGCAATCCCATATCTAATTCATCGGACACCGTTTTCAGCCGTTTCATAATAGCCTCTGTCGCCCCTGTGTAGCTTAAAGGCTTATGTTTATATATAAGTTTGCAATGGCTCCCTTACCTAAAAACCTGTTTGAAAAAACAATCATCAGAAGACTTTATCCTGGCCGCATTTATGTATCTTTAAACCATGCTAATGGGAAATGCTGAAGTATGCCCTTTACTAATAACAACTTGATCCCCGAATCTATACTGATCCGTTTTGCTTTTCCTGATCTTGATAATCAAATGATCTGCCTTTACTACAATGTCTGTGCAACAAAGATTACAAAATTCACTAAATCTAAGAAACCGGCGAAACTAACCAATATCATAGCCAAGTCTCTCACAATCAATAAACCTTGGGAACCCACAAAATTGTCACAAAGCTGAATAAGCATGCCTGTGGTTACTGGGTCCTTCTTGTGAACAGGAGCCTTAGATGTACGCCTGGCCGATTCCACAATATTTTTCACAAAAATGTTCCTAGTTGGATCTTCCTGCCCTTTGAGGTCGTGTGCCCATTTAATTCCGTACATTGTAGATTCTACAACACCCGACGAAGCCCCATAGTCAAGTAAATCCACCAAATATAGTGCTATGTGTATTGGTTGAGCAGGCAACTATGGAAAATCATGAGATTTACCGAATCCACGCCTTCTATTGAAAGCACTGAAATATTTCTTGTTCGTGTTGCTGCTCTTACTCTGAATAAGCCTCTCCATTAAACGGTCCACCAAATGTCTCGAGTTACTGCTCTCTCCTCCGCCGCCTGCGCTTGTTACCTCTCGCTGGATGGGAGGTCTTAGCTCTAAACCTGCAGGACAAATAAAAAATACCGAACATGATTAACCCAGTCTTAAAGCCAGCATTCTGAAACCCAGTATTTTGCGACCGAACAGCCCATTGTTACCTCTACCTGGGGTTGTTAAGTTAGCATTGCCCAATACAATCGAATCAACAATAATGTTGTTGGGAACATCAGTTCCAGAACATATCTCAGGCCAGAAAGGAGCAGATTTCCATTCTGGAATCACTAAAGTACCTTTAGCCCCTTCAGCTTTAACTTTGTGTAAAACCTTGTTGACTAGGCGTGGAGGGGGAACCAATAAGTTATTTTCCCCCAACCAAAATATGGAAAAAGCATTTACCACCTCTGTGCCACTGCACCACCAACTGGAAATGAACTTCAAACACTTCATGTTGTAATCACAAGCAAAGCTGTCAAATGAATGTGGACCCCAGCGTTTATTACAAATTTCATACAAACCATTGTAATCCCCAAGTCGTCACTATCCGTGCACCTGCTGAGATAATCTGCAGACCTATTCATATCCCTAGGCACCCATTGGGTATTAATAGACAAATCTCGCTCCCGAGAAAATTTGTCAATTTTCATAGCGACGTGTTGTAAATATGATTTACCGCTACCTACCTTAATGACACGACAAGCGTTTTTGCTATCCATTATCAAATTAACTGTTTCACTCGTTACCTTAGTCTCAAAGGATAACAAAACTCGCCTGGCGGCCTCCACCTCACGCCATGCAGTGCTCCTATTGGAATCCTCTCTGTCCCATAAGCCCAATACACCTTCACTATCACCGAACGACCAGCTGTTCCACACGGAATACCGCATTTGTCAATGGGCTCTCCGTTGGTATCACCCTCCCCGAGGGTACCCCCACCAGGGGCGACACACCTACTATGTACATAACCTCCATAGCCTGTGTTTGAGGCATCTGTACAGATTATAACCGTACTGACTGATGCACCGTCACTCTTGATACCCATGCCTTTCGAATTCATGCTTTCTGCATGCTCGAACCAGTATCTCAGCTCTTCAATAGCCTCGGCACTCAATAATACACACGCATTCCAACTGGCTCTTGTCAAAACACACTTGTTTAAACATCGAGACCTCAATCTCACCTGTTCTCCGAGGTCACCTTGCATAGACAATATCTGCCCAATCACCGCCGCCACCCACCTGGCTGAAAACAATATCTTACCTTGATTAATAGACTGTAAGGCAATGGTCAAAGCTCTGAGTAACCGCCCAATTCTGTCATTTGTCACTTTGACAATGCCCTCATGCATGTACCACATATACCCAAGCCACGTGCCTCCCTGTGATGGTGTCCAATAGCATTTTTACTCTGCTATGAGAAAACCGAACCCTAGTAAGGTAACGTGTACAAGTCTGCTGGCTGCGGACACTTTCTCTAGGCTAGCATCTCCCCCGATACCGTCATCTAGATACATGACCACCCTTAGACCCTGCAAACGCCAATAGCGAACAACCTCTCTCAACACTTCAGTGAAAATATATCCTGCTGTAGAAATACTGAACCACAAAACATTAAAAACAAAGTACCTGAGCTGCCCGTTGAAAATCCATGAGAATCCTAAATAAGTACGGTGTAGTGACCATATCTCAATGTGGTGAAATGCCGATTTGAGATCGAAAGTGAAAATATAATCTCCCACCTCTAAGACATCCCTAGCCACAGAAGAATCTTCATACTTGAATTTAAACTTGTGTAAGCGTGGGTTTATGTGCCTACAATCTAACACCATCCTGGGTTTACCTGATCTAGTGTACGCCACTGTGAGAGGATTAACAACCCGGGGCTGATCACTTACCTCCGTAACAGATCCTATGCAGAGCAGTCTCAAAATCTCTCCTTCAACAAATGTAGGATTGTCTCTCCCCGACTTATTGTACAACATACACGGAGAAGGCTGCTTCCTGAACAGAATTTTATAACCGTGAGCGTTAATATTCAACACCGCTTCACACGCTCCTGCCTGCTCCCACTTACTATATTGACCTTTCAACCTACCAATGGGCATGGCCTGACTATGTGCTGCCACGTGCTTTTGTTTACCACTACAGACTTACCCCCAGTCACATCATTCTCTACCACCGAAAGCTTTTCATCCTGTACCATAAACTTAATACCTAAAGAATTACTTATCTTACCATTGGCCCTTGCAGCAGCAGCCTGCTTCCCCTGCAATACGGGACATTCTCTCCTCCAGTGTCCTGGGTTCCGTGTTGTTGACCTTGCGGTATCTGCTGGGGCTCCAAAGGGATGACCGAGCTGACGATGTATTGATTAAATCTCCTACTATAGGAACCTCTCCTGGATTTCCCCTTCAAAGCCGACTGTTTTATTCTCTAGTTCGCTCTAGACCTTGCCCTGTCTATTCGTTTTTCATCCTCCGGGTCCGACGTGATAGGGTTGGTCACATACCCATCAACAGCCTTCCAGCCCGCCTCTGAGGAATCGGTGAGCTTTATAAGCTTCTGCCTATGGTGTAACAATGCCATACCTTCCTCAATTTTTTGGTGTGCGTTATCCAAGTCTCCCGACTGGTTGATCTGTTGCGCTTCCCGCAGCTTGGAAACAACTTTGTTGTTGAACTTGTGTTTCTCTTCACAATGCTTCTTGTTAAACTTGTAAGAGTCCGAGCACAGAATATCATTTTGCAACTTTGATTATTGTGCTTCTGAAATTTCCTTTTGAGAATTAGTGATTTGAGCCTTGAATGCACTGAATTTTGACGAAATTAAAGTGTTCAATTGGGATAACAAAACCTCTTGAGAGGCTTTTACAGCAGTGTCCACATGGCTGGATATTGTCGCTGATAAGTTGTCCATAACAAAAAAGAAAAAATTACGTGTGCTTGTGACCAAATCGCGCTAGAAAACTCTCCGATTGGCTGAACAAAACACTACTACCGGACCCACCCATAATTCCACCCCTGACTTATAAGTACCGACAACACAAACAATTCCTGCTATAACTAAAAAACGTGGGAATGTTTTAATATTAACATACTGTCAAATTATATATTTTCGTGGGACTTACTTTTTTCTCAAAGTTTTTCAAAAAAATCACTATTTGATGGACTCTTGATTTGATGGATAAATATAATACAATAAATCTATACTAATTTTAGTTTCTGAATTTGTGGATTAAGAGTGCCTAAATAATCAATGAAAATAAATCCCCCACGAAAATTAAAGATTTTGTAGTATATACATTTCCATAGGAGTCAATCTTTTTGCTAATTATTGAGTCTTAAGTATGGGTTGTTTGAGTGATGTGAAAATGACCAGTACATGATACCTTAGTCAGTAGACCGTAAGGCTTTCCAACCAAAGGTAAAGATCTAAGGTGTGTGATTCAATTCCATTTCCATGTTGTTTGTGTTTCTCAGGAAGCCGATATCTTATACAGTTGTTATGTCCATGAACAGGACACTCATGATGATATGTGATGGGCCTTCAGCATCATGTTCAGTAAGACAATAACCACCTACATCAAGATGACCCTGCCTGATGCAGACTGTTCATCAGTTGATAAATTCTGCAAAATGTGTAGCCAAAGTAAAGTTCAACAAGGGCCAGTTTGTTTCTGTTGACAAACTGCTTAGGTAGCAATTTAAAAATAATTGATTGGGAGAGACCTACAAATAGTATTACAAGCCTGAATAGGCTTAGTCAAAGCTTGTCAGAAAGTGAAATAAGATCTATAGATCTACCCTTTTTTTTGTAAACAAGTAACCCTGGTCAAACTCACCGTGAACTCAAGGGTTAAAGTTAAATTACATAGATTTATGACACGAATTGTTCAATTGCTATAGGGAATTTTAAATACTGGTTACTGAACAATAAGGAAAGGGGACTGTTTAAAACTTAGATAATCAACATATAAGAGTCTAATCGGTGATCCCCAACTGGTATTCTCGTAAAACGATAAAGACTTATTCCATGGAGTGTTCTCATCACACATATAAAATAGTTGATTCCTGGTAGAAATTTTTGTTTCCCTCAACCAAAATTCTGATACTTTATCATTTACAATCACTAAAGAAACAATATTCACTTTCCCGTCAATGTAACTCTCATTTCTCCATCATTTTCAGGTAGTCAAACCCGTATATAAAGACCGCTCATGGGGAAATCAAAAAACGGTCTTTATAGACAGGTGGTCTTTATATGAAGGTTTAAATGAACATCCAAAATTCTTGAATCAAAGGGAGATAATCAATTTGCACCAATCCTTTGTGAAGATAAAAGCAGTATTCCTGTTTCATTGTAAACGTATAATTACAATCTGTTCTTAATTTTTATACAAAAAAAATCATTATTTAAATTTTTGATATTCTATTGTCAAAGAATTACATATTTATATCAGCACTAAATAAAAATAAGAGAAGAGTTACTGTCAAACCATACAAAACATGTCACATTATTTTCTTTGTGTTGATAATCATAGTAATTACACTTTTCTCAAGAAAAAATCATTTAACTGAAGCTATATTTGTAAGTGTCAATGAGGTCCATTTAAAAATATGCAATTTGTGTGCTGATTACACAACATCATACAATAAGTCCAAAGTCCTAATCTCTGTGCATGTCTGCTTGATGGCTAAAGAAGCTGTTAATTTTTGTCTGTTTTGTATGTGAAGCAGTTTTGCTGATCAACTGATGTTCAATGTCCATCACACTGTTCAAAATCTGCACATTACCACTGGCGAGGGCATATTTACGAAGTCCATCTTAATGTTCATGCGCATCACATTTTGTCACAGGTGTATCAATGTCCTCATTGGCGTTGTCATCATCATTGTCATCTTTGTCATCATCAACATCTTGATTGAAATGTTGCAGTAGTGACTTTGCATTGGTATTCCAGTCGACAGTTTCCTCGTTACAAGTAGCCACATGTTGGTCAATATCTTTCAGTTGTTCAAAATCAACACCAAAAATGTCCTTGGACAACTTGAAACCTTCCAGTGGGATGTCGTCGTCATCGTCGTCGTCATCATCATCATCATCACTGCTATCACTGACAGGGGCACTACTAGCTGAGTCATTGTCTCTGTTGTCAAATCCACATGCATTGAAGCACTTGATGATAGTAGTGGTATCTGTCTCCTTCCATGCTCTGTTAATCCAGTAGATGGCGTCCAGAACATTCACTTGCTTCAGCAGTTGACTACCGGTATGTTTAGGATGGCTGTCCATCAACGTCAGGATCTGTTGAAGCTGTCGTCATCTGTACTTCAGCTTAATGGCCTGGATTATTCCTTGGTCCATAGGCAGAGACTTGTAAGTGGTGTTGGGTGGTAAAAACTGAAGTTTCACATTCTGGAGTTCCATGCATGGATGTGAGAGTGCATTGTCTAGGAATAGCACGACATGTCTTCCTTGGCAATGCATTTTGTTGTCAAAGGCTTTGACCCAGTTCTCAAATATGTCATCCAAGCTTTCTTATTTGCATAATATTTCACAGGCAGAGATGATGTTGATGTTTATGCTCAGATAAAATTCATTCAGTGTCATTTGTGCATTGATGCCCAATAGCAATCAAGACAACATTATTATCAAATTATGCCTTTTGTCTACAATGGAAGCATGCAAGGATTACTGATGAGAGGAACAAAAACTATTCTATAGAGAAAATCTCAATCACAAAGACACAGAGGATATGCATTGTATCCAACAAACAGGTAATCTAAATTATGTTGTCTCCACCATACAGATGTTATACATTCTATTTACTGTCTCCACCATACAGATGTTATACATTCTATTTACTGTCTCCACCATACAGATGTTATACATTCTATTTACTGTCTCCACCATACAGATGTTATACATTCTATTTACTGTCTCCACCATAAAGATGTTATACATTCTATTTACTGTCTCCACCATACAGATGTTATACATTCTATTTACTGTCTCCACCATACAGATGTTATACATTCTATTTACTGTCTCCACCATACAGATGTTATACATTCTATTTACTGTCTCCACCATACAGATGTTATACATTCTATTTACTGTCTCCACCATACAGATGTTATACATTCTATTTACTGTCTCCACCATACAGATGTTATACATTCTATTTACTGTCTCGATGTTATACATTCTATTCCACCATACTGTCTCCACCATACAGATGTTATAGATTTTTATTTTGTGTGTCCACCATACAGGTGTGAGATATTATATTGTACCCACCATACAGGTGTGAGACATTATATTGTACCCATCATACAGGTGTGAGATATTATATTGTACCCACCATACAGGTGTTACAGATTATTTATTTTGTGTGTCCACCATACAGGTGTGAGATATTATATTGTACCCACCATACAGGTGTGAGATATTATATTGTACCCACCATACAGGTGTGAGATATTATATTGTACCCACCATACAGGTGTGAGACATTATATTGTACCCACCATACAGGTGTGAGATATTATATTGTACCCACCATACAGGTGTTAGATATTATATTGTACCCACCATACAGGTGTGAGATATTATATTGTACCCACCATACAGGTGTTACAGATTATTTATTTTGTGCGTCCACCATACAGGTGTTAGATATTATATTGTACCCACCATACAGGTGTGAGACATTATATTGTACCCATCATACAGGTGTGAGATATTATATTGTACCCACCATACAGGTGTGAGATATTATATTGTACCCACCATACAGGTGTGAGATATTATATTGTACCCACCATACAGGTGGTGTGAGATATTATATTGTACCCACCATACAGGTGTGAGATATTATATTGTACCCACCATACAGGTGTGAGAGATTATATTGTACCCACCATACAGGTGTGAGATATTATATTGTACCCACCATACAGGTGTGAGATATTATATTGTACCCACCATACAGGTGTTACAGATTATCTATTTTGTGTGTCCACCATACAGGTGTGAGATATTATATTGTACCCACCATACAGGTGTTACAGATTGTTTATTTTGTATATCCACCATACAGGTGTGAGATATTATATTGTACCCACCATACAGGTGTGAGATATTATATTGTACCCACCATACAGGTGTGAGACATTATATTGTACCCACCATACACGTGTGAGATATTATATTGTACCCACCATACAGGTGTGAGATATTATATTGTACCCATCATACAGGTGTGAGATATTATATTGTACCCACCATACAGGTGTGAGATATTATATCGTACCCACCATACAGGTGTGAGATATTATATTGTACCCACCATACAGGTGTTACAGATTATTTATAGTGTGTCCACCATACAGGTGTGAGATATTATATTGTACCTACCATACAGGTGTCACAGATTATTTATTTTGTGTGTCCACCATACAGGTGTTAGATATTATATTGTACCCACCATACAGGTGTGAGATATTATATTGTACCCACCATACAGGTGTGAGATATTATATTGTACCCACCATACAGGTGTGAGATATTATATTGTACCCACCATACAGGTGTGAGATATTATATTGTACCCACCATACAGGTGTGAGATATTATATTGTACCCACCATACAGGTGTTACAGATTATGTATAGTGTGTCCACCATACAGGTGTGAGATATTATATTGTACCCACCATACAGGTGTGAGATATTATATTGTACCCACCATACAGGTGTGAGATATTATATTGTACCCACCATACAGGTGTACCCACCATACAGGTGTGAGATATTATATTGTACCCACCATACAGGTGTGAGATATTATATTGTACCCACCATACAGGTGTGAGATATTATATTGTACCCACCATACAGGTGTGAGATATTATATTGTACCCACCATACAGGTGTGAGATATTATATTGTACCCATCACCATACAGGTGTGAGATATTATATTGTACCCACCATACAGGTGTGAGATATTATATTGTACCCACCATACAGGTGTGAGATATTACATTGTACCCACCATACAGGTGTGAGATATTACATTGTACCCACCATACAGGTGTGAGATATTATATTGTACCCACCATACAGGTGTGAGATATTATATTGTACCCACCATACAGGTGTGAGATATTATATTGTACCCACCATACAGGTGTGAGATATTATATTGTACCCACCATACAGGTGTGAGATATTATATTGTACCCACCATACAGGTGTGAGATATTATATTGTACCCACCATACAGGTGTGAGATATTATATTGTACCCACCATACAGGTGTGAGATATTATATTGTACCCACCATACAGGTGTGAGATATTATATTGTACCCACCATACATTGTACCCACCATACAGGTGTGAGATATTATATTGTACCCACCATACAGGTGTGAGATATTATATTGTACCCACCATACAGGTGTGAGATATTATATTGTACCCACCATACAGGTGTGAGATATTATATTGTACCCACCATACAGGTGTGAGATATTATATTGTACCCACCATACAGGTGTGAGATATTATATTGTACCCACCATACAGGTGTGAGATATTATATTGTACCCACCATACAGGTGTGAGATATTATATTGTACCCACCATACAGGTGTTACAGATTATTTATTTTGTGTGTCCACCATACAGGTGTGAGATATTATATTGTACCCACCATACAGGTGTGAGATATTATATTGTACCCACCATACAGGTGTGAGATATATTGTACCCACCATACAGGTGTGAGATATTATATCGTACCCACCATACAGGTGTGAGATATTATATTGTACCCACCATACAGGTGTGAGATATTATATTGTACCCACCATACAGGTGTGAGATATTATATTGTACCCACCATACAGGTGTGAGATATTATATTGTACCCACCATACAGGTGTGAGATATTATATTGTACCCACCATACAGGTGTGAGATATTATATTGTACCCACCATACAGGTGTGAGATATTATATTGTACCCACCATACAGGTGTGAGATATTATATTGTACCCACCATACAGGTGTGAGATATTATATTGTACCCACCATACAGGTGTGAGACATTATATTGTACCCATCATACAGGTGTCACAGGTAGCACCCATTGTATCTATAGGATATTCATTCTATCCGTCAATGAAGACAAGTTTCTGTTTCCAAGGTATTATTAACTTTGAATACTTGTTCATAGGTGACCTCAGCTGTCATCCACTGTTCCACTTCAATTGTATCAGGTTACTAAACTGTCTTTATATATAATATTGTTATACTTTAGCTCACTTACAACCTAATACTTGATACCTATGGTTACCAAAATGTTGACAAACAGTAAGACTCTGAATTCAACCTGTCCTCTGATCACATTAAAACATATCACTAACATACTCCTGTTACAGTTTCTGTAGCTAGGTGGTTTTAGGTCAGTAGCTCCACACTTGAGTGAATCCACAGGACGCCATCCCCAAAACACTGACCTAGAACTAGTGAGCAACTGTGTGTGTGTATGTGTGTGTGTTTGTGTGTGTGCAGCTTAACACAGCAGTGACCTTGTCACCTAATTGATAGTTTCTTAACATGATAACATTAACATTTTAACTTTGCCAATAGATCAAGGTCATGTAAGCCTATTATACTTGTTACCACCTTCTGATTTATTTTGGAGAGAATTTATTTGACCAGAGCTATTTTTAGACAAACATTCACAAGTGAATTATTTACAATTTAAATCAAAGTACTGAAAAATGTTCACAAATAACCGCTAAGCTATATTACTTTCCCCATATTCCTACACTTTGGAATGCAAAAATTACTAAAATAAGAGAACCAGAGGCTATTTTTCTTAATTTTAAGCGATTTCATATTTTCTTTAATTCTTATTTCAAATCTGACGACAATAATGCAAACAAATCAAAATAGGTAAAAAAAATAACAAAATACACACAACCATATATTTATCGCCAACAAGCCAAATGATAAATAGCTCTATGATGAAGTTGACTAAATAAAACCTTTGAAATACCCTAGATGTTGCAATTACTATCCTATCAATATGAGGATTTAGCCAATCGAAAGGACTTTATACCTACTTCTTTATTTTGAATGTATTGCAAAGTAATAGTCCTTACTTATTATAATTATATTTGTAGTTGAGGAAAGTAGATAAGGTGTACACAGCATTTCAGATAGATTAAAGTGTAAGTAACTACATTAAATGTATTTACATGCCTGTCTTCCTTGA